CTTATCAGTCTGGATGGCTGAATTGAAATTCAAAAGTGAACTCCTAGAAAATATTCTTATAAAACTCCAATATTCAAATCACGTTCAGACCGCGGTGTTCGCCATAAACTATTAAGGATTATACTGGTTAATTTTCTTTTTCTTTCCATCCGACTACTGACGAAAGAATGGTAATATTTTTCTAGTATATTAAACTCGTAGTATACATACCTATGTATACTTAGAGATTTTTGATCATGTAGTAAAAACAACTTGATGAATTTTTATACATAGGATGTTTTTTTTAATGGGTGATAATGGAATGGTAACCCTGCCCGGTATCGGTATACACCGGTGGGGCACCAGTGGAAAATGATAGGTGAGAATGAATGCAGGTCAGTTGGTCCACCATGATGAATTTGACAAAAATTAACCATGTTGGATTCCAGGGGGAACCGCGTGAAGGTCGACCTAAGAGGATATATTGCTAGCAATGGAGCTATTAGACATCATTACTAACAATCTCTTTACCCCCATACATAGAATAATTAATCTCAGTTGTAAAAATGGTATAAGTTACATAATGATAGTACTCATCTTTACTAATTCTTACTAATATTATAAATGTGAAAGTGATTTTGTTTATTTGTATGTTACCTTATAACGCCTTGACGGCTTAACCAATCACGATGAAATAAGAACTAGTGTAAAATAAATACGATGATAACTGCCAAAAACTTATATATTTTATTTAACGTACTAGCGTCCTGTCCCAGCTTCGCACGGGTAAACATTTTTACAACATTTTAAAAACTGGTTATTGTAGCATAACGATAATAGTTAGATATATAGTATCGCGAAGTTTTTTTTATAGTTATTGATATTTTCTTCAATATTGTAGAACACACTTTTGTTCTATCACCAACAGTTTCCGTAACGCATGCGACGAAAAATATTTTATAGCATTTTTTACACCTTGAGTTACGTTACTAAAGTTTTAGTAAGGATCCCCTAATCTTTCCTAGCAATAAATATGTATAAAATAATATGTTACTCAGGGTGAATGTAGCTTTCTAATGGTGAAAGAATTTTTGAAATCGGCAAAGTAGTTTTTGAGTTTATTCATTACAAACATACACACAAAAATACAAATCTTTCTTCTTTATATTATTAGTGTAGATTAACCTTTTTTTAATAAAGGTTACAACAGGTACTATTATAATACAATCACTTCTCAATCACATTCACTTGTTAAAAGTTAATTGTTAATACCTTTATAATCTAAAATTGTATGCAACCAGATAAAGTCGGACATTGACTGCAAGGTAGTCATGTTTTTGTTAAGCCCTTGCCCATTCCCCATAATGTTTTCAGTATGGCACCTGTGCCCAATAGGTTGATTCTCAAAAAAACAAATCATTCAAATATCGTGGAAACAGATAAATCATTTGCTCGGAAGGGTTCGTTTATTTTGTACTAAGATGAATATTACCTCAGTCCCTTTATTCTGAAAAATTACAATTAAAAATAATGTTAAAGCTGAATAATAACTATTGTTGTATTTTAATTACTTGTACTACTTGCGACACAGCCGTAAACAGCGCTCATGAATAAGAGCTCCTATTAGGTTCGAAACTAGTTGTGCATCCCCGAATTTAAAACGTTAGTAAAGCCGACATAAATAATTCCAATATTAAAACCGTTAGGTTAAGATGAAAATGTTAAGAGAAACGGTTTGATAAATAAAATGCTCAATATTGTAGTTCTCTTTTATCACGTTTTCATCGGTAAGAAAACATAAAAGCTATCCGTGACAGAATTGTAAAAACATAAGTCAATAGAAAATCAATATAAAAATATAAAAGACAGATTATTATGGCCAGTAATATGCTACAAATGTATGCTTATTATGTAATCTCAATATTATTATATTTTTGGAACTAACAAGCTCATGGTGCATTTTTACACATACCGAGTACATATCACGAGTTTAAAGGGCAAATTAAAACAGTAAATCGCATATCATGTGATTACACTTAATTGAAATAATAAAATAAAGAAATCTCCAATACCTATGTATTGGAAATACATAAATAAATAAAAGTAGTTTAGTGAATTTGCGGCCGGTGTCGAGTACTCGGACTTATTGAATTTACTCTCGTCGAAGCAGACTAGGATTTCAGTACAGTCGCTTGGGATTCTAATCACTTTAACCTATCTATGTTTGAACCGAAAACGTGGCTCGCCGGTTAGGAGTAAAGTTCTTAGTTCAATTTATATAACAACAGCCTCAGTTATTGGATTTACCTTTAAATTCTGTTATACTAGTAGATACAAATAATTTTGAAAAGAAAGGTTTAGAAAGAGTAAAAGTAAGATGTATATGAATAAACTACTTACTTGTAAGCTGCTTTCTTTTTTAACTGTCTTTCTTTTTTAATTTGAATTTTCTGGATATTCTGGGATGATGATCATTTGGGGATACCAATCATTTCCTAACTCGAAGACTAGGCGATTGGTGTCTGATATTATAGTATGGCATTTATTATTTATTATTATTTTCGTCAATTACAATTTTGATTATTCTTTTGTGAACTAACTAGACTTTTTGTAAAACAAAATCTTAAAGTTGATACTTTATGATTAATATGCCTACGTTGTGGGTGCTAAAATGTTTAAAAACAAGTGTACTTCGTAACTAGTGATACTCCATACTGATATAATCTGTAATACTAGATACTGTCTATAGTAAATACTATTATATACTACATACATACATATTATATACTACAACTTAAATAAGTTGTAACTGAATCTTCGTGCCAAGTCTCTTACGAAATAAAGACAAATGAGTGTAAACGTAAAGAAATATAGTTTACATAAATCTTATGTCCACTATGAACTAACGATATTATCTTGAAAATTAAATGCAAAGTTAGCTTATATATAAGATTATGTAATGCTACCAACCATTATTTATTGGCCAACTGCTAACGAAGTTGTAAGAAAATGGCACGAATTGTCAAGGGTCTAGTCAAAGGAAAGTCAATTACTTTTGTTCGCATCGCGTATTTTGCAGCATTTGTGATATGAATCTAATAAATATTGCCGTGCTTTACTGTATTTTTTTTTCTTTAAAAAAGAGAAAATTCGCATTACAAATATATTTTTCTTGCGATTGCGGTACGCCTTTTCTAACTTCGATGATTATTTTTGCAATCGATTTATTTTTCTAATTTTGTTCTGATTGTAATCTTTTTTTATAGAGCTATATCTTAAATTGTTTTAATTCAACAAAATGACATTGGACGTCCTGCATGTATATTTTTTTTTTGTATTATATATACCATATTACCCTTAAAGAGAAATATAAATATGAATAAAAAATATACCTATCTAGTGACACTCCGGTTCTCACAACCAATACATCGCGTTACCTTTATTATTGAAAACCATCCAGCCGTTCAGAAGATATGAGGGAATGAACAGTCAGAAATATATTAGATGAACTCAGAAAATATCACATTCCATTTTTAGTCCGCCATCTGAGAATATCATTTGCAATATATATTAACCCCGAGTCAGGTTAAAGGGCAGGCAGAAAGGATCGCAGTAATAAGTCAGTATATAAATTGTCTGTCATCTAACAACTAAGTTCAGATTCGAAAGTTAGCAGAAATCAATTAAAATCTTTAAAAACTTTCGCAAATCGTAACCTTAATGCAAATACCAACGAACTGCATATTTTATAGGTCATTGATATTATCTAGCTAATTCACGGCAAAAACTTCAGCCATTAAGCTCTCGTATTTTAATAATATTTGTATATCTAGCACAGTCTATAATAACCACATTATCACGAAAAAATCACACCCATATACGAGGCTAAGTGCGGAAATGCTTCAACAAACTTTCTTTGCAATCTTTCACTATTATACTAGGCACTAGTTGAGTACTACCTTGTACTGAAATTATTAATACATTAGACAAATTTCTCCATAGGTCAAACCAGCTTACCAATTAAAGTACCAAACTGTTTTAAGTAACATTATACCTATAATTAACAGGCAAATTTCGAATTCGTGTAATTAAATGTTAAAATTGAATTAGTCTTCAAATTAAGTTGGTTAGACCTGAAAAGCTAAATACATAAGTCGATATTAAAGCCACCACCGAATTATATACATTGGTCAGTATTAATCAGCTACATATGTTAAGTAACATCCAACATATGGAAGGGATACCCATTTCTCTTTATATCTCTGTCTAAAAAACTGTATTTCTTAATTCGTTTCAATTTTTGTTTTTTTTTTTCATATGAAAGTTAGTTAGTTCCATAATAATGTTGTGTGAGCGTGTTCATTCTTCATTGTGGAGTAAAAACAACTGGTCATTATGAAGCAAAATCTATTTGTAGACACACGGTTCTATATAAGCTCAAATGACTTTTAATATTTACGAAACATATCATCACTGTATATGTGTGTATTCACGGCTGAAGTCGCTGTAGTATTGAAGAGCAAAATATATTTCTTCATACTTATCTCATTTTTCTGGTACATAAGAGCATATAATTCCTGGGTGAGCGTATTGGAAGACTGTAAAGCTCACCCAATAGATGTAATATAATAAATAAATAAATTATATTTTAACCCTTTACAGGGATTGTTTGATCTATAAGACACCAAAGATAAAGAAATTCGCTTTTCTATTTATAATATTACCTTACTATTATTATTCTTGCTTTAACCGTTATGAAATTTCATATATCGTCATAGTCGTAGAATACTGACTGATCTGACGAATATTACATATAAAGATCCGTCAGTATTCTACGACTATGACGATATACGTAATTACATAATATTTGGGATTGAGAATCCATAATATATCCACAATATATTTTTTATCATGGCTACGCAACCAATGTAGCGGACGGTCAATGTATTGGTTATGATTATTTATTGCTTCTGCTTTTATCATACTTCTTTATTTATTTCTCCCTTTATATACTCTTACAGGTCCCGATCGAGGTCTCGGTCGCGGTCGGTGACCCCGAGTACATCGCCGCCGCTGCCGTCCGCGCCGCCGCCTCCGCCGCCGCCACCTCACACGCTGCACCCAGACATAGCTTTAGGTAACGTGTCTACACATATAATGTCTTGTTTATTTTTAAACACAAAATAAATTTAGATATTCTAATAAAAGCATACAAAGTGCACAGTAATACGAAATACCTCGCACTGTGTAAATGATGTCTCGGGTTCGATTTTTGATCAAGCCAATTAACAAGTATTCCTTTCTAAATTGCTTGGTGTACAGAACAATAGTTATTGAGACTAAATAACTATGAAAAATAAAACAGAAACAATAAAAACATAGACAATAAATACCGAAAAAGATTAAGAATAATTTTGCTAATAAACTTATATAATAGGCTAATAAATTCATAAAATTGCAAATTATAATACATCCAGTTTCATAAGTACTAAGTGTAGGTAGGTTAAACAGAGATACATAAAATGGATAGCTCTTATAATTCACTGTGGCGCAGTAGGTACCTATATACCTTGATCTTTATCTTCGTAATATAATGGGAAAGTAAAATAAATGCAACGGTGCGAAGAAGGCTTCAATTTTCTGTAAAACGATATCATGTGTGATTATGCTTTTCATTTATATCGTACCGTGACATAAAGTGATAGTATAATGTAAAAAGTATAAAAAGTAATTCGTTATATTGTGGTGATACGGTAAATTATAAAGCGTCCAGTATAAAGCAAAATTATTTATTTATTTTATTTTGGTACAGACAGTCATTAAAAAAAATTACGGTTAATTTTTTTATGTTGTGTGAAAATAGACAACGAGTACCGAAACATATACAACAGTAGATGTTTATGTAGTTAGTTAACTAAAATAAACCATACACGTAAAAATACAGAAATGAAAAAAAAAGAAAATCTACAATTAAATAATATACTAAAAACATGAATACACACGGACTTGTAGATATATTTGTAATATTTACAAAGTCTGAAAATGCGAAACCAGAACTTACCTCAGGTCGTGGCGCACTAAGCGCGGCGGGCCGCCAACTGAGCGACCACAGCAATAACCGGGAGTCGTCCCTAGACGACTCCGGCGTGGTGGACGACCACGACGACGGCGAGCACACCTCCGACGACCAGGCGCCACACCCGCACCACCCGCGCCGCCTGCTGCCGCCGCCGCCGCCACTGAACCCGCACCTGCACCCGCCCACCCCCATGCCCACGTCTGTACCCATGCCCATGCCCGCTCCGATGTCAATGCCGATGCCTCAAATACAACCGGTGAGCACCCTATTTTTTTTTTACTTAATACAACAATTAGTCCATTACCCTAAGGTTGTCTTGAAAAGATTGCTCTCGATTGCTATATTATATAAAGCAAATAAAGTATACTCATTCATACATTTATTTTAAATATGGAATAAAAATACAATGGTAACCTCGCCTGCGTAACAGTAATGATAGGCTAGGAGTGAAGGGCATCAGGTAAGGGGGGAAATTAATTGTTAGTAATAAAGTCTAGAAGTTCTATTAAGTTGACCTTCCCACGGTTCCCCTTGGAAACCATAATGGTTAATTCTTGTGTAATTCACCATAATGGAGCATTCATCATTTGTTACTGGTACCACTGGCGGATGGCGCAGGCCAGATTACCATATCCCATTGTCATCCATTAAAAAAATAATAATAATAAATATTTATCTGTTATAATTATTTGTTAAAAAAGACATATTATGATACTAACATAAAATCAAATACAAATTAATTGAAACAATAAAATAATGTATTAAAAGAAAGTAGAGAATTCTTGTTTAGGTAATTTTGTTACAAAGTCATATTAACTCAATTAACAATAAGCCAAGTTTCAGGCTTGCGATTTTTATTAGAGGTCTTGATTAGAGATCAGAGGCAATCTTTTCCATTTCTACATTATATCAAAATGATTATTAAATTAACAAGGATATTTAATCTCATATTTATGTTTCATATTACCTACTTGTAATTTGCAATAATCAACAGTTACAGGAGTGTCAAACACAACAACCAATGCCAAGAAGCGATAATAAAAAAGAAAAGCAAATAGAGAAGAAAGTAGAAAAGAAGTCAGAAAAAAAGGACAGTATTCAAGAGAAATATCCATTAAATCCGGACTACCTCAATCAGATCGTGGTGCTAGGTAAACGAAATTCTATACACTTAAACGCACTAGCTTATATTCTCAAAAGAGAGTGTAATGCTACCAAAAAACGTCAAAAACAATTAGATAAGTTGACGTTCAATTGTAAATAATAATTTTGGTTGCATCACACAAAATAATCCTTTGATTGGCACGGCTTTGACACTGAAAGCACGAACAAAGTAACACTGAAAATGACAAAGCTGCCACAGTTAAAAATGAATGCTTTGCAAACACAAAAGCTAATTAGGTACTTACCAAGGACTGAATTCATAATCACTACAATTGCATTAATTTAGGATAAAAATATTGTAACAAGTCTTTCTTAAATACATCGTAGATTAGAATAAGTGAATGTCAGATATTGGCTACTAAATTCTATGCATGCATTATCTTCTCTATTTTAAAACTTACTATTGTACAAATTCTAATACTTAGGATATCTAACTTTCTACTAAGAGTCTTTCAGTGCTTGCATTCTTTGCGATTTTCTAGTATACTAAATTAATTTTTGAAAATCATTAATAAATTTTTACAATCTCATTACGAGGATTTTAGATTGTTTTAGGTACTTATTTCTCTTTCAAAACATCTAACTGTTCACTCTGTTTCAACTCACATTTGCAAACAGATGATATTTTCTTTGGATTTCAGAAGCATTATGTAAGGTTTCTCTCTAATTTTTAAACACCTAATTTTCCGATAAGTTGTGAGTCATTTGCTCATTATTTTATAAATAATAATAGAAATCGTAACTATAATCCGTTGAACAAATGACATCACAAAAATCTCTGCAGCTTGATGGATATTGACATGTATATATACAAACGATTATTAGTTAGTTAATAGTAATAAATAATTCAAAAAGCTACAGAGATTGTAGACACTGCAATTACATCTTGCAAATAAAACAAAATTGTACTGCTAATGTCACTGAATCGACCATTCTTCTCCATATACTTTGTATTTTAAATATACGTTTTGTTGAGTATTCATATTCATATTAACACAAAAATGGAAATGAATGGGAGTTTCTAATGGCTGAACATTCAGTAGTAGCTTCACTTCCCAATGTGCAACACCTCATTGGGCGTTTTAATACAACACTATTGCAATCTCGCTTCTACCCTCATTAATATCGTCAGGGGCGGACTGGCCATACAAGCGCGCGCCCGACCTCCCTCAAGCGGAGACGACGAAAATTAATGAGCTCAGTTTATTGGCAGCCACGCACAAAACTCATATGGGCAATTACGAGCAAAATTGCACTTACTTCACAGGTTAGTAAACACAAACGCCAACGCTTCTCCCCCCAGTCCACCCCTGTTCCCCACAGGAAGACTGCAGGGTGACTTTGCGATTGGTTGACTTGCTGTCGTCTCGTCGCCTTATTCAGAGTCGCATTCAAGTCCATTTCAAAACGTTCGCTTACACCATCACGTGTGTTTCTCTAAAACTTCTATGCGATTCATATTATATAAACATCGAAATTAATCTTACTACCACAATTTGGACTACTCTACTGTCAAAATGCACTTCAAACACAAGCAGTTCAAAATTATTACTATTGGCATATCTAAATTCTGACCATGCATTTTCCTGCTTAGAAATTAGATTCTTAGTCCCAATTTATCGCTTTTAACTGCATGACCAAAGTTTTTTTCATTATTAACTACTATAACGATCTATGTAAATGAAATAAATTTGCAAACGTAAGCTTTGCATCGAAAAAAGTTTTAATATGCTTCATTATGCTTTTGCTGCATTGATATTGGTCTTTTTATTCAGTTTTGTCTCTCCAAGTTCAATATCTTATATATATCTTGTCAAACATCCTTAACAGATTGATTGTTTATTGTAACAAAATGATTAATTTGATCACAGATGAGCTCGTGGATAGGAACTGTGAATGCTGCGTCACCTGCTGCATAGATTACGAAGGCTGGCTCCAATTTCAGAACTGCTTGTATGGAATCGTGAAAGATCCGCTTTTCGAATTATTTATTACAACTTGTATAGTTCTTAATACACTCTTCCTTGCTCTAGAGCATCATGGCATGAGTGAAAATGTTAGACAGGCCTTAGATATAGGAAATAAGGTAACTCAGTTCCATGTTTATTATTCATTTTTCATATCTCCTGAACTGTTAAAATAATATTTATATACCTTTTCAGGTGTTCACATCTATATTTACTTTAGAATGTATGATGAAAGTAATGGCGATGAGTAAAGATTTCTTCGCCTGCGGTTGGAATATTTTCGACCTGATTATAGTGTCGGCCAGCCTTCTAGATCTAATATTTGAGCTCGTTGATGGCCTATCTGTTTTACGGGGCCTTCGTTTGGTGAGTTACTCTTTTAGATTGTAAAATTAAATCATTTAAAATAAGCAATAGATGACCTCTGTAACGTAATGGTGGGCACATTGCTTTGCTTAAACGAGGTTGCGGGTACGATTCCCGGTATGGCCACTTTAGGAGATGAACTTTCCTGAATTGGCTCAGATCTGGGTGTACTAGGTTATGGCCCGAAATGTTTGCTTGGTTTCTTTATAATACTGGGTATTCTTAGGATAATATTGCTTAAATACCAGGGGATTGTTGTGATTATATGACACTTTAAAATTAAAATAATATTTTTTTTTTATAATGTTGGTAACATTGTTTCAGTTACGAGTGTTAAAATTAGCTCAATCATGGACTACAATGAAAGTGTTGTTGAGTATTATAATATCGACAATCGGTGCTCTCGGTAATTTGACGTTCGTGTTAGTGATAGTTATTTATATATTTGCTGTTATCGGCATGCAACTGTTCTCCAAGTCGTATACGCCGGACAAGTTCGAGCCTGACCCTGTGCCCAGGTAACTTTAATCTCTTCTAATCGATAATCAATAAAAAAAACCTATTTAAACTTCTTGCTGTTTTCTGCGTTACGAGCTACAGGTAACTTTATTATTTAAGTTATAGTAAACATACCTCATATACATGTCTATATGTTTAACTTACAATGGTATAAAAATTAAATAAATAAATGTTTGTTACTTCATAACTCCATCATTAATAAACCGATTTTCAAAGTTCTTTTTTATCTAAAATGATATATGCTTTCAGATAAATTTTTTTATCAAAATCGGTTCAATAGTTTAGTTTTTATAATAAATCAAAATAACTGGTTTTGCCATGATGGATTTTTTTTTGTGAAACAAACTCAAATTATTCTTAATTAAACGAAAGGTCAACAAAACATCAATGAAATTTAATAACTACTATAGTGTAATAGTAAAAATTATTAATTAATAAAAAACTTAATAAAACTTAATAAAAAAAATTAATAAATAAAAAAAAACCTATTAAGGTTTATCAATTTTCTATTTCTACAATTTAATAAAATAAATTTGGTATTGAATGTTTCTCATATATACTCATAATATTCTTGTATCTAACTTTTCATTTCGAATTATTGTAATGGTGAAATAAAGGTGGAACTTCAACGACTTCTTCCACTCGTTCATGATGATATTCCGGATATTGTGCGGCGAGTGGATAGAGCCCTTGTGGGACTGCATGCGCGCAGAACAAGCGAGCGGCGCCGAAAGCTGTTTCTTCATCTTCCTGCCCGCGCTCGTTATGGGGAACTTCATGGTGCTCAACCTCTTCCTTGCCTTGCTGCTCAATAGCTTCAACAGCGAGGAACTTAAGAATAAGAAAGAGGTAAATGCAATCAATGTAACCTTACCTTACCTTTTGTATTTTGCACTTTAAAAAACACTGGTATTTTCATGGATCATCTCGTATTATTTTTATAAATAGTAGGCGGATGCGCCTACTATTTATAAAAATTATCTGGAATATTTAATTGTGATTATTGCCGTGGTTTATTTTATTTAACTTTCATATAATTTGCTTCAAGTAAATCCGGTAAGTTCAGAATTTGTTCTTTTTTCATTTTAGGAAGTAGGAGAGGATTCAAAATTAGCTAAAAGTTTCGATAGAATACGTTCCATAGTAAGAAAAAAGGGTTTCCTTATATCGAGAAGTAAAGAGACTGAAAAAAAATCTAAGTTAGAAGAACTAGTTACTGAATTTATGACGCAACAGCGTGCTATGAAAGAAAAGAAGATATCTATACCGAGCGAGCAACGGTACTCATCGTCGATACAAGAGACAATCCTATTTCCACATGACAATATTTATAGCCATAGTTATCAAGAAGCTTTGAATAGGCAAGTTTATAGCATACTAATCAAATATTTTAGGTATTCAATCGTATTAGTAAATATCTATTTTTGTGCTAATATTCATTTTACAGGCCAATATCAGTAGGTTCAGATTTTGCTTATCCTCATCTTTATCAACATGGTAATAATTTTAATCACGGCAGTCAAGAAACTTTAAAGGACGTTCGTGATCTAGCAATTGAACATAAAATAACTAGTATTAGAGAAGATTCCAAGGAAAATTTAGAAGACACCTCTCCTGTAGAACAAATCGTAGCTCAAAAGTTATTAAACCAAATGTCTTCAGGGTATCACACGCAGCCATCAGATTCAAGGGGTATGTTAATTTGTACAATCAAATTTAGATATTGATATAAAAGTACGCGTTACTCATCACTAATATTTTTAGACGAGAATGAGCACTACGAAATGGCCCAGTTATCCAGTAAAACAACGCCAGAGCGAATGCGGAGGCCGGTACTGGAACTACCAAACACAAATATATGTAAGGAAGCTGTGAAACAACCCGATGAAGAACAACTGAAACATCCGTGGCAAACTTTAGTCTCATATGTAGATGAATTAACCGTAGGTGGGAGAAAAAACTCCAAGGGCCAATACGTAGACGCGATGGGAAACTTTCCGGGATTTGGGAAACAAAAGGAGCCGAAGGTCCCCCAAGATTGCTACCCCCGTCAATGTTACGATGCGTATGTATTTAAATGAAATTATGGACTACTAGCTAATAAATCAATACGCGCTACATGTTCTTTATCCATAAAATCTATCCTTACAGGTGTCCATGTTGGGACACATTCATCGAAACAAAGATGGGTCAGCGCTGGATGGTAGTCCGTACTTTCATCCTACGTTACGTTGATACGCCTGCCTTCGAGTGGTTTGTCCTAGTGCTTATATTCGCCTCCAGCATAACCCTATGTTTTGAAGACATCCATCTTGAGAAAAACAAACCGCTAAAGAAAATTTTGTATTGGACTAATCTTGGTTTCTGCATGATCTTCGTTATAGAAATGTTCCTCAAGTGGATAGCGTTGGGGTTTTTCAGATATTTCACAAGTTTTTGGACTTTATTAGACTTTACTATAGTGTTTGTAAGTATAGTGTTTTTTTCATCCCTAATAATATTTACCTACTCTCTACTAATGCTTGTAATCTAATCATGACCTTTTACTCTAAACTTTAATCTTTGGAATGCATTGCGAGCCGTTTAAAATAAATTCAGCCCAAAATTTTTGCAATTTAACAATTTTGTGCATGTGCTTGAATATTATCTCCAGTTTAAATTTTAAATTGAAACTTAGGTAGGTATGTAGTAACTAGTATTAAATAATCCGCTAATAAATCATGACTTCTTGCAGGTATCAGTATTTAGTTTGTTAATAGAAGAGAATGAAAATCTTAAAGTATTAAGATCGCTTAGAACGCTACGTGCTTTAAGGCCATTGAGAGCGATATCTCGATGGCAAGGGATGCGTATAGTTGTGAATGCCCTAATGTACGCAATCCCGAGTATTTTTAATGTATTATTAGTTTGTTTAGTGTTTTGGTTAATTTTCTCTATAATGGGAGTGCAGTTCTTCGGTGGAAAATTCTTCAAATGCGTCGACGACGAAGGAGAACTTTTGCCTTTAGAGGTGAGTCAATAAAAAGAATTATATATTTCACCTTACATTCATACATGAGGTAGAAACTTCATATTAATATTAAACAATATTTGTATTATCAAATTGCGTCTTCAATAACATAATCCGTGCAAAAAACTTAGGTACACTTTCAAATAAAGTAGTTAAAGAATCTTATAAAATTAAAATAATGTAATAGAAGAATATTAAAAGTCAACAGTTAGCTTCATTGAAGAAGGCACGATCAAAGGTATTAACCTCCATTATCTTCAAATGCAAGAATAATTTAATTATTTCTGACGAAGACGATAATGTACTTATCGATTTGCTCTCTAAGGAACTTGAAATGAAATCTTACTTAGCGACTTAAGAATTATCCAACGAAAATTTGTTAATAGACAAATTATAAAATTTATTATTGAGACAAAACTTATTTAGTTGAAAGTAGTCCCGATCTCTTGACCAAAATATTACTCGTATATAAACACCGTTAACAAACCGAATTAATCCAAAAAGCAGTGATCAGCTCGCTTACTGCTTTCCTAGAGGGAGAGAACAATTTGAATGTTGACTACATTCAAATTGTTCTCTCATTTACGATTATATCTGCTATTAGAGTGAGTATATTTCTTTTACCGTATTAAATTGAATTATCACGAAAACTGGAGATGACTCGTCAAAGATGACGTTAATTTTCAAAACGTGGATTATTTATTTTTATTACAACTAAATTAAACCAACGTCATATTATTTATCTTATTGAAATATAATAAAGTTAACATCATAATCTTGTTGATTAAAGAACTAAATGGCGAAGGGTGCGTTCAGTCGTCATCTCAAACAATGAAAAAGTAATTGTGTCCATAAAACACATAAAAAGAAGCAGCAGAGCTTTAAGATGAGATCTTAAACTTTTAATTTTTCCTTTCGCTACAAGATTGATCATGATAAAAGAGATTATAATCGGTTATATACACCTTTCCCTTACACATCCTTACACTTCCTCACTATGCATCTATTTCGTCATCTTTACAACCGACACACTTTCGACATACTCACACTATAACATAGATACATTATTTCCATACATTTTATATTTTTTACATATATTATTGGACAATGGATGTTTAATGAACTTATTATCATTGCTAATTTTGTTGTTGTTTTTTTTTTTTTGTTTTGATTCATACGAAAATCTTCAGGGCAAATACAGTGCCCGTGTCGCAACCTCTCACCCCGCAATACGGATAGCACCTCACTCTGCCCATGTAGACTCCGTAGATATCCAGTAATATTCGGTTCTCGTCTTTGTGCGCCCTCTGAGCGATACAGCACAGCCTAGTTTGAAAAAGCTTACTGTATCTCAAATATTGCAGAGCTCCCAGAATTCATCAAGACACGCTTTTTAAATTTAGTATAGTGACCGACCCTTGTTTGTCTTGTCACTATTATACAAAACCATAATAAGTTCATTAAATTCCCGTTGTCCAGTTAATATATAAATGTAATCTTTTTGAACACATCTTTTTTGCAGATAGTAAACGATAAGTGGGAGTGTTATTACAATAATTTCTCTTGGATCAACTCCAAGATATCATTCGACCACGTGGGAATAGCATATTTAGCTCTGTTCCAAGTGGCTACCTTCGAGGGTTGGATGGAGGTGATGGCGGATGCTGTGGACGCAAGAGGAGTAGACCTTCAGCCGGCAAGGGAAGCCAATCTATACGCTTATATTTATTTCGTTATATTCATCGTGTGCGGTTCGTTCTTCACTCTGAATCTGTTCATAGGAGTAATTATAGATAATTTTAATATGCTCAAAAAAAAGGTGAGGCTTTAATATTTTTTCTCTTATATAGATAAGATAAAAGATTTGCTTCTTTATGTTGATATAAATTAGCATAAGCCTGCCTGATGGTAAACGGTTAACGTAGACTGTAGATATCTGTTACACGAGGGTATTTCTTACATATTACCAACTCTAAAGTAACCTTCTAAAAATTTATATTTAGTATATATTAAGTTTAAAAATAAAATAAATTGTAGAACTAAGATAAACTTAAAGTTGCTCATGTTATCTACTTGTATAAAGTATAAGTTTAAAGAAAACTTTAACTATTATTATAGTATACGAGTATTTGTTACAAATACTTTCAATAGTTTCTGTAACTAGAAAGTAGTGTTCTTCAAAACTTTACTTATCGAATAAAAAGAAAAAAGAATCAAGTCTATAAATATTATATCATCTACGAGGACTAGGCATATTTGAAACACGGATACATTTGTTCATTTTACTAAACATCCAAACGTCTATTAATAAATCTGACTGGTATCAAATATAAGTGATATTATTTATTTTAAAATATTTTTTTCTATTACGTTACCTCCTTTACAGTACGAAGGCGGAGTATTAGAAATGTTTCTCACAGAAAGCCAAAAACATTACTACACAGCTATGAAAAAGTTAGGTAGAAAAAAACCACAGAAGGTGATCAAAAGACCCCGCAATCAGTTCCTGGCGATGTTTTACGATTTGTCAAACTCCCGCCGTTTCGAGATCGCCATATTTGTTTTGATATTTCTAAATATGCTCACTATGGGAATCGAGCATTACGACCAACCTCATTCGGTTTTCTTTATTTTGGAAGTCAGCAATGCGTTTTTCACGACAGTTTTCGGTTTGGGTAAGTAATTTATTTATAAATTTCTGTTTATCTAATATTTATATCGGTATACAAACACATTTAGCACGTATTCAATACGTAATATTATTTACTTGTTTAATATTTATTAGTTTAAAGCGATAAAGAAATATACGATGTATTTTTTTAAACAAAATTATGTAAGAATACGTAAACCAAAACAAAATTTAATAATATGTAATGTATAATGGTAATAAGTGTTTTATATCTGTTTATTTTAATAGATCCAAAGTAACCCAAATTCTCCTTGACCCAACCAAATCGGGCTCTATGATTATGGATGAATATTACAGTTCACCAAACGCTTAACTACAGTTGCCAACCCGCCTGCTAAACGCGACAACTACTGACAAAACCCCCCTATAGGAAGAGATCTATGTTTAGCAGTGGACGGTCGGCAGCTGACATGATGATGATGATAGTTGAGTAGTATCCACTTAAGTTTACATAGAATTTCTTTAGTACGCAGTACTAAAGACCTCTCACTATGGGTCTCTGAGGACTTTTTAAAAAAATACTTAACGCAAAGTCACGAGCATTTGCTAGTACAAAATGAAGAGTGTAAAGAAAATATTGGTCCCATATGAATACGACAAATGATGCAAAGTAAAAGGACGCATCCCTTTATTCACTCGTACGATCCACTTTGTTCTGGGAGTTATCGCATTTGTTTACGCGACGTGTAATAAACCCACAAATGGTATCCGGGTAGGTATAGTACAGTCAACGCCATATCCTAGTAATATTATAAATGTAAAAGTTCATAAAGATTTAAAGTCGCTAAGCAAATTTGAATGAACCAACACATAAGATATTTTATATACTTATTCACGCGAGTGAATCAATCAGTATTAGATATAACGAACGAACTTATTGATAAAACTGGTTCAACTGACCCATACCCCCATCCCTCTTTAAATACGTCAATACTGTCAACTCTTACTTACGCTCAATTTTTTTAAACAGCCATATGTTATCATTAATAGAAAAGAATAAACAATAAGTCCATGTAATAAATGTTATCAAAAAGCACGATGAGTTTACCTTTACCAAAATTATTACATATTTTCATCTGTATTGCAATCTCCAAAATATTTTCTCATTAACTTGGATAATTAATTGGCAATCCTAGGTTTGCTTAGACCCTCTTACTTTTATATTTTACATATATTTATTTTATATTTCAGAGGCGATAGTAAAAATAATAGGTCTCCGCTACCATTACTTCACGGTGCCGTGGAACGTATTCGACTTCTTGCTGGTGCTGGCGTCAATTCTCGGCATCCTGATGGAGGACATCATGATTGACCTGCCCATATCGCCCACCTTACTCCGAGTCGTCCGGGTGTTCCGCATAGGGAGAATTTTAAGACTGATTAAAGTAAGTAAATCAATAGTTTATTTGTATTTTCAATCACAAAAAAAAAATAGGGGAGAAACATTATTGGGTTTAACTTATGAGGATATTCTATTAGGATGACTTGACCTTCCGAAATATATTGGTCACATAAATGGGTTTTGTTTATGTTTGTAAAAACTATAAAATACAAAAACTTTATACAATTAAAATTTCTAATTCTCTCCGATAATGCGCATGTGAAAATATACGCCTCCTACTTCTTCCACCATTGCTATACTACTTTATTTTCTTTGCCCATCTCATTACAGGAAAAAAACTTATTTTCAACTACCTCTATACCTTCCGTTATTAGAAGTTGTTTAGAAAAAAAAAAAACATAAAATACTGACGAAAATATTTTGATATTTTCATATTTTATGTGTAAAATACATATATAGACAAAACAGAGTAAAATTAAAAACCTACTTTAGAAGTTGACTTTTTGAAGTGAATTTGTTAGCTATTGGTACAGTCGGTATGGATATACTTTTTGAAACGCTTTACTAATACTAAAACTAATATTGCATTAAAAATAACTTTACTATATATAGGTAAAACGATTGTTTGTTAAAAAATATGAAGTGCGCCATGTGCATAGTTATGAATCACATATAACAGTATCTAAAGAAAGTAAAATCCCTAAAAAAACCTATATTAATGCATTAGAATATTTTAATTACATATCATATAGTAGAATATTGTTATGGGTAATTTTAATATAAAATAAATATCTTCTCATTATCTGTCACAGTTATTGAAACTTTATTTATTTACCGTGAATATAACAGTTAACAAATTGCCAATATTTAACTTATCTTGCACAAGTTTCACTGAATATTTTGAAATCTTAAGTGGCAGGCGCAACACCGCCGTCTCTCAAATTGATTAATTGAGTTTTAACGGTCTATATTTACTATCTCTGCTAGTTCTAAATGGCATCATGTTGCTATACATACTATATAATACAGTATATACATAATTTTATTAATTTATTATTGATTAATGGTTTATTAACAATACATAATTATTTATGAATAGATAAAGCAGAAATTGAAACATAATAAAATAGGTTATAATTATGATAGGCTTTCTAATAATTACTACGTAGTAGAATATTATTGTAGTTTACTGATTTACTATTATTTTTATTTATTAAATAATAAACAATAATAGTTATATATACTCTACTTTTATATGTCACCAATCATCAATTTTAACAACTATTCCTTTAGGATTGCTAGAATAACATAAAATGCTTTAACAGAGAGATATTTCTTTCCCCTAGTTTCACAATGCTCCAACGTAAATTACAGTTACACGAGTACGAGAAAGGCATAAAGTTAGAAACAAAAGACAATACATGTATTTTGAAGACAGTAGCTAATAGTAAATAAATCAAATGGTATATCAACATGGATCCACACTAGGAGTTTTTACCGCTCGCTTTTTTTTACACCTACGCACTACCAAAAAAATATTTCGCGCGAAAATAATTCTACTTATATTATAAATGTGAATGTTTGTAAAGATGTTTTGGAGATTTTTTTTTTTTTGTGAAATAGAAGTAAATTTGGTACAGGAGTAAGTTATATCCTGGCTTTAAGTATATTTTATATACTAGTAGACGCGGACAAAGCCGTGGAAAACAGCTAGTAATTAATGATTAGTCTAGATAATTGACAAGACTGACAAGCCTCAAACTCATCTGTATCCTCATTCGAAGGATAATACATAACTTAAACATAAAACGGTATATTCGTAGATATTGTTATAACTTATTTATTATTTTATTATCCTTCGAACTCAAAATTCATCTAAGACCCATGTTATTTCTATACTCGCCTGACGAGCATTAAGGATGTTTAATATGATGTTTTCTGTCATTTTCAGGCCGCTAAAGGCATTAGGAAGTTGCTATTCGCGCTAGTAGTATCATTGCCAGCCCTTTTCAACATCGGTGCCTTGTTGGCATTGATAACATTCATATATGCTATCATCGGGATGTCCGTGTTCGGGCACGTCAAGGAACAAGGAGCCCTGGACGACATTGTTAATTTTCAAACTTTCGGAAGGAGTATGCAATTGCTTTTTCGGTACGTTTCACGCATGGATTTGATCTAATATCGTTGGTTTTTATTGGTATACGTAATATTTTTTTTTTTGTGTTTGCAGTCTCATGACATCTGCTGGTTGGAATGACGTGTTAGCATCGCTCATGATCCAACCGCCCGAATGTGAATTGGGGGACCACGGTCACCTCAATGGGAACTGCGGAAGCCCACTTTTGGCTATTACTTACTTCACGTCTTTCATCATAATCAGTTACATGATCGTCATTAACATGTACATCGCTATCATACTCGAGAACTTTAATCAAGCACACCAGGAGGAAGAAATTGGTATTGTGGAAGATGATCTCGAGATGTTCTATATTAGGTGGTCCAAGTATGTAGCTGAACATTAGTTTTAAATAAAAAAAAAATAACTGGAACAATTTTGATAGATATTGATAATATTATATTTTCTATACAGGTACGATCCGCACGCGACACAATTCATAAGCTTTGTCCAGCTATCAGATTTTATAGCATCTCTAGACCCACCTCTGGGTATCTCCAAGCCGAATACAGTAGCTCTCGTGAGTTTCAATCTCCCTATAGCCAAAGGCAATAAAATACACTGCTTAGATATCCTTCATGCGTTGGTCAAACACGTGCTGGGTCACGTAGAAGAAACGGATACATTCAGGCAGTTGCAAGAACAAATGGACATAAAGTTTAAAAAGCAATTTCCAACAAGAAAGGAGTTGGAGATAGTATCTTCGACTCGGATATGGAAGAGAGAAGATAAAGCTGCCCGTATGATACAGCGCACGTGGAGGGAATATGTCAAGTAAGTGTATATCTATACAATTCATATTAACTTACTCGTATTTCATTAATTGTTAATGTCTACTTTTTATTATTATTTTTTCACTACATCCCCCAATAATTTCTTTTATAATACTTAGAATAAGCAAAGGAACTAACAGCTCTTTAATGGAAAGTGGTAACGCCTATAGGCTTGAACATTTTTACAATCTGAATTTTCATATTAAGGCATAATTCCATATCTGTCTCTAGAAATAAATTGATTATAAATTATTTATAGTACCTACGTTGATTTATGAATCGAATAATGAACTAGATTGTCAATTTTGTGGTATAAATTTCACAGACGAAAAAATCGCAGTCCATCAAACGAAGAAGAAAGTACGAAATGGTCGCCTGGTGGAGGTTGGGGCGGACGTCTTAGCGCTTTGCTTCATGTACGGAGAGGCTCCCATGCCTCCAGTAGAAAATCTTCTAGGGCTTCGGACGCCTCTGATTTGAGCGAGTTAGGAGGAGCATGGCTCAACTTACCTCTTCTATTACTACCAGGAGCAACTCCTGGTGATCAGGTAATTTTTATACATCAAAAATATTTGAGATTTGATGCAACTACATTGACATTTCATAATAAGATAAATATATTATATTAATGTAAGCTACATTCATATTTAAGAGAAAATAAAAGAAAGTGCATGGGCAAAGGCAGCTGTGGAAACAGACAGTGACGGAAATCTAGACTGGCTTATCAGAGTGAGTCAAGTTAAAAAGAATTACGAAATTGTACAATGCAAACGCCTATGGTAGGATACTAGAACCTATTAGCATTAGATTCTTTCTGCCTACCCATAACTTAAATAATGGTACATAATATAAGTAAAGAGATAAATAAATAGTTCTTGCTATCTACTTGTTAAAAAAATATATCCAGATTATAAGTGCATATGAACAAGTATCTAAATGTATAAAAAAATAAAAATCATCATATCCCATTGTAAGCATTTAATTTTTCAAAATATCGTGCCTGGTATCAATTTAAATATGAGACGTTTCTGCATCGCAAGTCCGTCTACATGTCATCAGTCACAACATGATTAGCTCATCAGTGATCCCGTATGCTCCGATACTGGTATCTTTCTCCACAACGGTAATTATCACAGAACTGAATCAAGTAGAATAACCAAGGCAAATAACCATGGCCATTGAAAAAGCAAACTTAATAATACTAATGCCGAACACGAAGAAAACTGGTCAATCGATTCATTTTGCTCACCAAGTCATCATACTATTCTATATTCATCATTCATTAAGAACTTAAACAATTAAGTCTTGTGATAGATTATGGGTAATTTTACAATACGCGTGTTCATACACTGCCTTGCTATTTCATTCATTTCTGTGGTATTTATGGCCAGGTGGCGAGCGGTTCTGAATCGGCCCCGCCCCGTAGACGGTCAGCGTACGGTTTACCAATATTCCTGCGCCACCAGGACGCGGTCGACGAGGACGGCGGCCCGAAACGCGCAGGTTCATATGTAATGTTTTGCTTTCCGTGTCTCTTCCCTTAGAAAATTGAACTAGACATTTTATTCGGTAGCTTCGCAACGCCGTTGTGATTATTTGGTCCTTTGATAACAAAGTTGTGTATATTTTTAAAGAAAATGTCAGGGTGTTTATTATTTGAGTATTTTACTTAGAATTAACATTGGCGTATATAATACAAAATTACGGGAGTAGTTCTTCTGCCCTTTATATAATGAGATGCAACTGAAAATAAATTGAATATAGACACCTGACAATTTAAAGTTAAATTGGCAATTTTGCTAACTGGCAATAAATATAAATATCTATCAACCAAATTAAACCGTTAAAATATGTAAACCAACTACGACTTTAAAAATATTTATCTATATTCTTTAGTCATTTTAATATTAAAAAATTACTAAAGAATGAATGACGTCTTTTTAGAGTCGCAAGTGACGACATGTTCCGTTGCAAAATAGAAGGCTTACTATTAACTTTTATAGTTGACCTGGCAAAAGTTGTTTTCCGCCCTATCGCTACCTACTGGACCCATTATTACCGACATAAAAACTATCTTATCTCTTAAATTGGAACAAACAATATCCATTTACAAAACTTCATTTAAATTGCTAGAGCGGTTTCGGTGATTAGCGTGAACAAACATTTAAAACATGTAACAAGGAATTTTCATACAAGTATATTAAAATAACAAATATATAAGATTTGAGTAGAAATGTTAATGGTAAACCTGCTTCTCTTATTGTGTAGATGATGGGTATTCTAAACAGGTAATATTTATTTATTATAGAATACCGATAATCTACAAAAAATATCGATCGGCTAAACAAAAATATAAATATCAATTAACTCTACAAAATTTATAGATGAGCAACCTTTGATGAGTGACTATGTGTGTTTTTATTTTTAGGGCTTTTGCATGATCGCTTGCTAGTCACCCTTTAAAATATATTGTGATGTCAGTAAAATAGGTACCGCTTGCGTTGCCTTTGATGTAATTTTATTATATCTTGTGTAACTTTTAATTCTACTGAGCAACACACAGAGACTGTGTTGTGTTTGAAATGTGTTTTATGGCATGGGTGCTATATTTGTTTGAAGATGAAAAGAACAAGCTTTATTTACATAGCAACGTATATTTATATTTGCTAATATTTTTAATATTTGTAATGTTCTAGAACTAACAGTTTTTTATCTGTAAATTTAAAATATTATGGAAACAAATGTAAATAACTTAATATATAGTAGCTAGCCTAGCTAGATAATAATATTTATTTTTCAATATTTCTTTTATTTTTAAATAATGTTTTTTTTTATTGTTATCATGGTATTGAGTAGTAATATTTAATATATTATTAATAAATAAAGCTAGATCATTAATAAGAAAAATTAAAACCTAAGAAATAACGTTTTAACGTGTTAAATGTTGGAATGAACCGTAATTAAAAAAACATATTAATGGATTTCTTATTCGTTTCACACAAAAAAATAACAAATTTATTGTATATAATAATACATAACGAGATCTTGAGAACACAAAAGTAAAGGATATGAGAAAGCCGTTCTAACTGAATTAAACCGATCAAAAAATTGTTCCCAACTAATATTGGCTACACTATATTGTCCTATTTTTACCGTGAAGCAACAATGCGCGTTGTTACATTTCATCATGTATTACATACGCTTAACATTAGAAGCACTCACCATACTCCCCAGTAAAATAGAACATAAAAACACAGTTCACAATAAAAGTTCTTTTCACGTGAATGTCATAACAACTATTTGTAAATGTCTACTGTGGCTGAAACTTGGCGGGCCAACTGATATATTACGCTTGTTTATCAAAGATAAAGTTTATTTCTTCAAAGTACATACCGAATATTATTCTTTCAATTTTCTCAGTTTACGCCAATACTCTTGAAATATTACAGTTATATAATTGGGGACAACAGTTTCAGCCTAAATAAGTACTATTAAGCTATTTTTATATTTATAGACACAGATACAAAATAACATAAGTAAAAATTTTTATTAACGCATCTGAAAAAAATCCTATCTTTACATATTATACATCCGTAACTACATATATTTTTTCGACATTTGTACCCATTTTACATATTTTTTTTTATTTATTGAACCATGTAAAGAAATAAAAATGTAGTTTAAATAGCATACCTATATACATATATAACATGACCCTAATAAAAATACCTGCCTGTGTGTGCCATTGTACATTTCAGCATGATTACCGTCCGTATTAAAAGGCCTTCTCTAATAGGAATCTCGACAACGTGATCTCTTATTAAATTTTGCAAATATTGGTTGTTGTTACTTTATGGTATTAATTTACATTTTCTATTACATACAGTTATATTAAAATTGAATCAATATAGACCATAATATTTTTATGGTGACCATAATCGATAAGACAATTGTACTTCAAAGTTTTTTCCTGTTACAGTACACTCTGACCACTTTATTTTATTTTTTAATCTATAAGTTATCTTCCTTCAGTTAGGTCTATCTCGGACCCTACTCTTAACTATTTATCATGGAACAATAATAATGACAGATCATGTTGTCCCAATTCCTTCCTGTTACGGAGAGCTACTAAAATTATCTACAAGTTAGAGATACCAATCGACCGCAGGTTCCCTTCGTCTGAGTTCGCGGCGGAATTCGGCGCGGCGGCCCAACGTGGCGGCGCCGCTGCCGGCGCTGATGAAGGCGCGAACTCCGTCGCCGCACGCCAACAGCGAGGTGAGCATCCTCGTGACGGAGGCGTCCCCGGACGCGGCCCCGCCCCCCTCAGCGCCCCCTACCGTGGTCCGCGTGCTAGTCCACCGCGAGAGCGACGAACAGCCCAGCTGATCTCCCGCCGAGCCTGACGAGGCTCAGGACGCCACCGATGAACAATCTAGTGTCAAAATAAGTTAACTGCTTCGACAGCGACCTATTGAAGTAGTCCGTAAGATGTTCGAGTATCGAACTATTGTGTTCACGCACGCGCGCACCAGAAATTCGAGTGATACACCGAACGGCCCAGTTCGATAGAGATGTGATTTTTAATGTTAAGTAGCTTACCCACGTTTGCGGAGAGGTGACGGCCATTTCAAAGGAGATAAGTCGACGTGTCTTAGTTCTGGATATTACACAATACTGTTTGCCAAAGTTGTCTGTGTTGCTTTAATATTGTTCCTAATTGAAATAGTTTTGATTTTTATGTACACTGTATTTTTCACCCAATGCAAATTATATACATAATTAAAAAATATAAATACAGTCAAAATATGTTCATGAATATACCGATAGAGGTAATTAAGACAAGGAAAGTAAAGCAACCGCCGAGACTTAGCCTCCCGCGAACCTATTAGTATAATAATTAACCAAAGCAGTGAAGAAAAGTATTATTATCATAGAGTTGTTGTCCATATTTATTTTTTAAACATACCGCCTTATTCATATAAACGTCAAACCTCTCATAAATCTATTTTAGCTATTGAACTGTTTTATATCTATATTTTACACTAAATATAAATATATATACAACAAATTTGTAACAAAATAAGTAAAGACGAACTTATCTCTAAAAGATTTCTTTCAGTCTACCTAACATAATGGCATAAGAAGTAGTGAATGGGCAGTAATAGTGCCAAACAGAAAACGAAACAACAATAATAAATATTTACATAATTTACAAATCATTTTCTAATTTTACAATTTCAAAGAAAGTGACAAAACAGTGTAACAGTTAAAATAGATTTGTAGAAGGTTTTAGTTTTTATGTATAAGGGGGAAAGATATTAACAGCACCAGTAAATAATGCAACAGTAAAAGAAAACGAATTTTGAAGAAAAAAACTAAACGACGTCTATTTATCTCCATAATGAATTAGAAATTAAATACTTTTTCAAAGCCGCAATTACAGTAACCGGGAACTTCCAGAGATGTTGCAATAACTTTTTAATGTATCTCACCAGTAATTCCGATAAGCTTTATAATATACTTATAACAATTACGAATGTTATATGATACTTCAGAAAATTACAAATACTTCAATAAATTATAACATGAGGTTATATATTTACATAGATAAAATAGATACCTTCAAATAAATATATAAACAATATGTTTACTGCAAACGTTGATTCGTAATATATATTACAATACTTTAAATAAATTCAACATAATAAAGAGTAATAACACGCTGTTAGTGTTAGATTCATTTCTAGATGCGCTTGTTTAGTGATTTATTGTATAACAGTGCCCCGAGTGAATGGTTTTTATTCCTGAATATGTTTTCCTACGAAAAATAATCATCTTAAAAAAACGATCCTTAGCTACAGTACAAAACAGCTCTCAATAAACAAGTACTAGCAGGGAATAACTAATAATACTACGTATAATATAATGAGAAATTGAAGCAATATTTTTAAATTAATTTGTAAACCAATGTCCTTGTGTATAAAAATAGGTATTTTTTTATCATTTAAGAGTTTCCTCTTGTCGGTGCAACTAATTCATGCATCTTCCTCCAGCCAGCTCTATCCCAGGCCATATCCTTTATTTCCCTATACGACATGACGTTACTCTTGTAAAAAACGTAACAAACGTTTTAATCATTTACTCCTTTATATCATCGTATTAAAACGATTTTTTTATCGTTGCCGTGAAATAAATTATTACCTACGTATTTAGAGTAAATCGCCGGATGAATTTACTAGACCGCATAATACGATAAAGCGTAGGCGCTACAGCTACGCGGTGCTACAGACTACGCCTATAGCGTAGCACATGTTCAAAGCCTTTTCTGTCAACAGACAATAATAAAATTATATTTTGATTGTTAATTTTATGATATTATATTAGTGTAATATGACCTTTGAATTCTATGTTTTTTAATGGGTAAAAATGACATGGTAACCTCGCCTGCGCTATCAGTGTACACTGGCGGGGTACCAGTGGAAGGTAAGAGGTGAGGATGAACAGACAGGTCAGTAAGCCCACCGTGACGAATTCAACGATAGTTTTCAGGGGGAACCGCGAGAAGGTCGACCTGATAGGGTATATTGATAGCAATTGGGACTAACCTTCCCATTACTAACAAACCCTACAATACAACTATTAATAACAGTGGTTTACATTTACAACACAGAGCGTGCAATAAATTTACTAATTTCAATATATATATGTTACTTAATCATAAATATATTTCGATGTACATATAAGGTGGTGAATGTACACGGAAATATATATTTTATTTAAAAGTCTTTTATACTTGTACCATTATTTATTCTTTAAATTGAAACTGACACTCGGGGTACTGATTCTACGATATATTAAAAGGTTTAGTCATTCATTTAGATAGGATTGCTATTTGAGACCAGTCTCATTGATGGTTGTACATTAATTTGTTCTTGTAAATATAATTATAATTGTATATGAAGAACGACTGATTCGTCAACTTACCTATGTCGGTAACCAATAGAAATTAACTGCCGGCTGCTAAAATCTTACAGTCTGATAGCCGCTTTTAAATAATATCTATTAATAATCGTGATAAAATTGATGATCTTAATAATAAGTAGAATAACATAGTGTCGATATAGAAAAAGGAAGTACACGTAACTTCGATTTATGATAGAGCAAGAAATATATATAATATACATGTAATATGCGTGATATCTAACAACACACGTGACATTGTTAACCTGTACACCTGTTAATCGTAAATGAATTGGATAATCAATCACTTTCCGAATAAGTAACTTATTCATGTCCCTGAATAGTCAATCTTTTAAAAAAATATTCATTGGAGCGATATTTTACAAGAGGTAATAAGACCAGTGGCAAGATGGGTTAGCCCTATTACTCGCTCAATACGTGTATAAACTTTTTAGTCCATTCGTTCGAATTCAATCGGTTGAGATCGGCTAATGTCGTGAATATCATCTGTAAAATCTATCCCCCTAAATTCTAGGCCTAAGCTCACTGGTATATTTATGTACAAATGGGCTAAGAGCATCTGGTCATGACGAAATACGAATATTTTCTCAAATACCTGTGACAGTAAATTTAATTTAGTAATATAACGTAAAACAACTTATCTATTAGGGCAATCTTTTTCTTTTTTTGTTCTCATTGTAAACTATCCTACATGTTCGTAAATAAAATCGACCTAAAACCATCAAAATCGAAAGACGCTGTTGATGAACAGTCACTTAGTAAAAAATTAAATCGACATTTAGATATAAATATTGAAATTCTAAAACTTATTTGGAACAAATATATTGTAGAAGTTGCGTGTTCTATCTTGGTGTGAAAAACTAAAATCCTTAATCAAAAAGATTAAAAATTGTAATGTATCCTCTGCTATGAACACAAAGTAATATGATATTTAAATGAATTTATAGAAAAGTCAATTTTCTCTATATAATATAGATAGACAATTCTTTTGTACCATTAGTGTAGAATGCGTTTAGATATAGGCATCTTTTTAATTTTCCAGTGCCTCTAACATCCGCGCACAAATTCGCTGCCCCAATGTTTGTCTTCGTAAATGTCTAGGTAAATATTTACTATCGTTGAAATAAAAACCCTCGCCATATTGTGGATATTCTCGGAACTAATTTATTGGCAACATATTTGTATTTTTTATGTTGGCAAAACATAAATAATATTGATACTACTTGTCATATAAACATTAAAAAGGAATCTTCGGAAACCCAATACAGGGTTTTTATTTACTTAATAATCATAATTATAACTGAGTGATTGTATGCTATTAATTTATTCATATTATAATGTTTGTTCATCGAGCAGTGGCATTAAACACGGGCAGCGAACGCCTTATACTCAAAACGTGCCATTTCAGATATAACTCCGAATTTTATTTCATTAATCAACCGTAGATGTTGTTACACTTATTCGCACAAATTTTATTATTTATTAAAATAATTTAATTGTTATAAATATAATTAAAAGACAATATATTTCGATTTTAAGCTTTGTTGTTGGATTCTGTTGTTACAAAATGGCTTATTGGCCTTAAGCTCTTGTTGCTTTACTTCGTTATTATAATTACTTAAATGGAATTAAGTTTAATTAAAATATCGCCTTTTTTCTCACTTATTGTTTAATAATTTTAAATTTGTATAGCCCGTCCACTTCGTTGTCTTTTTTCTGTAGATTTATGGTAGTTTTTAATAGTAGAAATCAAGGCATCAGTAATTTGTAGCACAAAGTGCTTTAACTGGAGATGTATTATTATAATTTTAAAATTTGTTATAATATAAGCTATTGTTTACATTATTTTATAAAAATATATAGGTATATATTAAAAATAACGCAGCATGCGTCAACAATAAGCTTTCTAAAATGAGGTTTGTCTTAATATGTATGTATTAAATAGTATTAGCTTTTTATAAGAAAAAGCCTATTAAATAAAAATTTTTAAATTTCGTACGCATGTTTATGAAAATTGTAAGCATAAACTCCAATTTGTAGTTGAACCTATATTTTCTCAATTTAGTAAAGGACCAAAATGTCGATTATTTTACAAATTTTATCTCAATTTAGGTACTATTTGATCCTGACCAATCCCTTTTTGAATTAATTTGTACCTGTAGATATTTTTGAAGCCTGTTTCAAATTATTCTAGAGTATTAGGCGCTGACACGTTATATAATTAAAATTTGTACCACTTCGCTTTACAATACATTTTACACAGTTTGCTTTTAACCCTTTGATATTTTAATAAACAAGCCACACTCACTATTGAAAATTTTAATAATTAAATTAGCATAATAAAATTGTTCTAATATTAGTATAGATTTACTCTCAAATATTGTTCATTACTATGTACATAGATAAAGAAGAGGATGCAATAATTTTTCATAATTTTATCTTATAGTTATCTTAAAAAGGTTGTTAGGAACTAGGTATTTAACTTGATAATTTAATTATGTACGATGTACATGTAAAACTACCTAGTAGCTAGTGAAATTGCAATATTTAAAGCATGCGTTGAGTATGATTCAAATATAAATTATGTATCATAAGTGAGTATATTTAAATTGTATAAATGTAAATAAAAACTTTAAGTGAGACCTGCGAAATATGATTTTCTTCCGAGGTACAAAATATAAATTAACCATGTTGAAAACTATGATTAAAGAAAAATATAGAAACATGACTATTTTTATTTCATTTTGTTCTACCTATTTCCAAGATCCAAACAAAGTTCTGTCAAAATGTATTAAATCGTGGCACTCTATCTATGGAAAGATTTTGGAATAGAGTCTACGCGCTAGAAGTTTGCACGAGAAAAATAAAAACCGGTAAGGTGCGAGTTACCTCATACACCAAGAATTCCGTACATAAATATACATATGTATATGTATACATATGTACATGTATACTTATACCTAATATATTAGATAAAATTACCTTTATTGCATTTATCATACGAAATAAACTAAATAGTTATTAGTTGTTATTGATACTGCAATACGTAATTTCTTATTATAGGCCATAACTTTGTTTAAAAACTGGACCGCATAACTAAATTTGTTTTGATTTGTTTTTTTATAATTTCTTAAATATGTATTTCTAGTAAGACAATTCTGAAATTGTAGAACCCTTTTGGACCTCCTAGCAAGTAAAATAGAAATATTTTTTCAATTATTTCCACTGAAATAAGTGTGGGCCAACAATATGCAAAACTATTTCAAATTAAACTAGAAATTGCTGAGATATAGCCCAATAACAGACAGACAAAATGACTATAAGGATTTCTAAATCCCCCATTCCCTTGCAAGGATAAAAGTATTATCTCATGTCAAAGAATGCATTGGTTTTATATACCTACGACCGAAACATAACATTGGTACGGTATATTGGGCTTGGCCCTTTAAAAGACATATGTATTTTCATACATATCTTTTTGCATAGTGAAAAGCTCCGCTTATATCATGGTGTGGATACCAAATAACTGAGGTACCGCTCACCCGGTTCCCTCCTTTAAATATGAATAAATTACATGTACTAAATAATGACGATTTAAGAGGTTGTAAATGTACATTATACTAAGTCAATGTTGTAGAGGGAAAGGATTCCCATTCCAGGCGGAATTACCATTCTATTATCATCCATTACAAATCTATGTCGTAAACCAATCTATCGGAACAATGATTAATTGACTTGAGGCTTGATATACGGTTATGATTAAGATTAGACATAATACTCCTGAGCATCACAAATAATCACATACAAGGGTGCTGCTACCTATTGTTGTAACATTGCCCAAAGTAAACAGATAGTAAGAATAACCAGGGAAAGAAACAACTGTCTAAACTAGTAGATTTTTTCTCAACGCTTATATTTGTAGTTATTCAATACACAACAAAAATTTTCAATTTAAAATTTTCAGTGTGTAAGTATGAATTAAAAGTGTGAACATAGTATTTGCATATTTATTTATACTACTGAACAAATATTCTATAATTTTTCAAATAAAAGGAATTAAATAATCAAACAATACATTTTCAACCAGTTATCTGTGTAATATTATTATAACCAGAAGGCATTATAAATCTCTAGAATTTAAATAAAACAATGTACTAACAAATCTACTTAGTTGAGACCCTGGTTCTGCGATTCCATGAGAAATTGATACCATAACTTTTAGGTTTCAATGGCTTCTCTGTCTTAGGTACATCCAAGTACCACGTCCATCCATTCTTCTCACAATGTTCTATGGCTTCATCAGGTGAGGAGAATTGAACTTTCATATTAGAGAGAGGATCACCAGTGGACGTCCATCCCATGAGAGGATTCTCCCAACGCTGACGAGTATCAAACTCCATCTCCCAGTGATGGATGTTGTTGGTGCCACTTTGCATGGCATTCTTTGCTGGCTGGTAGATGCGAACACGACGAGTTTTGATATGCTCCTCAGGAACACCGCTAACTGGTGTCAAATCAACCTGTAAAACAGAAAGATCAAATTTCTATTAATATTATTCCATAAACAAATCTAAAATAGTTTATTAATTACTGTAAAAAGACCTCAATGCTTATAAGTTACAAAATTACATTATTAGTATAATGTAATTTTTTTACTTTTTGTAAATTTAAATTCACAAGAAAATCTTGTGACAATAAATGGGCTAATGTAATTTACTTATCACATTACATACAGTTTCAGCAATAGCCAAATTATCTAAGCCAACTGTTACATTCACCATAAAATAAAAATAAAATAAAGAAAAATAAAACAAATAGCAGTGCATGTTACATAGACATGTTTATAGACCCGCTATGTCCAAAGTACTATAAACAGTAATCACTTTCTATTGGGTGTATTTGTTATTTCAATATGAATAAAAAAAAGTAAAGTTGCTGAATGTGAAGGTAAGAATATCATGGTTTATGTTGTTTTATAATTTCATACTGCAAAACCTTCATTTAAGCCCATCTAACAAATGTGAAAATTTAAATTTTAACAGAAGTTGTTGTATAAGTTTTGAACAGATTAGATTATATACAGATTGATACCTTACCTTTGTGGGAACTGTAATATTAGACTCCAAAGCATTCTTTTGATGTGCCTCTTCAGGTAGGGTGAGAACAGTTTCATTCTCTAATTTAGGAGCTTCTCTACGACTGGTTGGATCAGCTGACGATGACAACCGTGCGCCACATGTTGAGAATGCTGGGAGGGATCTAAAAATTACAATAATTACTGAAACTTATGTTATGAAATAACTTTTGTTTACTATTATGAAAATAGATTTCTCAATAATTAGTAATCATACTTCAATGGATAAATGGATATAAATAAAATTTGATAAATAAATAAACCATAACTTAGATTAACATAGGAATATGATGATTACATATTTTGGGGATAGTTTTAAGTCAATTTATGAAGACGAAATTACGACGTACAACATAAATTTACCTAGATAACGGAGTTTTAGCTAAATTCGCCGTTCGAGCTATAACTTTCAGCATCGTTGCACCTTTTATTTAAATGTAACAATACTATAAAATAAAATTTTAATAATCGATTATACAACAACTACATAAAATAAGATGAAATAAGTTGAATAGGTACCTAATCTGTGCAAAACACAAGTCTGTGTTGTAAAATGACAATCAGTCAATCAAGCAGAAAGGCAGTCATCTGTCATTCTTAATTATATACAAAAAAGGGAAATATCAGCTTATAAAGAGATTGTATTATTACTTTATAGTAATCTATAGTAGTAGCCGTATAATTATTATTAACTTTAAACATTTTCTATACACTAGCCTGCTATGAATAGAGAAAAATAACAACTGATCTTTCGTCCTCTTTTTGCTAATTATATTTGCATAAGAAGAAAGGAGGCAACGATATAATTTACAGTTTTTATTTTATCATTCCTTTTATGTAATTCCTTGTTCTTAGGTGTTATGTCATTGTCATCAGACCAATTTTTTTTTATGTTGATTGGTTACTTGATGTTATGTCAATGTTTTATCTTATGTCATTCGTTTCGTTGTCATTTTTATTGTAAGTAGAAAAATATCTAAACCTAACAAAAGATTTTCTTTAATTACTACCAATAAATTAATATCTAGTTTTTGAATGTAATAATATTTTACAGTACATTGGTACTGCTTATGTATCTAGTTCCTTTATATTTAACGTAGAAGATGTTGCAAATTTTCGCTTATTTGAAAGATTTTTTCGAGACAGCTGTTTACTTGTAAAGGTACATGAATAAAATAAAATATACTAATTGAATTCTTTTTATATTATTCTCTCATCTTCATCTTTCTTAATTTTCTATAATTTGATTGGTTTTTTACAATTGTACTGATTTATTTTTTGCCGTACCGGTGTTATTATACTTTTTAAATGACGTCCTTGAAATCGTTTAATAGAATTTTTTTGCAATAATATAACAAACGTCTTCCACGAAATTTTATTTTTTAAATTTTACTGATGTTAGAGGAGAACCCTCGATTAGATTATACCCTTAAAGGTTTTTTTTTTAAATGAATGATAATGGAATGGTAACCCCACCCGCGCTATCGGTATACACCGGCGGGGCACCAGTGAAGGATGATAGGTGAGGATGAAGTAGGTCAGTTAGCCCATCGTGACGAATTCAACAAGAATTGTTCACAATGGTTTCCAGGGGGAACCACGTGGAGGTCGACCTAATAGGCATATTGCTAGCAATGGGGCTGTCAAACTCCATTGCTAACAATCCTTTTCCCCCCACCCTTAAAGGTTGCTATAGGCCAAGGACATAAAAATTTCTATGAATTTTTCAATGTCACAATAACCCTACTTTATGCGCCTATCGGATAGGGCTCTTCCAGTGGATCAACTTTGGTCATGTGATATTTTTTCGTGCGATTCTCCTTTTCTGAGATAAATCGATTTTGCAGTGCCATTGTAGTTACAGGGACATAGAACTTAGAAAAATTTGTATACCAAAATGTTTGGAATCCTATAACACGGCAATGAGACAACGCACAAAAAATTTCATATGACAAAAGTTGATTCCTTGATGAACCCTATCCGATGGGCGCATAAAAGTATGTATTTTCAAAGAGATGTATGTACATCTCTAGCTTCATCCAGTTCCATAACTCCTCCTACATATAGATGGCAGTTCTAAGGACTTGACTCCTTAGACAGAACATGATCCATCTGATCATAACAGATTAATCCAGATCTCCCCCAGTATCTATATCCATGTAATTGTTCATAGGTTACATATTCAATATACCAATTTAATATACACAAGAGAAGTTATAATAAAAGTTTATTAGAGGAAAGGGATTGTTAGTAATGGAAACTGGTCAACCTTCATGTGGTTCCCCCTGGAAATCATTATGAATAATTTTAGATGAATTAATCATGATAGGCCAACTGACTTGCTTACATCTTCACCTATCATTTCTTACTGGTGCTCCACCACCATATATAGATAGTGCAGACAGGGCAGGCAAAAAAAGAAGCTTATACCAATTGAAAATTTTTTATCACTTACTCAATGCTTGGATGGATGATTGACAGATATATAAAGCTATTGTCTATATAATGAAGGTGACTTCATACAATTAATAGTAATACATAAGAATTTTTCATATAAAATTAATATAAAAAAATGTTCTTCCAGATTGCCACAACAAACATTATGTCGTGCTAAAGTGCAACAGTGTAACCCCTTGGGGGTTACTCCAGAGCTTGGCTCTTCAGTACCTGTAAAGTTGCTCACTATTTACATCAACAGATAGTGTAAAATTGCATATCTATAAAAGATTATTTATAAAGTTTTTATTTGTTTTAATTGAAAGTTATAGTATTACTAAAAATATGAGTAGGAATAAAGCAGAGGTGGACTGTACAAGACGGTGTAGGTCCCGAAACCATGGACAAGCACTCACCAGTGCCATCACTAAGAGATCCAGCTCGGATAAATCTTTGGCTTGTTTCATCAAAGCAACATGTGCTAATTTCATAAAATCCTTTGACTTTGAGGTAACTATACTGTAATATATACTTAAAATGTAATTGTGATTCCCTACATAAATAACTAATCCATAAATTTAATAAAAATACTTGTTAATTGTATATTTATACATATCCTATCTTTTTATATTATATTAATGGATTACTAAATACAGAATACATCATTTCTAGTTTTACTAGAAATGATGTCTATTGTAAACATAATGCATGCTTAGCTACTTCAGAACAATAATAGATAAAACTTTGATAACTGAATATTAAATGAAAAAAACCATAACTATTAGGGTCATAAGACACTTTTTGTCCTAATTTATGCAGGAAAAGCTACTATTTACTAGGAATGGGTTATTTTATTACTGCTCCCATATCTATATGTTGGGTTCCTTTAGACATTGATAGCAATAAAAAGGTTATCATCTATTATTATATCACTCATACCAGTTGGATTATTCATATTCGTTTCGATCAGTTTCTTCATTTCCATATTATATATTGGATAACCAAGATTTTATATATTAGTTATTAGGCAATGGATATTGTAACTACAACATACAGATGTATATATTACCCATTTCCACTAGTTACAGCTAATCCAATATAAATTGCTTTACTATAAGAACATTTCGTTTCTTTTAGGGGCGCACTGCCCTGCACATGGCTGCTTCTCGCGGTAGAACTCATCTGATGGACTGGCTGATACGCCATTCTTCAGAAGCCTTTGTGAACGCTCGTGACCGTGAATCAGGTTACACTCCTTTACACAGGAGTATATTTTATGGTCAAATACATTCTGCTGTCTCTCTCATGAAAAAAGGTGAGGTTATTAGAAAGAGCTAATAAGATAATTTTTATTATGCGTTTTCAAACATTATGGTACACCAAACATACATTATGAATTTATTTACTATGTATGAATGAAGAAATTCATTTATTGGTTTAACAAAACCTGTATTATTCCAACAGAGATATCAATATCAAGTTTTCTAAATGTTGTGCTATAGGTATGTATAAAAATATATTGTGACATCATTGTCACTTTAAAACCTTACTTATCAAATAGACAGTGAAAGAAAGCTTTGTTCTCTTGAATGACACATTTTGTTAGGATAATATATATAAACCCTGCTACTTTGTTATTAACACATTGGATTTCATCAATTCTGTTAAATTTTTCCATTTTTAGATATTTCTTTTCTCAAAATCATAAGGGAAATGTCTCTGACTACCTCTTTAAGAATTATAGACGTAAGTGTATATTTAAAATAATTTTCGTATTTTATATACATATTTTAGTACATTTATGTGCCATGCCCAAATCTTCTTAGGGTTTATCTATTTTATATTTATTTTATCAACTAGGTGTGAATCTAGACATTGTGGATAAAGATGATTACAAAGCGCTAGAGCATGCTATGTTGGATCGACAATATATGTACAAACATCAGGGCACACAACCTAGCGAGGTGTATGTTTGGGGGAGCAACTCCAATTATACGCTGGGAACAAGCACGCAGCAGCAAAGAAACACTCCTGAACTCTTGGGGTGTTTCAACAGGAATAACACTTCTGTTAAACAGGTAAGCAGGATAGGTGTATCATAAATCTTGTTAAGTACAATTAGATTTTATTCCGCAAAAAAGTGCTTTCAATTATGACAAAAACAGCAAGAAATGGTTAGATACTTCGTAGACGCACTAGATTAAAAATATTTCCATTGAGACTTTAGAATTGTGTGTGTACAACCTATACAAACTTTACAACAAACAGGAAGTTTACAGAAAAAAAATAGCTGCTTCAATTGTCAGAAAATTAACATAGAACCATAGTAAATGATATCGCATCTGACGAGATTAAAAGAATGTTAAAACCGTCTGAATATATAAATGTATGGCTGCCGCTATTTGATATAATTTCAGCTTGCCTTTTTCTATATATGTTCTGTCTGAATTAAATAATGTATATAGGAAACGTACCTGGGGATATATGTTGCCACAAATATTTAATAAATTGCCTGAAGCTGTTTGTTACAACATATATACTAATCCATAAACGTGTAAAAAAATTGTAAAGTGGAACTATTTACCAAATAACCGACTGTGCAAGAAAAATATATTCTAACTGACATATAAACCCCAAAACGAGTTTTTGTTTAGCTATTTTATGCTTAGCGTGTATTTGTTTCTGTTGATACTCTGAATAAATGGAAAAAAATTACTCTTCTACCCATTTCTGCCATAAGGTAGCGATACATGTATTATCATCTCTTGATGCGTAACATATTCTTACTCCCAGGGTAAAAAAGCCAGCGCTATCTCTGATGCAAGAGGCTACTTAGTCCTCAGGAATTATCATAGATAAACACATTACATAGATAACGATATTTTAATATATAATACACATATACTGGCGTCTAAACTGGGCAGTAAGCTGCCTGTATTAATCGAAAATGGTTAAAAAGTATTTTATAAGCTTTTAATCATTAATGCACAAGCATCTACTTTATATTTATCAAGTATATTTTTATATCTATATATTCTATACGTAGACACTTGAATGGTCATTCGAATATGTAACATTTTTAAAAATAAAACAAACATTTTAATGGTAAAAACCTACGTTCGTAAACATGAAAATGCCATTAAAAAGAATAAATAGCAGCTGTCGAAAACTGTCACTGTAATAAAAATACCTTCGTAGTACAAATTCCCATAAACATTTATTATATTTTCTTTCTACAAGTTTTATACTAAATAAAAATGCACACGGTTGGCTTACCGCGCACCTGCCTCGGTTTTACCAACATATTGTTCTTCTTATTTGGTTTAATAGGCTGCATTATTTGTGTCTGGTGTGCTATTAACACTGAATTCTTTCAAGACGTAAACTACACGGTGACTAAAAGTTCACTAGTTGACGCTATAGCACGTTCCGTGAACCTCAAATTATGGTTTACGCCGTTGACCTCATTTCTTATTCCCCTAACTGTATTAACTATGGTAACGTCTTGCTGCGGCATTCTTGGTTCAGGATGCAAATTTAAATGTGCTATAAAGTCATACATTTTCTTGATCACCGTCCTATCTTCTGTAGCTTTCTGGGTAATCTTTATATCAGGCATCTACAATATTTACACGCGAAACGAAAAAACAAGAAGTTATTTACTGTCCACTTTACAAACGTATTATGGGAGGGATAATGATGTTATAACATCCATATGGAACTACGTTATGGTGAACAACGAATGCTGTGGTGTGAATGGTTATAGAGATTTTGCGTCTTCACAGTGGCAAAAAATGAATACTGATAAATTATTCCCAGTGCAATGTTGTCAACTCGTGAACAAAACTGTTCTTCTACCAGTATCAAAAGATTGTTCATTAAACGACGATCCAGAAGTGAAGTCTTACAAAGATGTCGGATGTTTTTACGCGTTGAGACAGTTTATTATAGGAAGTAAAGGAAAGATTATATTTTTCATTATACTGTTGATTATATTGTATACAATTCTAATGTTATTCGCCTACTGTATTATAAGAGGGGAACCTTTATTGCAAGCTTTGACGGAACGATCTATATTATTGCCATCGAAAAACTGGGAAATTTCTCAACAGACGTCAGCAAGTCCTAGTGCGCCAGATGAAAATATGTATTTAGAGGAACCACCTAAGAAAATAGTAAGGGTCGTGTCGGCGGTGAACCCATTTCAAACGTATAAATTTACGCCCAATGCGTACAGTAGTGATAATGCATATCCACAATGTGTTAGAACACAAATATAAACAGTTGTTAAATAAATGTACTTTTTTACTTTCTTTACTTAAAGATATTCGTACCTTGAACAGTAAGAGAACTCTTCAAGGGTTGGTAGTATGAATTAGCAGATTTGTCAGTAGATTTCACTTATACAGTTATATATATATATATATATATATATATATATATATATATATATATATATATATATATATATATATATATATATATATATATATATATATATATCAATTACTGTTTAAATAAAATAATATTTATATCATCTACCAAGTTTCTATTTTGTAATAAACGCCAATCAACAATTGCTAGACAACACTCGCAATAGGTGTGAGACCGCAATATAATTTTAGATAAACCAAAAAGTATTAACATCTTTTATTAGTTACTATTAGGCATAGGTAATATGGATTTTTTTATGCAACTTAGAATGGCAAACAAGCTGACGGCCCACCTGATGGAAAGTGGTAACCGTCGCCTATAAACATGAGCAGTACCATAGACATAACAGAGTATACTGTTTCGCCCATGATACCCCCCATGCGTTGCCATTCCTGAGGGCTCAGGTGTTATTCCTCTGTACCCAGTAAATTCACGCCATATCCCACCCTTCGAACCGAAACACAGCCATGCAAACACAACTGCTTCACGGTTGAAACACGAATGGGACAGAGGTACCCAAGCAATCGACTTTTGTACAAAGTCTCCCTCTGGTAGAACAACTTCTTTTAACAAAACAAACTTTGTTTTGTTTAGATCTAAACAGATATTAGATACACTTTTGTAGTAAGACGTCTAAACATGTATTGAACAACTGTCTATCGCTAGGTTAATTTTTCTGTGGTAATACGAAGTAAGTTTTTCAAATGAAAAAGTGCATCAGTTCACTGTAAAAGGCTGATATGATGATGATGATCTATTAACTAGCGACACTCTCCGAATTCGCACGGATGTTATTTAAAATGTACATACAAAACTTCCACAAGAAATATTTGTTGCATTGTATGGTTTAGAAGAAAAAGAGTTATAAATCGATTGCAATTTTCCAGGTATGCCTGGGCAAGTTCCACAGCGTGTGGGTGTGCGAAGGTGCCAGCGGGCCCGAGGTGTGGACTTGCGGCCAGGTGGCCCGCGCTGGCGGCCCGCATTCCACTGCGCTTCGGCCCGTACAACTCCACCTGCCTGATGCCTGCAACCAGGCCGCGGTTATGCTCAATTCCACTGTGTTCCTGCTTGAGAATGGCTCTGTTAGTATTTTTTTTTTATTTATATGAAAAGAAGAATATAAAGTTACAGCCATCGACAGGGAATTCATCCTCATACGCTAGAACCAAAAAGGTTACGGTAGTAAAGGTGCTGTTTTTGAGGAATTTTCTCCCGGGAAAGCTCAGCCTGTGGAATGAGCCGAGTCGAAATGCCGAGATTTTTTCTGGATACTACAGTGTGGGGTTCTTCAAAAAGTGTGTATGAAGGTTTCTTTAAGGTTGGCAACGCGTACATCACGTCCCTAATGTTACAGCCGCCCATAGGCTACAGTGACCGTATACCATCCGAAGGACTGTATGCCTGTTGCAAAACAAATTTGACCCGCGTTTAGTGTCAGTCTGTGTCATATTAAGATGTGAAAAACTATACCTAATATATAATTTAATCTGTCTCTTCTCAATGTGCCTCAACGTAGGGTTGCCAGATGAAAGTATATATGATAATTTAAGTAAATTCTGTTATTTTGTTTATATTTTAAATACGAACGTTTGTAACGATGGATATCTATCCATCCTTACAAACTTCAAGCAAAAAGTACTGAATGGATTTGAATGAAATTTAATACATTTACTTTTACAGATGAAATTTTCATTTACTTTACAGATTGTGCAATATACACTCAATAACACTGACAATATTAGTCAATCCGGCACAAAGACACCAACATCCATCAAGCTGCCCAACGTGAAGCCTCTAATGAAACTATCCCGGCCGCGCGGCGTGTGCGCATCTCGCTGGCATGCCGTATTCTGGAATGAGCATGCTGTGTATACGTGGGGTACCAATGTGGGACAACTGGGACATTCTCATGAGGACAAAGTCGTGCCGACGCCGAAAAAGGTTAATTTACATCGACATTAATATTATAAATAGGAAAGATTGGGTTTTTTGTGTAAAATTATACTTATCTAATTACAATACAACAATAAATTAAAGTTAATATAAAATTCCTTTTTGTGTTGTTTGTAATAGATAAATTAAAAACACTTAACCGATTATAATAATTCTTTTACCTAAAGACATTATCAGTTGGTGAAACAATGGTGCATGTGTTACCACCAACAGATATTTGGGGGCTCAATCCAGAATAAATAAACTTGAATCAATGTAAAGAACTTTATTATCTAAATTAACCTAATCAAGATATGACATAACTTATTTAGATCAAACATGTCTACTTCTACCCCAATGGAGGTCGTCGAAATATTACGAACCTTCGTAAAAAGCGTATGACGATTAAACTTTATCTAGAATTCTTTTTTCGACTACCGTTATTTAATTATTTATTTAATTTTATAATAGATACATCTATATAAGAAAATAGAGAGGTGACCCCGCCAACACTATCGACATATGCTGGCGAGGTATCAATGAATGATAAAAGATGAAGTCTAGATCAGTTGGCTCATCGTTATAAATTGACGCGGCATTAACATCTATAGTTTCCAGGGGAGAAGCATGGAGGGTGACTCGTCCCCATCAAGTCAACCTCCACGCGTTTTCCATCCAGCAATCACCATTAGTAATAATCCCCTATCCCTCCTAATGATACTCTACTATTATTTTACGGTGGCAGGTTGCGATATCCTTGAACAACAAGGACGAGGCGGGCATAGAGCTGGCGGGCGCGGCGGACGCGGCCACCGTGATCACCACCAGCCGCGGCGACGTCTACCTGCTCCATAAGAATATATGCAAGAAGATAGCTATCAAGTCAGTAGCGCAATTATACTATTGAACTTTTTAGTGGCAACATACATTTCTCTGGGCGGGGGGAAAGAGATTGTTAGTAATGCGGATTATCAATTTCATTGCTACCATCAACAACCATCGTGCTGAAACCCAAGTGTATTTCATGACAATGGGCTAATTGACCTGACTTTTCATTCTCACCAATCATCCCCTACTAGTGCATTGCCACCATATACCGATAGCACAGGCGGGGTTACCATTCCATTATCGTCCATTTAAAAAACATATATTAAATTAGTATAAGAAGCTCTTTTTGGGAAAGAAACATTTTCACTTTCACTGATAGAACACATCTTTGAAAGAATGCTATTTATACTGATTCTACCCTATATATACGGTATTTACCATATCAGCCGTTAATTGTCCACTGCTGAACGTAAGCCTCCCTCTATTGAGGGATTTTGCCAGTAGTTGCCATGCTTGGCAAGTGGATTGGCAACTGCAGTTAGGCCTTGAAGATGTTTTAAAAGGGACGCTGCTTCCTATCCCTCGATCATTAAGCTCCCTTAGTCGCCTCTTACGACACACACGGGAAAGGAAGAGGTGGCCCATTCTATGCCAGGGCCACACGGCCAAGACGATATTTAATTTATATTTATTCATAATAGGCAAATTAATCTTCGCCAAGTATGCGTGGAGGCGAAGGTAAGCGAACAGGGTGTTTACTCTCGGGTGACCGTGCTGCTACTCACCAATGTGGGCCAGCTGCTCATCTGGCAGGACACCACCAACAAACTCACCAGGTGACTGTTTATACTAATTATAGTCTTTATTTAAGATAATTTTGCTTTAATTCAACACCAAGTTGTTGTTCTTGCATGCAACTTGTTCACTTGCATGTTTGTCAATTTTTGAATATTTGGCAATGAATTTGGAAAGTCATCATAATGTTAGCCGTTAACTATCCACTGTTAAACATAGGCTCCCCTTTACTGGGTGGGTTTTACTAGTAGTTGCCATGCTTGGCAGGCAAATTGGCAGCCGTAGTTAGACTTTTGGTAATGTTTTAAGAGAGACGCTGCTGCCCTCCTCATATAACTTCGAATAAACTCATACAACTACGTTGGTCCACTGTTGGCTCGCTCCCTATCGGTCAAACCTTGCAAGCAATATATATTGCAGTGAGAACGTGCATCTCACTCTCTCGTACATACACCGCCTGATTCGTTATATCGTAAAATGACTTGTTAAATACATTGAAAAACCTATGCGAGATCTGAAAGGAAGGATGTTACATTTTGGAGGTGTTACCGCATTCAGAAACAAAATTATAGAAGTGTCACTTCTACGCAGTCTATTAAATCTTCAAGTATATGTAAATTTATAGATATTTTGTGTACATAGGTATAATATCTGAAATAATGATTAGTTTTTATAGCACATTTTGTATAAAAAAATTAAATGGCAACATTATATTGTTAACAGATGCGTATTCGGATTAAGCCACCAGATTGTTATAACTCAAATGACTCTCACACATGACGCCCTTTATTTCACAACGAAGTACGGCGAAGCGTTTATCGGGAATATATCGCGGAAAGCCCCGCACCTAACTTCGACGCAGCCTATCACAAAAGAGAGAGAGAAGGACAACAACAAATCAGCGCTAGTAAAGTTTCTAGAGAAGGACGACTGTACTAATGTCCGGATAACAAAGATACCGAATATACATAGGGCTGTCTCAATTGCAGTTGATAGTGAGGGACAAAATTTTGCGTGTTTGCAGGTAAGTACATTATATCACAATATTTGTTTGTGATATTTATAAACATGATGAGATTTACGAACATAATGGTGATATTTAAAAATTATTATCATTTTTCAACTTCCAAGTTTTTTTTATTGGAATGTTAACCCACTTAACTAATGGATTAAGCTGGTTAAGTACCAGATAGGAATGATTCATGATAGATGAAGATAAAAGGTCAATCTTCCCATCCTGATGAATTTATAAAGTATTAACCACAGTGGTGTCCAGGGTGAACCGCGTGGAGGTCAACCAGATAGAGTACATTGCTAGCAATGAAGCTATTATATGCCCATTATGAAGAATCCCTTTCCCCCAAATCTCCACTGGCTTAGTTACACTAACAAAATCAAAAACTTACATGTAAACTGAAGTGGTAAATGTGGAGGGAGACTGGTACCCAGCCGGTATATACCGATAGCACAGGCGAGGTTACCATTCCATTATCATTCATTAAAAAAAAACCTATTAAGTATTTCTGTTACACAAATAGGTGCAAAATTTTTCTTACACGTTTCAGATAAAACCTACATGTGGACTGACATCGTTACCAGAACTTTCCCCATCCAGTCTCACGAAGCACATGGAAACACTGTTGGAGACGGCCAGCGATGACGATTTGCTGCACGACGTAACTTTTAAGGTATATGTTATACCCACTCCTTTTCAGTTTCAAAAACAAGAGGTTCCCAATTGTATGTATATGTAGATACAGCTAACAAAAAATACTGAGTACAATCTAAATTATTATCTTTCAGATAAACCAATGTTCTGCCAGTGAAATTAAATATAATTTTGTAATTAAAGATAAAACTTTATCATAATTTTTGTCTTTATTCTCTTTGTAAAAAACATAAACTAGTAAGAAACATTGCGTTTAGTCGAGTTATTATTCATTCAGGAAAGGATAGTGTATTGTATGTCACTTCACATTATTACATAACAATTTATGTTTTTTTTTCATGCAGGTCGGCACAAAATATTACCCTGCACACATATTCATAATCGCTTCCAGCAGCGAACACCTCTACAAATTGTACCAAGAGAAACTGACCAGCCCTGAAGATAAGCCAGTTATATTATTGGAGAATGTTCATCCAGAAGTATTTGATCGGATATTGAGGTATATGTATACGGGCACTTGCGACGTTGCTGAACTGGGCCCCTGCAGTTTGAAGATAAGGAGGGAAGATCTGAACACCATGATAAAGAAAGAGAAAAATAATATTGATGTCGAAATGGAGTTGATAGGTGAATCCTTTTTATTTTTAAATGACATTAAAATGCTACATGATCGCCTGCTTATTTTATTAATTAGTCATTCATGCGAAAACACTGTATATTGTGTTGGAAATTGTGCATGATATTAAAGTTATCAAACTAAATTCAATATCAAATAAATAATAAATAACTACAACTTTACAATGTCATCAATATTGTATATATATAGTAACCGTAGCCTATAGACATGAATAGAACCATCGACATAACAGAGTATACTGTACATACATACATATCTGACAGAGTATACTGTGTCGCCCATTATACCCTTCATGTGTTACATATATAACATTTTTTAATGTAATCTGTGTGTTTTATGTATTTTAGAAAATCCATCAGAAATATCAGCGTTCGAAGTATACAGGGAACATGATAAAATTAAGAAGAACTACCGTAAATCTCGAACGTCAGACACTCCGCCGCGCAACCTTTACTGCGATCCAATAAAACTGGTGCAAGCGACCGCCAAGCGATTACAAGTTATGGGCCTGCATAAACTTCTAGAAAAATTCTAGTAAGTAAATGTCATACATTTATTATCAAATGAAAAACATAAACAGGGTCATGGAAAAATCTTCATTTATATCCGATGTTATTTCGATCTAAAATTACACACAGATTTGTAACATCTTTATTCCCATGAGAAAATATGAACCTAGTAGGTGACACAAAATTACTTTTACGAAGTTAATTAGTATATAAGTAAAATGAAAATTTTGCTCCATAAAAAAAAATCTCGATCTCTCCCGTGTCCTGCCGATCGTACCAAAACTTATTAAAAACAAAACTACTAAATTGATTTTGATAAAATTTCTACAGGAGCCATTTGAAAGTACATCTATAAATAGGAATAACATCTATCGTATATATATACATATATACTTATAATAAATCTGCAGAGAGGTAAATTCTATACATGAATTATATTTCCAAAATAACTATCAGGGGGTGATTAGTGATCGATACTGATGCCAAAAATGCAATCAGTACAATTTTTGTCTGTCTGTCTGTATGTTCGTTATAGAAACAAAAACTACTCGACGCATTTTAACGAAACTTAGTACAATTATTCTTCATACTCCTGGGCAGGTTATAGTATACCTTTCATCACGCTACGATCAATAGGAGCAGAGCAGTGAAAGGAAATGTTGGGAAAATGGGAAAAGTTACTCCATTTGTAAGCTTCCGTCGCGTATGTAGCCTTAATGGCCTCTTTTTAAAATGTAAAAATGTCCACCCGTGCGAAGCCGGGATGGGCCGCTATGAATTATAAAGTTCCTAGGTAACAAATATAAAAAATATTACTTTTATTACAGCTACAGAGAAGGCACAGTGTACCTAAAGGACAACGCCAGCTACAGTCGACCGGCGGCGCCGTGCTGGTCGCGAACAGATCTCGCCGCACTAGCGGACACGCGCGTGTGCGGCCGCGCCGGCTCCCCCACGGCCGCGCACCGCTGCCTGCTGGCGGCGCGTCTCGAATACTTCCACGGGATGTTCATGCACTCCTGGACTGAGGTCGGTTTTACCATTAACTACTAAACCCACCGCAGGGGTCTTTAATGGGCGAAAATAGAATAGTAGCCCACTTTTGCTATAAGTATACGCTGGTGAGGCATCAATGAGAGATGATAGGTGAGGATAAAAGCAGGTCATGGCCCATATGACGAATTCAAAAAACAACCAATCGTGGTTGTTCCTTGAATTCAATTGTTGTTTTCCTGGGAAAATCATGTGGAGACCTGAGTATATTGTTAACAGTGGGGCTCATAGACCCCAGTGCTATCAACTCCTCCTCCTCCCCTACGTGGGTAGTCTTCTTCCCATTGTTAGTAATGAGTACTAGCAGTATATAGGTCGATCTCCATATGTTTTCCACAAAAAACAACTGTGGTTAATTCTTAATTATCATGATACCACACTTGAGCCTCGCCAAGGTATACTGATGACGCAAGCAGGGTTACCATTCCATTATTTTCGTCCATTAGCCAAAGAGTATTTTTGAGTGTATGTTTGTCCAGATCCTTATATTGTCTAAATAGTTTGATGTATTTTTTTTTATAAATTGAATCCTAATTATAAAAAAAAATGTAGGCTACAAGGTGACAGTATAAAATTAACACGGCCGCCATAAACTATCTAAAAATATTAATTGAATTACTTTACTATATCTCTGTTACTTATGTAGGTAAATATAACTTATTATATATTTGTCTTCTTTACAGAGCAAACTGTTATCTCAAGTGACCCTACCAATAAACGAAACAATACTTTTGCCTGTAATAGATTTTCTTTATACTGACTCATGTCCAGAGATTGAGAACTCTGATAGCATCGACTTCATCTGCAGTATGCTTATAGTAGCAGACCAGTTGTTTATTACACGCCTAAGAGAAATGTGTGAAATCGCACTGGCCAACCTAATTACGCTCAAGAACTGCTCGGAGCTCTGTCAGTTTGCTCACACATACAACGCAACACAGCTCAAACAATGCTGCATGGAGTTTATATCACTCAATTTATGCAGTATCCTAGAAAACCATTCGTTAGACCATCTTGAGGAAGCATTGCTTGAAGACATTACAAGTTACTACTGCAAATTCAATCCTATCATGGCATCTAGAGTTATAACTCCATTCTTTAATGCACCAAGTGATGATATAATTGATGATTGTGCAGTAAACTTCCCTATAGACTTAGAAATTACTGATGAAGATCTCAAACGCGACGACAATTTAGAGGTTACAAAGAAGAAGAAACAATCCAAAAAAATTGAATACACTGAAAGCGAAAAAGCTAGAATGAGATATGAATCTGTTAGTTCAGTAACTTCTCTGGACTTATCTAATGAAGTGTCGGGCGATATAACATTGTCTTTGAGCAATATATCTAAAGAGGCAGAGAAAGGAGCTCGGGACAAACAAGAGAAATGGATAGAGGTGCCATCCTCACAGCAGAAACAACAGAAAGTAGTTCAAGCAAGATTAAAGGCTATATCTAGCGCTCGGGACATTTTAAATGAAACTCCTACTGAATCATTTATGAAATTGACAAGAAATAATTCAGTTAATTCCATATCCAATAATAACATGCAAGATAGTGTTCCAACTACTTCACGGATGTCAGTGTCTCCGAAAGACTCGCCCATAACAGAAATGTCTAGAAGCTCGCAAGGAAATCTGGTAATCAGTCATATAGGACCAAAGATGTCACAGAAGCAGAGGAAGAAATTGGCGATGCAGGGCAATGATCATCAACCTCAGAATCTGGATGATTTTATGAATAAATTAATCCTTGGTAGTCCTCCAGAGAAACCTAAGAACCCTTGGAAGATATGTGAGCCACCGGTTGCTAGCAGTAGCCCTAACAAAAAGACCATTGAGTTTAATCAAATCTTAACAGATCAGAAAAAGCAAAAAGAAGATTTCTCAAGAATCATGACTAAACCACTAACACTAACACAGGTATTTCCTTAATTTCCTCTAAGTTCCCTTAATTTTGTTTTTTAACATTAAATAGCATGCATGAACCACACTATATTTTTAATTGCATGATTTTTTTACTAATTCCGAATTTATTTTGATTATTTATTTGCTCCCACTTTATCACAATCACAGTTTGTTTTGTTTACAAATTAAAATGTTAAATTTGATTTCTTTTTAGCTTGAAGACAAAGCTATAGAGGAGCTGGAACGATTCTACAATATTCATGAAGTAGATGATGAACTGATTACAGTGAGGCGAATAGAACTGCAAGTGTCTTCTCCCCAGTGGATCCATACTGCCCCTAAGTGATATTATGTGCTATTTTATACTATTTGAATCTGATTATACTATATATTAAAACTTATTTTAAATAAAAAGAAATGCCATATTTACAAGATTTTTTTTAGTCCTAATTTTTATATCCAAAATATTTAGAGACAGTAAGATAAATTCTGAACTAAATAGAATATAATTATAAATATTTGTATTTCGATTAATAATATTTGTAGGTAGATAGTTCAAGCTCTATTATTTTCATTATTGTTTTAATACAATATTACAAGTACTAGCCCTATCCTGTGGATTTGCCTATATGTATTTAGAATAAATTATATAAAAACCCAGGATATCAATCTATATTTAAACCTCAAGTCTGTTCTGCCATTTGTGTGTATAAATAATAAAAATCTAAAAATTTTTCCAAACAAAAACATTATTATATTAGCAATATGTATCCATGAAAAATAAATCAATTTATTTTTTTAAGAAACTGGCTAACAATCTGACGGTGCATAAAATCATCATAGAAAGTTCTAAACATTATCTATATTAACAGCACTGTGAATATCACAGAATACATTTACTAGAAAAATAATAATACCAAGAAATATTAAAAAAAAAGAAATGTTGTTTGCTGTCTTTTAATATAAGCTATTATTAGGTTTTCATGTTATGTTATATCATGGTTCTTATGAATAACAAATAGAGTTAACTTCATATATCTATTTTATTATTTATAAATTATAAATAAAACATTATTCACAATTAACTAGTTGACTAAACACAAGTAAAACCTTGTCAACACTTCTGTTCCTTCAGATCACTTTGTTGGTGGATATGCCTTTAACATTTTATTCACTTGTCTATGAGTCAAGTTCTTCTCACCAGGAACAAGTATACCTTTTTTTCCTTGCTCTCTCTGAACAGTAATTCTTTTGTTGAATTCAGAGTAACAACTTTGAAATTCTGTAACCTCTTTCAAGCACTGTTGTTGATCAAAATCATGTTTTTTAAAACAAGCAAACATAACAGCTAATTCCTGCATACAAGCAGCCTCCTTCGATTTATCTCCTTTTCCTGAAACTGTTTTCTTTAATGCTAATGGCAGCAACATTTGAAAAGGTACTGGTTCTCTTTGCGGACGCCTAGCATTTGTACTTGAAGCGGCAGAGAAATATGTTGGATGCAATCTCATCTTGTATTGTATAACTTGTCTTTTTTAATATACCAGAGAATAAATGAACTAAAATCGAATGTTACAGTTTAATTAGTAGAAACAAAAAAGTTAGAAAAATTGTCAAAATTAAAATTACCATAAACTGTCATGCATGACAAATTTTGGACTTTGACAGTACTGTCATATGACTGATAACAATAGATTGAGGCAAAATACGACAGATAACAATTTATATGCATAAACGGAATTAATTGAAATCGCAAGGTAAATAGAAAAAATTTGGAAAATTTAAAGTCTACCATTCTTTCTGTATAGTTTGAATATTATTATAGAAAGAAAAACTTTGTTTTGATGATCAAATACTAAACATACTTCAATCGATATCAAAACGTAGTTTGAAATGCATACATACATACATATCTGTTACGCCTGTCTCTCATTAGGGTAGGCAGAAACAATGGAACTTGAAATGCATTTTTGTATAAGAATTTTAGCCGCAAATTGTTTATCGCAGAGTGTATGTTTCTAAGTATATAAATAATGTATTTATGCGTTGAATAATATAAAAGGTTGGTTGTAATTATAGCTTAAAATAAGTGAACAAATTTATAATTGAGTAATTCGAATTACTTAAGTGTGAATAAAAATGCTTATGCAGTGAAAATCTTTTGCCATATAGGGTTAATAATATTATAAATATATTATTAAATAAGTGAGAAAATTATTTTGTGTACTACTTTTTTTATTAAATAATATAAAAGACCGACTAAACAGAAAAATTATATATTTAATTTGCAATATTAGTTTAATTAGTAAAACTTACGAACTTTAATATATTTTGTAAAAGTGGCAATCCTGGTAATAATTAAATTGATCCTTTTAGTCACCCCGATCTCGTTGTGTATAGAAAATGAGTATATTGGAAGATTTCAAGAAATACAGACGATTTAGTTAATAGTAAATACCCAAATTTTAAAAGTTATGATTCCGGATTGTATAATAAAATTATCAAGTATAACAAATAGTTGCTATTCACCCCGTTTCATGGTAATGACCTCTATCCACGCTTATATATAGTCGCTTATCAGTTTTACTATTTAAAAGAGAAAGCATCAAATTAATCCCTATAAAAGCAAAAACTGCGCCAATATTTGCCCAACGTTTACGAATTGTCAAAAGAAATATATACACGATTTGCAATTGTTACGGATTATTTGCTTTCTAAATGCATAGACTTAATGTATTACATTTACTATTACGTACTGAATGCATCAAAGGTGATCATGAAAAATGGTGACGTCCAGCGTCTTATTCTACATTCCAACTCAAATTTGTTTGCATTAATAATTTCTATTGATGAATTCACTTATCACTTGTCAAGGAGAACAAATGTGGGGTCAGGTAGACTTAGTATAACGTATCTAAGAGGTCAGACCATATGTCGATAGTATAATTCTTTGAAATCTTGTTTGTAAATTAGTAATTTTACATTTGTATTATTTGTCGAACTATGTATGTAAAATTTTGTTAAGGAACCTTCTATTTTATATTGGGAGGCCTATATCCAACAGTGAACGATTAACGGCTGATACAATACAAAATATGTTGGTTTTAGATTAAAATGTTGGCATATAGTTTATATTTGAATAAAAAATGTATGCTTCAATTGTGAAGCTATATAAATTAAAATACGTCTATGATAACTACAAAGTCGTCATTGTGGTAAGTTATCGAGACAATAAATGTCTGGGTATATTTTAATAATACAGTATGGTAATCATAAGCTATGCCAAATGTGAACTCATTTATTTCTAAACTAAATATTTTTTATTGAATTCTAAGTGATTAAAATTATTTTTATACTATAGAATTTGATAGTGAGATATATTTATACAACACAATAACCAATGTCTATATTAATTACTAGGAACACAAATAAAACAAATTTAGACTGAATTAATAAATATTTTATTATGTAGTACTTTTACATATGAATTTATATTGGCAGGTACGTATACCTATCTATGATTAAATAGTTTATTGGCTACAATGTAAGAAATGATTAATGAACACATCAGTTATATTTTAAGTACCCATAACACTTGCAAAGTTATTCAAAATATATATTTATATAATATGTAACTATGATCTCCGTGGTAAAAAGGTAAACACTATTTTGCCTAATGAGGTCCTGGTTTCGATTCTAATTGGGCTAATTTAGGAAACAAATTTTTCTATATTGAATCGGGTCTTAGTGTGGCCCTAGATGTGTTCGTTGTATGGTTCCTCATGCATAATACTTTTGATATTTGATATATTATCTTAATTTGAGGTACAAACGATCGATATATATAGTTATTTGAATAATTCAAAACATTCATCAATTAAAATATGAATTACCTCCAAAAAAAGCTAATGTCCTACCCTTATTTCCACAGAATACTGATACTTACCAACAAGTAGTTATTCTCGTAGTTCTCGATTTTACAACTGCAACCAAAACGTAATTACAATTTCAGTTTTAAATTTTCAACCGGAATACCTGCTTGATATCGATTTTAATAATATACGATAACAGACTATTTATTTTATCAAAAATGGTGGACATCGAAATTTTAGATAGGTAATGTAATAGATTTTTTTTTAAATCTTTTACTTAAAACTCGTAGCTCTATTTAGCTAGTTGCATTTTTAATCAGCATTAGAAGACTAATTATTAAATTATAACAGCTGTAAATGCGCATGTATTTTTTAAAAAAAATAAACAAAATCTTTGATTTTGATAATTCTTTTTATAAAAGTAAAGAGTTAAAACCGTGTTAATTTTGTCACTATTATGATGTAGGTAGCTATTTTTTGCTTGTTGTCTTATTAGTTTGCCACGTCCACATTATATAATTATGTACATATATATTATTATAAGTACATAATTATATTCCCTGTTAGACATATCTACCTAGTATCATGAAAATCAACATGGCACAATATTCAAAACCTAAATTGAAAATAAGGAAAGATATAAGAATGGCAACCATCTGTCCTGCGTGGCAAACAAAGCATTTGATGTAACAGAGTTGCATTTAAGAACATTGACCGTGGCTCACACCTGCTGTCTCGCCGACTGAATTCCTAAGGACATTACAATAGTTTAATTTACCTTACTTTGTATTTATTATCTTAAAACAAACAAGAGTGGCGATAGAAGCCGCCGGTGTTTAGTTCTTTCTGCCTTTCCCGTAAGAGATCTAGTAAGAAAACATTATGTATCTACTGTAATCATATTATTATTATTTTGTACCACTGAGATGGTAAACCAACACAGCCCATCTGGTATTAAACGGTTATCGTAGAGGCTCTTAAGGCTATAACTGCCACAATACCAGGAACATTAGTCGCGCGTTGTCAACCCTGAAGGAATCTCTTTACCATTTTTTTTAAAAACTCTGCTGTAGATTATGGAAGTAAACATTTCTGAAATTGAGATGTATGCGGCCATCCAGGATGTAAGGTACGGAGATGAACTCTCTGTGAATTATGGTAATTTTAAATGCACTACCAGAATTAAACTCACGATAAGTATATGCTGTGATTTTTCCTCAGTTTCATGGTATTTCCTCTACCTGGTTATCATTGTCGAAATAATAAATGGAATAAAAATTTTGAGATCAATATTATTGAAAAATAACTAGCTATAATAGATGATACCCCTAATGTTGCAAGCCACATAAGCTACAGTAACTGTTTACCATCAAACGTTGTGTTACATACACCTATGTTTGTAAACTAACCACGTACTCCGTATAAGCTAGTTCATCCTCACCTATCTTCCTTCATGGTGGTAGGAAATGGACAATCAATTTCAATTCTAAATTGTAGATTAGGTATCTATACTTTATACGTTTACCCATAGTCGACAAAAGGCTTTTTGATTTACCTACCATTTAATCTGGGACTAACTAACTCTGCGAGCATCACATAGGTACCTAGGTAATTACATATTTAGTGCTAGGTGTCACCATTGGCGTTTTGAGAATTATTTTTCATTGGGGACTTGGCCCCTTATAAATGCAGCATATTTATACACAGATGTCTTTAGGAAGTCTCTTTCGCATACCTGGGTAGACATGAGAAGATTCTGGAGAGGGCATAGCACATGTTAAATAATACGCCTATGGTTACCACGAGCATCTACCTATGCTAGGCATCACAGACCTACCTAGTAATTAAGAATCATTACTGTCCATATATTGACCAAATGGATGATGTATCTATGCAACCACATAGAAATATCAATACAATAAAATAAACAAATATAACTATTTATTTATAAATATGCTTTTATCCAAAATATAAATAAAGATTTAGTATCAAAAAAGATTTACCTGTTGACTTTTGAAAAAAGTACTACGTTGCATAGATTTTATTTTTAGCTACTCTTTCTTTCCTGTGACTGTTGTCAGAGGCGACTGAAGGAATTTATTTTTATTAACAAGACCCTGACTCCCTTTTATAGTATAGTTATAAAAAAAGTGTAATAATAAAATAAGATAGGTGGTATATTTCCTCTTTTATATTTACCTGATTACTGCAGAAAGTAGTACGGCAAATAATGGTTTTTACTAAGTATATACACCAATGTTAGTAATTTTTCAGCATTTTTTAAAATAAAGGCTAGCTAATAGCTATTTGGCAGAATTCTATGTAAAGTAAAATTGCATAAAATCTACCTATGGCTTTTAAGATAGATACACTGTCAGTTCAGGTTAGATGATTCAAACTGAAGCTACTGGGAGGCAGTAGCTCACTTATGTACCTACAATGTATCTAGTTCTAAATTTAGAAAAAGATCAAAACCATTATAGAACACACAACTTACCTCAATGCTGGAATACATAAATACAAACCCTTTATAAATCCACTTTTCACCTAAACAGTTTGTTTTATAAATGATTGCCATCCAAGTGGTTGCTTAAATTCACTCACTCACTTTTGTTTAATTAGAGTTTATAAGATTATTCTGATTCTATAATACAATTTTTACACAGTTACTATAAGAACTATGTAAAAATTGTCTGAAAATGAACTGTTTTCTTTAAATGTAACTGAACACTGCTATTTCACTGTATATTGCCTTTAACATACTTATTATTTATCACAAAACACACACTTGTAGTAATATTTATTGGCATGTGTTTATACTTTATTATTAAGTATATATTATATATAGCATATATATAAGTATAGCACTGCCAATGTTGAAAAAAAAAACTTGAATAAGTACAGTGAAAATAAATTTTTCATCTCCAAAACTATGGAATACACATTTTTTGTCACAGCCACTGGTCATCATACACAACACAAATCCACCAGGTTTAAAAAAACTACAACATCAGATAAAATACTCTATTTACAAGTGCACTCTCACTACACATCACCTAACACTACTAACATACACTTGTGTACACTATAAAGTCAGTATAATCATAACAAATAAATATACACTTATTTAATTTTAATGATTGTTGATGCTAGCAGATATTAATTCATTACTTATTTTTATTTGTAATAACAATACACTACAATTGTGGGTTACCACAAGATTTGCACAGTGTGTAATACATCACTCAACTATGTTTACAATCACCCACATCACTACACATTCACATATTAAATTAGAAATTATCTGTAAACTATGGGAAATACTAAAGACTTAAGACTAATTATTGTAAACTCAAAAATATAACTAAAATAAATTATGCAAACTTTATGCTGAACCACCTCGCACAACCACTATAACCAGGTGATCCTCCTTTAAACTTTCCTCAGTCAAGTTGTGGCATGTTCTTTTTAACAGTTCAGTTGAAAACTCACATGGAGGGAATGAGTACAAAACTCCAGTGGCCTCCGTCTCTTTATTCAAGAGGGATATCACTCCAGCTGCTTCTTTCTGTTTCAAATATGATACCAAGTTTCTCATGGGTCTAGTTTGAATGGTTGTGTCATCATTTGTAATGGATGCAGTTGAGCCGGCCACTCCTAAGAATATTGCATGTGAACTCGATGTGGCTATGCGCTTCTGTACATCATCCAGTTTGGGCTGGTCAAGTCGCAGTCTCTGAGTAATTCTCAATTGATTTTTACCATCCTCATCTTTCATAAGACTGTCAATAATTTCCGAATCTCCATCTGTTAGATGGAATTTAGTTGGGAATAAGGAGTTTTTAAGGATCAAAGCACCATTCCAGATTGTGGTGGCTCTACGAACTACTTCTGGAAGTGTCCTGGCTGAGGCAAGCATACCACCATTTCTCCTGGGTGAACCATCAGAATCACTGTCAGGGGTCCTACGACGGAGAGATCGTGATCGGGATCTGTCCACACCAGGTTCTCTTGATCCAGATCGACGCAAACGACCCTCATATTCACTGTCAACTGGTGGCCTCCTCCATTCTTCATCACGGTATTCAGCAGTCCCATGATACATACCCCTGTACATGCCACGTCCACGACCTCTATGTCCACCCCTACCCCTGTAACCTGCACCATAGCTATAACCATCTTCCCATGTACCCTCATACCCTTCATAACCCTCAACTGGCCTGCCATCTTCACCTACAGGAGGTACATATGTCTTAGGTCTATATGGTGCACCATTTCCTACATCAGCAAAATCAATACGAAGACGCCTATCAGGTCCACCAAGGGCAAATCCTCTCATTTCTTTTACAGCAGCCTGAGCAGCATCTATTGAATCATACAAAATGTATGCATGAGCTTCACCTTTTGCATACTCTATTTTTTTAATAGCCCCAAATCTATCAAATTCCCTTTCTAATTGTGCTACAGATGTCCAAGGACCAAGGCCACCCACCCACACTCGTGTAGTAGGTGTAGCCTTACCATAACCTATTTTACATTGAAATTTACCAATATATTGACCAGAAAGTTCCACCTTAGCCCGATGTGCCATGTCTAATGTCTGATACCGTACAAATGCAAATGCATTACCTGTGCCTGGAGGCGGTCTTTTTATATCAATATCCTCAACAATACCATAACGACCAAATATGCGCCGGAGCTCCTCATCAGATATGTTTATTTCTAAATTACCAGCAAAAAGAGTTCTGGTAGCTAGTGGGTCATCTTCTGGTTGTACATGGTGCAAATAATTAGGGAATTTATCTTTTTTGTTTTCCATTTTTTCAAAATGTGGATGATGGGGACGAGGCATATATGGACGTGGCATGTAGTGTGGATGTGGAGGATGATGCATGGGTGGTCTGTGATGCATTGGAGGCCCATGAGGACCTGGCATTGGGTATTCATGCATTGGAGGTCGGAAATCCCTATGATGAGGTGGGACACTTGGAGGTATACCATATGCTCTATCATCTGGTGGAGGTCGACGCCTTTCTGGTACTGGAGACCAAGTATAAGAATATGGACGGTCATAGTCCGGTGGGGTAATACTCCTTGGCCTACTCCTGTATTCTGACCTGACTGGTTCATACACAGGGTCAACTATAGCAACTTTATCATAAAGAATAATTCTTGGCTTCGCGTGTTTGGCGTCCTTCGCGTCCTCAGCACTACGGAAGCATACATAAGCAACACGTTCATCCAATTCATGTGAAATTTTAATACTGAAATCGCCGAATTTCTTGTATTCTCTGTACAAAGTATCTTTGACTATTTCATCTGATGCCTTCGGGTGAAGAGCACTAACACAGAGGACCTTATAGTAAGAACGCACAGATTCTTCTCTCAATTCACGCGAACGGACATAGTCATCACGATGCGGGGAGACGTACCTGCCTCGAGGGCTTGGCGAACGAACTCTACGCCGCACCCTTTCTGGAGTGACGCGCTCGTCGGAGCTGTCATCGTACCTGCCTATGCTACTACGCGTCCGCTTCGAACGGGGCATACTATCCCTCGACGAACTTCTTTTCATGTTACGAATTTTCACCGTTATTCGATCTCTATCGCTACGCGGTAATCCAATCATGAAAGCTCAGTATGATGAACCACTATCTGAAATGCACAACATTACACGTCACTTCAAAATGTCGCCATGTTCCCGATAAAATTTCACCTTAACGCACAATGAATGTTATTATTGTCTTACCACAAACGAATTAGGGTCTGTAGTCACTTCGCTATCACTGAACACGGCTTATCACCTCTGCAACACTTTCTGAATATTACCAAGAACGGCGCGGACACGAACAATAAAAAGACGCAATGACAATGAACAGAACAATGACCACGACGTCATATAATTAGGAACCTACGTAAGTATATTTTTTTTGTGATCCAATTCGATTTGCTTAGCTTGTTCGCAGTGTTGCCAAATGACAAAATATAAGTTATAAAATTAATTTTGTGGATGATTTCTTATAACAACAATAAATAAATAAAAAAGTAAATAGCAACCGATATTTGCTATATGAATACATAATTTTAATATCTTTTATGGATAGACTTAGTATAACGTACTGTTTTTTATTACTTAAAAGGAATTGACGAACTATCTTTAGTGCTGCCTCTGTGGAGAGATTTTGGAACTAAAATTATAGATTACTTTTATATTTTGCCATTATATGCAAACAACGCATTCCTAATAATAGGTAAATAATCATTCGCGTAAACTTTTATTCAACTATGGCGCAAAAAATATTATTTATTATATATGTATGATGTTATGTTTGTTTATTTATTATGTACGTATGTGTAGAATTTAAAATAATTGTCTCATTTGTTCACATTTTAACTTTTAACTAAATTAATAAGATATTTATTTTTTATATAATAAGGTAAATGATCCTATTTATAATATATAAATATTGAGGTCGATTCTGAGACGCCATTTCTCTAAACTTATCTCTTAACTAAGCCTCTAGCTTAATATATTTATTTGATAGTTTCGGGAAAATACTATTTTATGGACCATCATAAACGAAATTTATAATAATTTTGAGTAAAATCTATGAGAAATTTAATTTATATGGGTCCTTAGAATGAAAAAATTCGCTATAATATCATACGGAAATTTTATTTTTAAATATTAGTTCAGAAAGCGCATTAGAATCGACCCCATTACATCATTTTGAGCTTAAGCCTTTTACTATCATTCAGATTAATATGAATAGTTAACGGTATTTTGCATTATAGTTTTTGGTCGGGTAGATTCAAACTCACTCATCAGTTTGTAAGCGGGGTTAGTTTAGGCAACAACACCCTCAAGAAATTATTGAAATATTATATATTGGAATGATAAAATAAAAAAGGATAGAAACTAACTATACAAATAAAGAAAAGGCAAAGAAATAGGCAGTACCAATGGGATTAAGAAAATTATTTTGAGAGGGGCAAAATAATGACGCATTATTATCTTTTAAATAAGGGGAAGGAATTGTTAATAACAATTCCTTCCCCTTATTTGAAAGGTGTAAAATAAATATGGACTACCAGCACCATTGCTAGCAATATACCCTGTTAAGTCCACCTCCACATGGTTCCCCCTGGAAACCATCGTGCTGAATACTAGGTGTATTCATCACGGTGGACTAACTGACCTTCCTTTTCATTCTCACTTATTATCACTCACTGATGCCCCGTCAGCATATGCCGATATCCAATATTCCATTATCATCTATTAAAAAATACTTTTTAAATGTCTTCGTGTTACTATATCCTATGCATCATGATTATCTACGCCGTAATTTTGATGTTCGCCTAGGTATTCGTAGTGATTGTGGCACGTAAAGGTAGCTGTACAAAGTTCCTTTGTTTTGTTCTCTGAGAGAAATCTAACGATCACGTGGTTAACAAGTATCTGACTGACTTGGTAATACTGAGAGTTGATTGCAGTAAAATCGTGTCATGTCAATAAAGAAAAAATATATCCAGGAGATAGAGATTCTTAGTGAGACCACCTTTGAACCATACCACTGGTGTCTACAATAATGAAGTATCAGATACCTCGTTCAATTTATTAAGCCTATTTATACTGCCTACTCCTATCAGCTGTGTTCTCCAAGCAATAGATACATCTGGAAAGTAATCAGGGATCTAACCCGAATTGCAATAATATAATTATTTTTGCAATTGCAAAGTAGAAAATTATATATAGGTTACTAATGTTGGCAAAAATTCTGTGAAAACTTTACCAGAGGGAGACTTTGCACAAAAGTCATTTGCTTGGGCACCTCTGTCCCATTCGTGTTTCTACCGTGAAGTAGTTATGTTTGCATGGTTGTGTTTCTGTTTGAAGGTTGGTATATGGCAGTGAATTTAAAGGTACAGAGGAATAACACCTGAGTCCTCAGGAATGGCAAGGCATGGGGGGAGGGATCATTGGCGAAACAGTATACTCTGTTAAATCCATGGTACTGCTCATGTCTATAGGTGACAGTTACCATATTCCATCAGGAGGGCCATAAGCTTGTTTGCCATTCTAAGTTGCATAAAATAAAACATTTTATTTAAGAATAATTTATCATTTCATTTTCTTTTGTCTACTATCGACTTCAGTGTACGAATGGCTTTTGTAGTTACAATGAAAAAATTACAATAAAAAGATTAAGTACATTGACGCAATAATTGACGCAGAAAATGATTATAGATGATTTACAATTTAGAACATGATTAAACAATATATTCAAATCTTTATGGTTTGGTTTTATTGCTTTTATTATACTTTAAGGAGTAGTGACAAAGGAATGCCGAATTGCAGCAGACATCTTCAAGAAACTACCTCATTAAACAATAAATATTACGATTATAATTAGAAAATTATAAAAGCAGTAACATAAAGAGTAATAAAGATGATGTACGTACCTAATAGAGAATTGTATAGATAGTTCTAAACTACGTATGAGATAATTATTTATATAAAAACCCTTTGACGATTTTAAAGCTAAACAATCGCAACATTCGATACGGACAATAAATGTAAGTAGTCGTAAAAAGAATATATTTACATAAATTCGTTTCTTATTATTGAAAACATGGAAGAAAGTTCAATATTTCGGGAATTGTAAATTGATCCAATTACTTATTAGGTACTATTTTGTTTCAAATAACAAATTTTTAATCTGCTAAACTATTTTTTACAGCACCATCAATATGAAGTACTTCGTAATTCTTGCGCTCGTCGCCACCGTGGCTTCGGCCGCTGTCAATAGGCCAATCAAGCCCACCGTGGTCCCCAGTGAGATACAAGAAATCATTGCAGCCATCAACAACCCCAGCACCGACCCCGCCACTGCCGCTGCACTTGAACAATTGCTCCTCGATTTTTACGGCGTAGAAGGAAGCCCTATCTCTGTTGGCCCCGTTATCGTCGAGAACCCGGAACTCGAACCTATCTCCGTCGATCCCGTTATCGTAGATCCCGTCATAGTGAACCCTAGCCCCGTGGCTGTCCCTGAATCCAGCAGCGCTCCCCTCGTACAGCTAATCTTGAACATCAATCAAGTTCAGCCAGGACCCGTTGCCGTTCCCCCTAGTGTTGCCGTTGTCCCTGAAATTGTTGGTGAACCTGTCCAAATCGTCGACAGCGCCCCCGAGACCGTTCAGGTTGTTGACTCCCTCCCCGTCCAGATAGTGGAATCTCCAGCCGCCGTTGACCCTGTACAGGTGGTAGAATCCGCTCCCACACCCATCGAGCCCATCATTGTCGCTACTCCCGTACTCCCCTCCCCCGTAGTTCCTCTTCCTGCCCAACTCAACTAAATAATAAATGAAGTAAATTCGAAGTACATAACTAGATAGATATATATGTTTTTAAATATATACATTACGAAGTTCAATAAATATTTATTCAGTTAATATTGTATTTTTGATTAATTAATTTACATAATTATATGTACATGTACTCGTATGTGTAGAAGGCGGATTTAATGCTAAAACCAGAAGGAGACTTTGTACAAAAGCCGTTTGCTTGGGTACCTCTGTCCCATTCGTGTTTTTACGCCGAAGCAGTTGTATTTACATGGCTGTGTTTCGGTTTGAAGGGTGGTATATGGCAGTGAATTTACAGGGTACAGAGGAATAGCACCTGAGTCCTCAGGAATGGCAAGGCATGGAGGGTATCATGGGTGAAACACTATATTCTCTTTTATGTCCATGGTACTGGTCATGTCTATAAGCGACCGTTACTACTTTGCTGACTCGGCTGACGGCCCACACTTTCCATTCTAAGTTGCATAAAAAAATTGTAATTTAGCGGCAGATTTCGGTATTTGTGGATTATGAAAAGGTCTATGTCAGTTGTGATATGGAATTACCTATCTACAGAATAACCTACATTTTTTTTCTTGCATAATGATTTGTAATGTTTCTATTCAATATATTTTATGTTAATTACATTGATGTATAAATAACCTAGACATATAATTAGAGATAAGTAATTAAAAATATATATATATATATATATATAATTAAAGATTTACCTACATATTCTAAAAGGGACAGGAATTATCAGTAATAAGGGCTACCTATCCCATTGCTAGCAATATACTCGGGTATCTACTCTAGTCAACCTTCACGTGGTTCTCCTTAGAAACTATCGTTAATAACTCTTATTGTATTCGTCAGAATGGGCTTACTGACATGGTTTTATCTTCACTTACCGCCATTTACTGGTACCTGACCAGTATATACTGGTAACGTAGACGAGGTTACTATTTCATTATGATTCATTAAACAAATCTTCATCTCCTCCAGATTTAGGTATCAGATTGTCAATAAATGAATGAGTGCAAATGTTTTTAGAATAGACGACTTCTATCCGAATACAGAATTAGGTGGTCTACCATGAAATGAAATTCCGAATTTTCGGGCTTAATTTCGTGTTTTTGTTCGTACCGAAATCGACTCAGTAAATGGAGTTTAACATTTCGTTCATCATAAATCCTATTCTAATAGTCCAGAGGAATGATATTTTAACATTTTTAATAATTTTAAACGGCATGTATTATGTAATTTTATTATCAAATTTCTGTTTCGTTCGTGCCCGAAATTTCGGAAAATATTTCATGGGAGGCCCTCAGATTATAAAACCAATTTAAGTATAACACGATTTATGACAAGATAATATTATAATTATCATAAGCTAAAAATCATAACCTGGTCGCAGCTGGAAACACTTTTTTTAATGAGATGAAGATGAATTATTACTACTACTACTATTGAAGAATGATATGAGTAGATGAGTTTTGACGTTTGGTCAGTTGACCCATAATCAATAATTAATTCACCGGCAATTAACCACGACGATTTCTGGGGAAGACGGAATAGAGATCGCTTGATAAGGTGCTAGCAATTGGTCTATCGATCCCCATTACTAAAAATCCCTCCCCGGCTAGAAACATTGTACTAAAAAAATTGTCCACAAGTTTACCTATGTCCAGTAGCATAACAACTCAGATAATTGCAACTTCAACAGAGAGACCATAGACGATAAATCTCAGTTGGTCTGCGTTCATTTTTTGCATATAAATAAATTTACGTCAAATCTTCATTTATAAAATACCCACCTCATTGAAAATGATTATGATACTAGAGTAAGCTAGCCAGGAATTAGGAGACCTTTGGCTCAAGGATCTACAGAGAGAGTTACGCTCGAAATTTTAAAGACCTGGAATGACGATATACAGATGAATAAAATCGACGAATACAATGCAAAGAATCAGAAAGCTGAAATGACAATGGCCTATCTACCTAGCTAGAAGGACCAAAACTTCATTAGGATGAAGGTTGTTGGGAATTTCTTAGGCAAATACGACTATAATGTATGGATATCTTCATCTGAAATGAGTTGACTGTCTTATAAATAACATAGAACGCGTTAATTACAAGAGGTACAATGCAATGTTATTTAAATTTGTAGGTGGTAGAGCCACGCTGTAATACCATATGGTATTGCAGCATGAATGGGCCGGCTCGACCGGGGAAGTACCACACCCTCACAGAATACCGACGCTAAGTGGCCGCACTTTTAGTGCGACCACATTCCGTATGGTGAGTGAGGGAGTCCGGAGGCCCATCCTATACCCATCCCCTTCCTTATCCTAAAATCCTCCCCCAACTCCGTCCCCCCATCTTTCAATACCATGGCAGTGGAATTTAAAAAAAATAACGTACCCCAGGGAGGTACCAGCAGCCATGTTGCTGGAGAATCCTCCCTCGAGCAACCACGCTCGGGCTGCCCTGCGTATTCTGGGGGGAGCAAAATTCCGCTCTATGGGACCAAGGGCAAACAGAGCAAGACTTCTGCGGCATCCCCTTTGCTCAATGTGAGCCTCTGTAATATTAGGGGAATTCATTCAAACCTGAACGCTGTCCACCACCACCTAGAAACGGCGCGGCCGGCATTGCTCTTCCTCACGGAGACACAGATATCCCCTCCTAACGAAACATCATACCTGACCTACCCGGGGTATAAGCTTGAACATTGTTTTGTTTCGCGTGCCGGTGTATGTGCGTATGTCAGAGAGGATATCTGCTGTCGACGCCTTGGGACTCTTGAAGGTACGGACCTGTCCATTCTATGGCTGCGCGTAGATTGCAATGACCATCCCCGCATCTATGCGTGCCTATACAGGTCCCACAGCGGTAACACTGAAACCGACCAACTAATTGAGCACGTCCAAATGGCTACAGATTCCCTGCTTGAGCAGATTCCTTCCGCTGAAGTCGTGATTGTTGGCGACTTTAATGCCCACCATGCCGAATGGCTTGGTTCGCGTACAACCGACTATGCGGGAAGATCTGTTCATGACTTTGCTTTGGCTTATGGTCTGACACAGCTTGTTTCCTCGCCTACGCGAATCCCTGATGTGTTGGATCATTCACCTTCACTGCTGGACCTTCTGCTGACCACCCACCCAGACAACTATGTGATCTCCGTCGAAGCCCCGCTTGGATCGTCGGATCACTGTTTGGTGCGGAGCGAAGTGCCTCTTACGAGTCCGACTCCACCTCGTTCTACGGGTAGACGTCGCATTTGGCACTACAGGTCGGCGGATTGGGATGAGATGCGGATTTTTTTCGCATCTTACCCATGGAGGCAGGTTTGCTTCACACTGGATGATCCCGACGCCATTGCCGATTCCATTGCTGATGTGGTGCTTCAGGGAATGGAATTATTTATTCCTAACTCTGTGGTGCCCGTCGGCGGGAAATCCCAGCCCTGGTATGGAGCCTCCTGTAGAACAGCATCTCGTCTGAAACAGGAGTGCTTCCTAACCTGGGCTAAAGGTGTGGCGTCGCGAGATCCTAACACCAGTGCTCTTAAAAAGAAGTATAACTCTGCCTCTAGGTCTTTCAAAAGAGTTATAGCCACAGCGAAGTCAGAGCATATTAGTAGAATTGGCAAGAGACTGGCTAGTTTGCCCTCTGGGACTCGAGCTTTCTGGTCTCTTGCCAAAGCTGCACAAGGGAATTTCTGTAAGTCATCTTTTCCACCTTTGCGCAGGGAGGATGACTCGTTGGCCCAGAACGCTAAAGAAAAGGCCGATCTTCTTGGATCCATCTTTGCGTCAAACTCGACATTGGATGACGGGGAGAAACCACCACCGACCATCACGTGTTGTAGGAGCTCTATGCCTGACATTAAATTCACGCATAGCTCAGTGCGTAGAGCACTTTTCTCTCTCGAAATCCATAAGTCGAGTGGGCCTGATGGTATTCCTCCAATTGTGCTTAGGACGTGCGCACCAGAGTTGGCTCCGGTTCTTACGCGTCTTTTTCGGCTTAGCTACTCATCGGGCATAGTCCCAAAGTTTTGGAAGACTGCTCTGGTGCATCCGATCCCTAAAAAGGGAGATCGCTCAGATCCAGCTAACTATAGGCCCATAGCTATCACTTCCTTATTCTCGAAGGTTATGGAATCCATCATTAACCGTCAACTGCTCCGGTACCTAGAAGAGCACCGGCTGATCTGTGATCGCCAGTATGGCTTTCGACAGGGACGTTCGGCCGGTGATCTTTTAGCTTACTTAACACACCGATGGGCAGTGGCAATCGAGAGTAAGGGAGAGGCCTTAGCAGTTAGTCTGGATATTGCGAAGGCCTTTGATCGGGTGTGGCATAGAGCGCTGCTTTCAAAGCTACCTTCATTTGGGTTGCCTGCGAGACTGTGCATTTGGGTCGCCAGTTTTCTCAAGGAACGTAGCATTAAGGTCGTAGTCGACGGTGCATGCTCTGATTTAAAACCTTTGAATGCTGGTGTCCCGCAAGGCTGTGTACTATCTCCGACTCTGTTTCTTCTGCATATCAATGATATGTTACAGATAAGTAATATTCATTGCTATGCGGACGACAGTACAGGAGATACATTATATACCGGTCATGCAAAGATCTCGCGGGCACATACCGATGAGTGCCGGAATAGACTTGTGTCTGAAATCGAAACTTCACTCCATCAAGTTTCGATCTGGGGTGAACAAAATCTTGTCCAATTTAACCCCAAAAAGACACAAGTCTGCGCGTTTACCGCAAAAAAGACGCCGTTTGTCGTATCTCCTCACTTTCAGGGCACTTCCCTTGATAAAAAGTCAAGTCTAGGAATTCTGGGCGTTGATATATCTTGCGACGTCCAGTTTTGCGGTCATCTGGAGGAGAAGGCTAAGATAGCTTCCAAAAAGTTAGGAGTGCTCAATAGGGTGAGACGATATTTCATGCCAGAACACCGCCTGAAATTATATAAAGCCCAAGTCAGGCCGCATATGGAATACTGTTCTCACCTGTGGGCAGGAGCGCCACAGTACCAACTCCTTCCGTTAGACCGCATTCAAAGTCGGGCGGCTCGAATTATCGATAGTCAACGCCTTACTGTCCGACTTGACCCATTGAAACTGCGCAGAGATGTTGCGTCTCTGTGCATCTTCTACCGAATTTATCATGGGGAGTGTTCTGAGGAATTGTTCGGATTGATACCTGCTGCTGATTTTCACCACCGTACAACCCGCCACAAACTAAAGTTTCATCCCAATCATCTGGACGAGTGGCGGTCTTCCACCGTGCGTTTTTCAAGGCACTTTCTTCCACGCACAACCATTCTTTGGAATCAACTTCCAGCAGCAGTATTTCCGAACCGATACGACAACATAACCTTCAAGAAAAGAGTATATTCCTTTTTAAAAGGCCGGCAGCATACCTGCAATGCCGCTGGTGTTGTGGGTGATCATGGGCGGCGGTAGTCACTTACCATCAGGTGAGCCGCATGCTCGTTTGCCCCCTGTGTTGTAAAAAAAAAAAAAAAAATATCAACCATAAATACGAGTGATATTTATATCGGAAACAATATTTACAATTTAATTGTTAGACAGACAACAGACACAGATTAACTAAAATACAGGTTCAAAAAGTAAAAATTTACCTATCTAAACCAATTTTATTACATTCACATATCTAACCAATAAAAGTAATAAATTAATAAATTAGTTAGTATTAAATTAATAGAAGATATGTACCGGAAAGATGTAATTTTATCATGATAACGCCAAATCTCCAGATAAATTGTCATATAAAATAGTTTGAAATATTTTACAGCATTATAGTTGTGAGATTCAATCACAGGCAATAAACGTAAGTAATAGAAAATAAGTTCATACAATTTTCAGATATTATTATTTATTCAATAATTTATGTAAATTTGTTATACAATTTGAAATGAAAAACAAGCTGATACTCCCCCTGCTGGACAGTAGTAATCTCTGTCTATAGCATGAGCTTCGTTAAATACACATATAGTATCCTATAGTATCCCAAATGCGTTGATATTCCTAAAAACTAAGGTATTTTCATCTATAACTTGTAGTTTCTCTGTTAAACTAAAAACACAGTCATACACACGTACACACTTTAAGACAAAAATTTTAATGGATTATTAATGTAAAGGTCTGTGGTACAAATAAAATATTTGTAAACTAGTTCCGTCTACAATTTTGTTATAAAGACTTATTATTGTTCTGGATTATTTATAATTTCTTTTCTTTTTCCTTATAACAGCAACATCAAGATGAAATTCTTCATAGCTTTCGCGCTCATCGCTACCGTGGCTTCGGCCGCTTTTAATACGCCTATCAAGCCCACCGTGGTCCCCAGTGAGATACATGAAATCATTGCAGCCATCAACAACCCCAGCACCGACCCCGCCACTGCCGCCGCACTCGAGCAAATGCTTTTAGACTTTTACGGTGTGGAAGGAAGCCCCATCTCTGTTGGCCCTGTTATCGTTGAAAACCCTGAGCCTGAACCTATCTCGGTCGATCCCGTTATCGTGGATCCTGTCATAGTGAACCCTAGCCCCGTGGCTGTTCCTGAATCTAGCAGCGCTCCCCTCGTGCAAATCATCTTGAACATCAACCAAGCTCAATCTGGACCAGTTGCCATTCCCCCCGGTGTTGCCCTTATCCCCGAAATTGTTGGTGAGCCCGTCCAGATCGTGGACAGTCCCCCTGAAACCGTTCAGGTAGTAGAGACTCCAGCCGTCGTTGACCCTGTTTTGGTGGTAGAATCCGCTCCTACTCCTGCTGAGCCCATCATTGTCTCTCCTCCCATTCTCCCCGTCCCCATAATTACTCTCCCTGATGAACTGAACTAAATATTAGATTAAGATAATTGGAGTATTTTTGTTCTTATAGAATGTGTTCCTGACAAGCGATTTAATAAATATATATCTCATTACTTATGCATTTAATTTATGGCATACCAAGGCAATTATTATATAAGTAAATTATTGGCCGTGTAGTCCCGGCATAGAATAGGCCCCCCTTTCCTTTCCCGTGGGTGTCGTAAGGGCCGACTAAGGGAGGGCGAGGAATGGGTAGCAGCGTCCCTCTTAAAACATCTCAAAGCCTAACTGCGGTGGCCAATCCGCCTCTCAAGCGTGACAACTACTGGCAACACCCCTTAGGTGTTAAGACCCCTTAACACCCCAACAGAGTCTTATGTTCAGCAGTGGACTGTTAAAGGCTAATGTGATGATGAGTATAATAATGGAAATTATTACGTATAATCATGGTTACAATTACCCCAATAAACTTGGTATATTGTCAATAAGCAACTAATTAAAATTTTTTAGGTGTGAAATAGAATAAAATTCTAAAATCATCTACACTATATTGTTGAAAGCGCTAATTATTAGCCATGTTTTCTAAAAGCCCCCTGTAAGAAGGTAGACCTTGACATTAAGATATACTATGATAGTTTGCTCAGGACCGTGTCTTATGACAGTCTGTGGGAGAGGCCTATGTTCAGCAGTGGACATTTAACAGTTTATATGATGATGCTAATGATGGCAGCCCTAATGGCTGCTATAACCCCAAAAATATGTCCTCTAATGACAATTTTTAGCGAAGCACTATAAATGTATTTTAAAAATATGTTATAAATATAAATATAAATAATTAGTTAGTTATTTTAATTAGTTATAACTAATAACTAATTAAAACTAACAAACAAATACCAATATTTAGAAATAGTAATTTTAAAGATAAGAAAACATAAGGCATCATCATGAAAGCTCATGAATATATTTCCAAGAATGTTTTTGAATGAATGAAGAACGGGTATGGCAAGAATGTGATGTCATATAGTCTTGGTATAGAATAGGCCTTCTTTTTCTTTGGGTGTCGTAAGAGGCGACTAAGGGAATTTATTAGTCTTTTTTTTATACAACTTAGAATAGCAAACAAACTGACGGCCCACATGATGGAAAGTGGTAACCGTCGCCTATAGACATGAGCAGTACCATGGACATAACAGAGTATACTGTTTCGCCCATGATACCCCGCATGCGTTGACATTCCTGAAGACTCAGATGTTATTTCTCTGTACCCAGTAAATTCACGCCTTCAAACCGAAACACAGCCATGCAAACACAACTGCTTCAATAGTCGAGAAATATGTAGCAGCAACCCTCTTAGAACATCACCAAAGCCTAATACCAGTTGCTAATTCGACTGCCAAGCGTGGCAACTACTACTGGTACAATTACAGCGTGATAACTCTCATTTTGGGGCAGGCTCATATTCAGCAACATGCTTGATGGGATATTTCCAAAGGGAAGGTTTTCATGTTCTTGTTAGAATTACGCCTACATCTAATATTTAGCAAACAATTTCATGTGTCGATTCATTAAAGTGTAAGTACATATAAGTCAGGCGCCTCATTATCAATCCTCTTAAACTTTTTTTTATTGGAAAATGGTAATTATCGCCTAAATACACACGAAAAACACCATGGACGTCACAAAGTATACTGAGGAAATACCATGGCACCCTTCATATTTTGCCATTCTTTAACACTATCGAGTTATTACCATAAACTATAATTTACATTGACAACTCAGTCGGACAATGTTTAACTATATTTCGAGTATTGCTAAACCTTTGAATTGAGGGTAAGAGGGGGAGGTAAAGGATTGTTAATAATGCGAACCCATTGCTAGCAATATACCCTTTCAGGTCAACCTCCATGTGATTCCCCTGGAAAGTTAATTCTTGTGTAATTCCTCACAATGGACTAACTGACCTGGTTTCTAGTTTACCTATTAAAGAAATTAGATGATAATGATGGGCACCACGCCTGCGCTATCGGTATACACTGGAGGGACACCAGTGAGAGATGACAGATGAGGATGAAAGCAGGTCAGTTAGCCCATCCTGACGAATTCGATTAGAATTAACCACGATAGTTTCCAGGGGGAACCACGTGGAGGTCGACCTGACCCCATTACTAACAATCCCTTTCCTCCCTATCTCACCTCTCTCACTGGTGCCCTGTTAGTGTATATCATTTGGGCAAGTGGATTTTTTTAATGTATTATGGTATACGCTGGCGGGGCACCAATGAAGGATGATAAGTGAAAATGAAACGACCGACGATGGAACGACGACAGCATGACCGATAGAGTATTGCTAGCAATGAGACTGTGTTACCCCCGTGTTACCATTCGAATCTCACTTATTAAAAAAGTAACGTAAATATAAGTACTTATGAATAGAAATTATATCACCCGACAACAAGGGCGACCGATAGCATTAAACCTTATTAATCCCCTCGTTTCCGACTGAACGTTATTATCTTCAAGAACACAAGATTATTAAGTACAAAATAATTTGTATAAAATTTAATTTATTTTGATAATTTTGTGTATACTACAGTTTTTCTAGTATGAAAACGATTGAGTAATAATTAGTAAGTGGAATTCTACTTCTATTTTTTGCACCTTGAAATGGCAAACAAGCTGACGGCCCACCTGATGTAAAGTGTTAACCGTCGCGTATAGCGATGAATATCGCTTACTGTGAACATCACAAACTATATTGGCCATGCCTATGACCTACTTTGTCTTAGCGTTTACGTCAATAATGTATATTGCTTATTTTATCTTAATAATACAATAAAATTGTTTGTTCCAACATTACGCAAAAACTGCTACACCAAATTAGATGCACCTTTCATAATTGTATTCGTAACTAACATACAATCTCATATATGTTTCTTTTTTATACGCCATCTATAACTGGTCTATTTCATTGTATTTTTTTACTTATGAAATCCATGCGTACGACGTAGCAAGCAAAAAGCTAGTACTCACTAACATTATAAATGTGAAAGTGAGTTTGTTTATTTTAATGTTACCTTTTGGCACCTCAATGACTTTAACCAATCATTATTAATCAAGCACACAAGTATTGTATGAGACTTGGAAGGATATAGAATATTTTTTAACCAACCAATGAACGTATAACGTATAAAAAGCTAGTTCATTAATATTCACACAAGCAGCCAGTGTGAGTTCTAAATAGATTCAATTCAATTTTTAAGGATTCGTTTTTGATAATTTAAGAATTCATTAATTCTGATAATAATAATGCATAATCATAATAAACAGGGTAGGTATAAAAGTTACCGCGTACTACGCATTGTTACTAACAAATTTATAATACTATTGTTATTAATATTATCGCATTACTAATTGATTTTTAAGCCCTGCCATAAATCTTTCTTGATAACTCAGATCTTACCACCGCACTATTCGGTAATAAAACTTATCGTAATATTGTACTTCCTTTAACGTGATCAGAGCTGGCCTGAGCCTATTTTCCTTTACTTTTTAAATGGCGCTAAAAATCTACTAAGATACTAAGACGGCACTGCGGACTGAATTGCCGATTGGGGAAATGGCTGAATTCCCACTTTTCAGATTAATACTACCAACGTATAGAATAAAAACATATATCTTAGAGAATTCTTAAAAAATAACTGCGCATATATGAGGTTTAAGGTATTATGAGAATTATTGCATAATGTTTTGATTACTGAAAACAAAATGTTAATCCTTATCAAAATAATCTGCTTCATCACTATAAACTTTAAGCCGGGCTTCCACTGCAAGAGAAGCGAGCTCCGTGATGACTACGCTCTTCAACCGACTTAAAAAAGGAGGTTTTCAATTTCGTTGTTTTTTGATGTTTGTTGCCTCATAACTCCGGCAGTTACAAACCGATTCAGTAAATATTTTTTTTTATCTGAAAGCATATATTTAGAGATCAGTCCCGTAGAAATTTTAGTTTTCTACTTGATTATTTATTGATGGAACTATTTCTAAGTTAATTTGGAATTACGTTTCACTAAAAAAAACTAACTTCAATTGTGACAAAGTTCTTTCTTCATTTTTAAACTACTGAACCGATAACACGTAGATCCTGTATTTCTTAGTAACAAGCAGTATTTGGAAATCGCTTAAAAAGTAGCGTCGACCTTTGCTACAATTGTTATGTAGTATCTATTATTTTGCTACAAGTAGTGTGCATTTTTTTTATATAAGAATGGTTAATTATATTTTTTCAATATTTAAGTATTTTAAATTTTGCATAACTAATTGTAGCGAAATATGTGGACTTATTATTTTTTTAACACCTGCATACTTACCATGTTTCTTGCAAATAAATATTCATTTATTCATTCATTCAATTATTATCTATTTTAGGTAGTAAAATAAGTTTTGATTAACTAGTACAATCAAGCCATTTTTTCAAAATGTTTAACCACAAATGTCTCTTAACTAATGTTATGTTTAAAAGTTTATAAGAAACTAAATTTTGAATTTATTTTAAATACAATGAAACTGTTTCATCAACCACTTTACTTTTATTAAATTAGTTGTTCTCAATCATCAGCATCTCAGCCATTATCTGTCCATTGCTGAACAGAAGCCTCCCCCATAGACTGACAGTTATTCTTAATATGTCGAAGTAAAAATATTTTTTCTATATAACGTAGAAAAAGAGTTACACGTTAACTTTTTGACATTTTTTGGAATGTACTTATTTCTGTAAATATCGTTATGATATTTTATGATTTGACCAAGAATGTCAGTTATTTTTTATCCACTGTCCTAAGCCACTTGTGTCCACTGATTCTCTACTATGTATTTGTTGAGGTCGTCACTCTATCTAGTGGGGGGGGGGAGGGGGTTGTGTCGTCCAACACTACGTTTAAACATAGGTATACATGTATTTTTAATTTAAAAAATGAATCATAATTACTTTTTATTTCGATCATGTACGTTTTGCATAAACTAAAAAATTAAAGCTTTTTAAGTATTTTTAAAAAGGATATAACAGTTTGCATGTCATTTCAATAACTTTATGGCTAGAGGGACGCCTCTTATGAACATTACATTAATCTTGTATATTTATTAATTTATATTTGAGTCTATTGTATCTTATCAATGTTAATTAATTATTCTTACGTCTAATTACACAGATAAAATATGTATATAAACTACATTGATTTTAAAGTAACACATATTTTTTTTAACTACGATACATCAGGTACGACTTTTTAGTATTAGAAAAATATAAGTAATAAAGTTATATTTTAATTTTAAATATTAGAGAAATAAATCAGAAGTTTGAATAATAATTTCTTGATCTTAAATATATATTTTGTGTCTTTTAAATTTATACTATAGTGATAATTGTGAAATTGATATAGAAATATCACTGGTAAATAAAACAAATGTAAACAAGATCTTAATTTGGTGTCATAATATACGAGTCCTGCTAAATGACTAATAATGTTTTTGTGTCCGAAAAGTATCTGACATTGATTGTTCCAATAATTGAAAAGTTACTCAAAGGACACAGGTTTGTCAATATCGAGACAGTACGATCTAACGCTACGAGTGTCTAAAATCTAAGCTTCAGAGCTGCTGTAGGATATGGAAATGTTTATGGATAAGGTAGTTCAATCAAATCGCAACTAATTTGAAAACAAAAAATAATATTGGCGCACAAATATGAAGGCAGGTCGGATACTTTTCGGATAGACTCGTATATATCCAGTGATATTAATTATTATTATATCTGTGCTTACAATTTGCAATATTGCGTCGTATATAATTATATCTTTTTTTGCACAGTGAAAAATGAAATTCCTACTGATTTCCGCCGCTATTGTCGCCCTGGCCATCGCTGTGCCCACGCAGCGCGCACTGGTTGCACCTGATGTAGCTGGTCCCGCGCCTATTGTGATTCCTGACATCTCTGGCCCCGCTCCTATAGTGATTCCTGACATCTCTGGTCCCGCTCCTATTGTCGTTCCCGATCCTGACATTTCTGGTCCCGCCCCGATTATTGTTCCTGATCCTGATATCTCTGGACCTGCTCCTATTGTCGTTCCTGATCCTGACATCACTGGTCCTGCTCCCATAGTGATTCCTGATCCTGATCTTTCTGGCCCCGCCCCCATTGTCGTGCCCGATCCTGACATTACTGGCCCCGCTCCAATTGTCGTGCCCGATCCTGACATTACTGGCCCCGCACCCATTGTTGTACCTGATCCTGATATCTCTGGACCTGCTCCTATTGTCATTCCTGATCCTGACATTACTGGGCCAGCTCCCATCATTGTTCCTGAGCCAGAGCCCATTGCAGTTGGCCCAGCACTCATTGATAACTTCGAACCCATCGTTGTTGGACCTGCTCTCGTTGATGATTTTGAAACTGCGCCTGTTGGAGTTGAACCTAGCAAGAATCCTGTTGTTCAGATCATACTGAACATCAATCAAGCTCAGATTACTCCCGGAGTCGTAGGTGAACCCGTACAGATCATCGAAGTCCCTATTGAAATACCCGCAGAGCCTGTCCATATCGTTGAAAACGCCCCCGAGACGGTGTAAGTCTACATCCAGAACCATATAGAGGAACCACACCTGTAGAACTCATTTGCTCCTCAAATTGTTCCTGATCACTTAATAACGCTTCAAAATATACTAGAAAAGATTATTAAGGGTATAAATTTAAAGATGAATTCCTAAAGTCTAAAAAACATTTGTGTGGAAATTGATGTTATTCATATGGATCTGTTATAATGATAATAGATATGTAAATATTTTTTTTATATTATGTTAAATAAACTATACACGAATGCAAATTTGTTATTTTATTTTGATTGCCACTACTATAATATCGAAAAAATTGAAATTATATCCATTGCCTATAAAAAAAACTGCTTACTTTCCCGCTAGGTTTTAATATTAAATGTATTTGATTTCCCCATAAATTTGCCATAAACTATGAAATATCTAGAGCTTGAGCCTTCAGAACCAAATGTTGAGGATTAAGTGAAGATTCAGTTTTCACTGAATACAAAATTAAATCAAAACTACATCTTTTCAGATGTAGTTTTTCAATAAAGCAAACGACTATCAGTAATTGTCATGCTTAGCAGGATGATTGAATGCTTACAATTAAAATGTTTTAAATGAATGTTAACATTATCTACGTTAAAATGAAAATAAATATATTTTTATGTTTTAATATTTTCAAACTTATCACCATTGATCACTATTAATTATCAGGCTAGTCCACGCTAATTATGAAGAAAAATGTACATTATAATAAAAATACGTACATACATATCTGTCACGCCTGTCTCCCATTATGGTAAGCAGAAGCAATGAAACGCCAAATGCTTCGATTGAAACAAACCTCATATGATAAACATTATGGAATAAAAACAAAACAGTTTAGTAGTAGTAGTAGTGTGTGTGTATAATATCGAGGTTGCTTCGACCACATGATGATTATTGAAATTTGCAAGATAATAGGGTGAGCCATTTGTCATACCAATATGCACAGCTTTTTTACTATTTCTTATATTGGTTAGCCATCGACCATCCATGTAATTAATATCAACTCGAGCTTCCTTTAAAATTTAATGAATTTGTTATTACCCGCTTATGGTTGCGAATTTAAGATCCTGTCTTATAGTAATTAAGTCTTGGGTAAGATTCTAAACAACTTGTTAGTTCAGAGACTCTATCAGAGGAAGAGTTTGTGCAATGAATATCTTTGTCTCCTCGGGTTTCTGCCGCCAAACAGCTGTGTTTACACGGTTCTGTTTCAAAACCAAACACAACTGCTTTTGCGGTAGACAATTCCTGTAATTTTACTGCATACATTGGTAATACCTTTATAATTAAGTTCTCAATTCTTAAAGTTCTCGAGACTCTATCCAGTTATGTTACCAAAGTTCTATTTAATAAGACTTCCCTTGAACATTCTGAAATCAATCAAGATCAATCTGAGTCCTTCAAAGGATTGAAATGTCACAAAAAAAATATTAAAAGACTGTTCAATTCAAGGTCGTTTTCGTTGCTTTCGTTTCGCTAGATCACTGGCTAATATTAAGTTTTAGTTACTTTAAAGGTAATGTAAGTCAAATAAATAAAATATAAATATAAGAATTATACATAGTTTATTTCATTTTCAGATATTCTTAAAATAACATAAGCAAGTAGATCGTTAATTGACACTGCAGATCTTAAATGCTAATGCTAATCTTAAATTCTCACATTTCTCATTATTTGTATTTAACAGTTTTATTTATCACTTTTAATTATCACATTTTATGTTTAGTTAAGTTGATCGGGGAGGGTGATGACGGGGGTGGAGATGATCGGGGGAGCAACGATGATGGGCTCGACAGGGCCAGCGGGTCCATCTACCACGTTTACGGGGTCGACAACTGCGGGGGCTTCAACAATCTGGACGGGTTCGATGACTTCGGGGGCTTCCACGATCTGGACGGGTTCGCCGATGATTTCAGGAACTAGAGCGACACCAGGGGGAACGGCGACGGGTCCAGACTCGGCTTGGTTGATGTTCAAGATAATTTGAACGAGAGGAGCGCTGCTGGGCTCTGGCTGAGATTCAGGCGCGAGAGGAGGGAGGACGACGACTGGAGGTTGGGCTACAGGAGGTTCAACAACAGGAGGGCTGACAACGACAGGGGGGTCTACGACGGGAGGGCTGACAACGGGAGGGGTGATGACAGGTGGGTTGACGACGGGAGGGCTGACGATAATGGGCTCGGGGCTCGATTCAATGACAGGGAATTCAATGATACCGGGGCCAACGACGATGGGCTCAGGTGCGGGGTCGACAATGGCGGGACCAACATCAATAGGTTCGGGAATAATAATGGGCGCAGGTCCAGCTACACCGGGGTTGGGTCCAACTCCGATGGGGGCAGGCACTATAGGCACGGGGCCAGTGATCTCAGGCGCCACTAGGGCACGGTTGGCGGGGCCAGCAACGGCCACGGCGAGGACAGCGGCAGCAATTAGCACGAATTTCATGTTTGCTGTAAAAAAAATGATTATTATATTAGTGACAATTACGCAATTCATAATACGGATTTATTGGTCAACAGTGATGGGATGTTGAATATGTCTAAGATGTAGATATTCTCAACAGAATGTCTGTAATAATCATATGCAGGATATATCTAGCCATTATCGCACCAATCTATCACAATCACAAGTCTATCTGCGACCAATATCAGACGCTTTGTAAATTAGTGCTCTTTTTTCAGCCAATCCTCCCTATTTCAATTTTTTTTTATATTATTGATCTATTTCCTTATTGTACCTTACACCTGTTTTGTTAACTTCGTATTCAAATATTTAAACCAATATATTTTTCAAACTGACTTATTCTTGAAAACTTAAATATTTACTTATGTACTGAAAACAAAAATTTCAAATTTGTTGAATTACAGCTAATAACAATCAAGTGTATTAATTTTTGTTTATTAAAGGAATATTATTAGCTCACCTAATGTATCGTTGTTGAAACAAACTATAAGTTAAAACTAAATTATAAATCTTTATATACCGATTTTTATCGGACGACTCAAATGATGCGTATAAATTATTGATAAAGTTCATACATATATTACGTTTTAATCCCAAAATACTAAGCTATATATGAGATGTAGGATAATATCAGTATCAATGCGATAAAGAAAAAATAACCGGAAATGTGTTATCAGGCGTCATATTCAGTCGCAATAGGCACATTTCTAAAAAATCTCAACATTCATTCATGATATATATTATAGATACTTAGTGTAAACTTTTTAGGTATCGCTCTTTGTGTTTATACCTCTTAGCTTTACAAGAGTCGTTGTGATGGAAATGTGAGCTAAAATAATTTTTCAACAATTGTACCTATAATATTTACCGAAAGAAGAACGTGACCGAGCAACCAAAAACCAGTGGGTATGACATTTGATCTAGCCAAAGACGTAGGTAAAGCTCACAGTTTGATAACCACAGGTACTTCCTTCAGAGCGATAAGTACAAAAAATTGTAACACAACTCATTTAAGTACTTTTCGACCTGTACGGTTGTTGCATTTTGGTTTATCTGGCTACAAATTATCTTTATCTTCACCATATGCATTTTTCTCTTTTATTTTGATTTGACTCAAGAGAAAGATGCTTATCAACATCAAAAAACCAGATACTATTTATCGGAATTGTGTATTAACTTTTTTACTTATATATGGAGAGTTTTATTTTGGCGCAAGAGTTAGTCTGAATAAGCTGATTTCCTTTTATATAGAAAAAAAAAAAATAGATCCTCAGCACTTTAAAATCAAATTCCCAATTTCTGTGACCAATGCATGGTGGTAATTCAAAGGAGGTTCCTCCTGCGAATATTCAGATTATGGAATGAGCTTCCTTTTAAAATTTTCCTTCAAGATTACATACAGTTTTTAAAAAAGGACATAATAAGGTTTCTTATGGGTTTGCAATGCACACAGGGTATCGTTACTTTTTCAGGCTCCCATAGGCTAATGTAACCACTTACCACCAAACGATCCCTATTTTTCAAAATCATAGTAGGTACAAAACAAATATTTCCTTTCGCATTGGCAAGTTACAGATATTAAATTAGTTTGGATCTTCAATAATTAAAAAGCTGTCATTATGTTTAAAATATTTTAATTAACTACGGTTATGTTTGTATTATGATTGATTCAATAGAGAAAACATTAAATATTTACAGAATTTAGGTATAGAACAACATGTTCAATGGATTAAATTAATCCAGAGAATCATTATCGACGATAAGATCGATAATAACAAGTACATCATAATATAATTCATAAAAATAATGAGTGGTTACTTTGCAGTCTTTTATTTTATTGTTCAAATATCGAATCTTATCTTTTAATCTTTAAGTGCATTATTGAATAATGTTTCGCGGAGCAGTTTCTTTAATCTCATAGATGCTTGTAACAAAAACCAAAACAGTGCGATTCTCGGTCCGCTCTCGATCTAGTAAAATGCAACTTGTTGCATAAGCAACAAGTTGCATATATTGTTAATTTCAAAATATTACTAAACTTACTAATATTTTTTAATAAATTACCATTCAAATGAGTAACAAAACATATTCTGTCTATGAGTCGATTCTGTGGTGTTATATCTCTAATTTTTTTTATACAAACAAGTTGACGATCCACCTGATGGAAAATGGTAACGATCGCCTATAGACATGAACAGTATCATGGGCATAACAGAGTATATTGTTTCGCTCATGATACACTCCATGCGTTGCCATTCCTGAGGACTAAGGCGGCATGCCTCTGTAGCCTGTAAATTCGCGGTAATATCCCACCCTTCAAACCGAAACACAGCTGTGCAAACACAACTGCTTCATGGTCGAATAGGACAGAGGTACTCAAACAAATTTATCTCTTCACCTTCATTTTAAACTGATAGCTTCACGAAATGACTTTTTTTTTGATGGGTGAAAATGGTATGATAACCCCGCCTGCGCTAATGGGATACGCTGGTGGAGCACCAGTGAAGGGCGATAGATGAGAATGAAAACAAGCCACTTAGCCCATCATAATGAATTCATCAGGAATTAACCATGATAGATTCCAGGAAGAACCGCGAGGAGGTCGACCTGGTTGGGTATATTGCTAGCAATAGGATTCTCAATCTCCATTACTAACAATCCCTTTCCTGTTTTAAAGACCATCATCAATTAAATTTATAATAATGTTTACTTAAAGCTATTAGAAATTTAATTCTTATTAGCTTTAAAAATAATACATCGTATTTGTTTTTAGAATAAAAATTTCGCTGCATACAAATAGAAACTCTAATTTCAAAGGTTTAGAGAAATAGTGCCTCAGAATCGAACCTAATATTCACACTACTATTCTGTCCTGTTTCTATCGATCACGAACTGTTTCTACATGTGTATGGTCACATACAGAGAGCGAATCGAGTCCAGTACTATCGTGGGCATCTAGCTTAGGCTAGATACAACTAGATACTACAGCAATGGGGGGAAAGAAATTGTTAGTAAAGGGTTTTATCAGCTTCATTGCTAACAATATACCTTGTTAGGTCGACCATCACGCGATTACCCCGAAACCGTCGTGATTGATTAATGAATTCGTGACGATAGGTTAACTGATTTGCTTTCATCCTTAGTATTTGCTTGCTCGCTCATTTCTTTGCTTGTTTGTATGTTTAGTAGTGCTAGTATATTTTTTATGCAAGTATTATTATTATTATTATTCTTTTATAGATACATACATACATACATATCTGTCACGCCTGTCTCCCATTAGGGTAGGCAGAAACAATGGAACGCCAAATGCTTCGATTCAAACAAACCTCTTTCGCTTCTTCCACATTTTTCTCTTTTATAGATCTACTACTTATTACAAATTAATATTATTAATAGATAGCTTCAATGAAAATAATACTCTACGGATCCCAACCACGAAGCCAGAAAGATTAAACGTAATTAAAAACATCTAAAATATTTACTAATAATTTTTACCCGTGACTTTGTTCACGTGACCGGGATATGTTTCCTGACTGGGATAAAAGTAGCCTGCATCCATCTCCGTCCCATATAGTACGTGTATAGCAAACTTTTCTTAAAAGTTATGGCGCTATAATGTAACAAACAAACAAACATACTTTTGGCATTTATAATATTAGAAAAGATATATTCGGTTAGTTATTAAAAATATTTAGATATTAAAAAGTTGCAATGATATGAACGACCAATTTAATGATTGTCCGATATGCTCTTGAACTCTGTATCGATATAAAAATGATTGTACGAACTCGTATATCTGTATGTGTGTCTAAGATTATTAAACTCCTATACCATCATTTACGACAATGAATTTATATATTATTAAGATTATTTTCTAAAGGGCTTGGCTCTTTAAAAAAGGCGCATATGGATGACATAAGAGGGCTCTTATGTCATCCATGTCTTTGCCTATAAATGAAAATTCCGCTCCTGATCCTGAGTGGGTAACAGTTCTGGAAAATGCACAGCCCCCCACCCCTCCCGACCCTGACTGTGTGTGTGTATACCATTTGGCTGTATGATACCGGCAAAGAATTGGCCACTCTTTTTTTCTCGTAGGTATCGTAAGAGACGGCTAAGAGAGGAGCGAGGGATGGGCAGCAGCATCCCTCTTAAAATGATAAGCAACAACCCTGTTCCTTATAACATCTGCAAAATCTAACTACGGTTGTCAATCCACCTAACAAGCGTGGCAACTACTGGCAAAACCCAAAGGGCGAGTATTGTGTTCAGCCGAGGACAAATGAAGGCTTACATGGTGATGATACCATTTGACCAGTGTCCATGAAAATTAACATTTTTTTTCATGGAAAAAGCTTTATGTTATCCAATTAGTTACAAGTTACCACTAGCGCTGCAGCTCTTAAACTTCTATGGCATTTAACTGATTATTATGAAAATTACCATGTGTAAATACTAGGTACATACTAAATGCTCTTTACTTCTTTCGTCATTATCATGAACATTTATTATGTAAGGAATTTTTTTATAATTATTAAAAATACAGATTATTAATAATATTATATTTTAATTCTTAATACAATACGACAAAAGTTTAGGACATACGACAAAACAATTAGCCTTAATAAATTCTCAACATCCCGGCGGGCGTTGAAAACTGCAGGCTTCTAGTGGATAAATTTAACTGAAGACTACCTACGGATAAGACCAGCATCGATCTTAATATTAATAACTTGATTTTAAAGAATAACTAGTGTTTCTAATTTGCACTTTCATTATTTTCATGTAACTAACATATAATACATAAACTAGCTGCACCTAGAAATATAAAAATTTTGATTTATTATACGGTGTAGAAAACATTAAGAGAGGATTTTTGGACATTGAAACAGGAACAGTATATAAGATTTCACGCGAGCGAAGCAGCAAGACACCTATTATATTTTATAGGCATATACAAATTGTGTAGTTACTTTACTATGTTGTAAATACAATTTCCATAGTCATTGACATTTAATAGTTTTATTATCACATACTGATATGAGTATTTCAATATTATTTACAACGTGCCGTGTACGTCACATACATATATACGTCAGTTGTAAGCAGAAATGATAGTTTTGCCTACTTTGCCTCAGATTAGATAATAAAAGCTTTCGATTGTATTGGTAAAAATAATTAATATTTATGTTTGTTTCCAAGAGTTCTGGGTATTCATGCCAACATTCTATATTACGGGTATATATATTCAGGGGTAAAGGAATCAAAGCTCAGTAAGTTAATCATTAAATTTAGGACAGTTTCAGGTTCCAGAAAATTGTGTGAAGACATCCGTCAGGCTCACGTCGGACTTTTAACCAAAAGGGGTGATCTATCCTAGATACAGGAAAAGTGTCCAGATACTATCTCCATGCTCATGTGTAATGCTATTACAAAATATATTTTACCTTAAAGTTTAGATTAATAATAAATTAGAAAGTTTAATTCCCTTGTTGCCTGATACAAATATAAAAAAAATAAGCAATGAGTTTAAAATATAGAATGAAAAACCGAAAATACTGAATTCACTGAATTGATTTAATACTTATAAATATTCTGACTGAAAAAATATCAGAGTTTATTTGAGAGACAAATCAACGACAAGTATCTATAGTTATATTTTATAGTTGAGCATAGATTATAAAAAAATTGAAATTTAATTCTAATAGGCAAGTCCATTACAAATAAATCTATGATTAATTAAATTAATTATGAGATTTAGACATATTAAAGCATATATTTTTTTGGGAACTGAACGATAGCAGAAAGTCTTAATTCCATTCAGGAACATTCCACTCTTTGAAGTCAACTTCCAGTAGCAGTATTTTTGAACCGATGCAACATCGTAACCTTTAAGAAAAGAGCATATTCCTTTTTAAAAGGCCGGTAGCACATCTGCGATGCCTGTGATGTTGCGGGTGATCATGGCCGGCGGTGATCACTTACTATAGGTGAGCCACATGCTCGTTTACTCCCTGTGTTATATAAAAAAAAATAAGGTTACTGCATCTATGTATCCATACACCGTGTGGTCCCAGCATAAAATGAGCCTTTCTTGCCCGTGGGTGACATAAGACGCGACTAAAGGAACATAATGGTCGAGGATGGGTTACAGTGTCCCTCTTAAAATGACAAGCAGCGGCCGCGTTTTTTATAGCAATTTATAGAGGTGACCTACGTTCAACAGTAGACAGATAACGGCTGATACTAATGACTACTGATCTATTTTTATGATTGGTTTAGGAATGCCAACGATAGCGGGAGTCATAAAACTATTGCTTAGTTTATACATATCATGTAAGTTGACACTGGTATCTATGGAAATAGGTTCTTAATAGATAATAGAATGTTAATATCGTCTGTGCTATAAGTACGACCCATCGTGATCAGTTCACTAAGAATTAAGCACGATGGATTCCAGACGGCCTACCATGAAGTTTTTTCCGAAATTTCGGAGCCAAACAAAACACAAATTTGATGTTAAAATTACATAATACATGCCGTTTGGAAATATTAAAAATGTTAAAATATTGTTCCTTTGGACTTTTATGATAGGATGTATGATAAACAAAACGTTAAACTCAGTTTATTGGTCCAAATTTGGTATAAACAAAACACGAAATTGAGTCCGAAATTTCGGAATTTCATTTCATGGTAGACCCGCTGGTCACGACTGATCTGACATTGTATATTGCCAACTACTAAATCAATAACTATATAACTATAAAATACTTCATAAAACACCTGTTTATTTAGTTATATAAACAATGTTTGAATCATCATAGGTTATCTTTTAGTGGCAGGTCGGTAGAATTAATTGATTATACAAAGCTTAATTTTTTTGCCTAAGCCCACGTTGTATATTCTTCACTTGTTTATGATAACGATAGTTTTATATTTACGTTATTTTCATTTAATAATAATACTAAAGTCTTTATTGCGCATTATAGAGATGTATACAAGGAGTATTTATACAGAATGTGCATATACATATGCAAAAGGCGGCCTTAACCCTAAAAACAATATCTTACAGACAACCTGTCTTCAGAGTCAGCAACGCGCGCGTAATACCCCTGGTATTGCAGGCATTCATAGGCTACGGTAACCATTAACTATCAGGTGAGCCGTATGCTTGTTTGCAACCTCAGTGGTATAAAAATATATAAAAAAAAAACCTGGCATAAATAATAGATAAATACAGAGAGAAAGGTAGCTGGCGCAAGTCAGACAGTAAATACAAAAAGTAACCAAATAAAATATATAATATTCTAAACATCATTTATATAAAAATAAAATTGCAATACATAAAGATACATTTATAATATAAATAATAGTAAATAATAATAAATGTTTATTATTATTATCGTAACCTTTTTATATCATGTTTACACATTCTTATAAAAAAAATTACTATATCTGTGATTAAAATCATTAAATAATAAAGTTTACAAATTGTTTGTCAAAATAATACACCAATTAGCAGTTAAGACATACGAGTATATACTAGTTATTTTACTCAATTTTGGTATCCTACTTAAATTGATATACAAACTTAAAAATGTGGAAGTTTGTAAATTATTTGTATCTTTGCTACCCAATTACGCTTAAATCTCTAAAGGGATTTGAAAGAAATTTATAACATGAGTAGGTTATATACATTTCCTGACTCCTCTCAGACATGTCTGCGAAACTTTGCATGCTGGAGTAGGCACCGGATAATTCTCATCTTTGATTAGGTAGTTCAAAACAGTTATTATTTATTTTATAATTATTTTTATTGTATTATTCTGTATATGTCTTTTTATCTTCATGCCAACCCCTTCCAGAGTAGATAGCAATATTAGTTTTATTTCAAAAATTTTCAAATTTCAACATTTGAATTTGGAAAACTGATTTACGAGTCCCCATAAAAATTATGAAATTACATATAATGTAAACTAAATACTTACTATGCTATATCTAGCAACCATACTATAAAAGAACTATCTTCTTTATAATATGGCTGTTTACAGTACTTTGTATGTGGGGGGAAAGGGATTGTTAGCAATGGAGTTTGACAGCCCCATTGCTAGCAATATGCCTTATTAGGTCTACCTCCACGTGGTTCCCTCTGGAAACCATCGTGAACAATTCTTGTTGAATTCGTCGCGATGGGCTAACCGATCTATTTCATCCTCACCTATCATCCTTCACTGGTGTCCCGCCGGTGTATACCGATAGCGCGTGTATTACCATTCCATTATCATCTATTTAAAAAAAAAGTACTCTGTATGTAATATAAAAAATCTTTACGTAATATAAATTAAAATAGGTAGTGAAATTAAAGATAGTTTATTCTATTTCACATTATTTATTATCATTTATATGTATAATTGTTGGTCTGACTTGACATATACATAAGAAAGTCAGTCTATTTCATGATAATCAATTATTACAGTAATTATCATTAGTTAAGGATTTCTGGAAGAGAGATCACGGGGGCGGGGAGGACGGGGGGAGCGGCAACGATGGGCTCGACGGAGTCAGGGAGGATAGCAACACCAGGGGGTACGGCTACGTCTCCAGATTGAGCCTGGTTGATGTTCAAAATGATTTGAACAAGAGGAACGCTGCTGGATTCAGGCTGGGCTTCAGGCGCGAGAGGAGGGAGGGCGACGACTGGGGGTTGAGCTACTGGAGGTTCAACAACAGGAGGAAGGACAACGACTGGGGGTTGGGCTACGGGAGGTTCAACTTCGGGAGGGCTGACGACGACTGGGGGCTCAACGACGGGAGGGCTGACAACGGGAGGAGTAACAACAGGAGGGCTGACAACAGGAGGGGTGACAACGGGAGGGCTAACGACTGGAGGGCTGATAACGGGAGGGCCAACAACGATGGGCTCAGGGTTAACAACAATGGGTGAAGGTTCTTCAACGAGGGCGGGGCCGACATCAATAGACTCGATTCCAAACAATTGCTGCAGCTGTTGTTGCAGAAGAGCAGCGGTAGCTGGGTTGGTGGTAGGGCTGTGGATGGCCTCAATGATGGCAGCCAGCTGGTCGTCATCGGACACGGCGGGCTTGTGCGCCGGAATGGCCGCAGCCACGGCTACCAGGGCAACAATAGCTACGAAGAGTTTCATATTGAATCTGGAATTAAATAAACATTTTAGTTGTTAGATGATTAAACCTAGTTTATTAATTAATTCTATTATTCTTTTTGAAACGAACTTCACAATACTAACAATATACTAGTAACAATTAGCGTACATTTTTAATTTTATATTTTATTTTCACTTTCTTGATAATTATCCAAAAGACCAAGTTTAAAGAATGTGAACACATTTTTATCATACACAATTAAAATCCATTCTGATTGGACCAAGATTTAAATAAAAACATTGTAATAGTTCATTGGTTTGAGCAGACAGATACACCGTAGATACAGGGTAAGTATAATGTCACAGAATATGAAATAGTATGGACTTACTACATACAAAGTCACCGTAATACAATACAAAATTACCTATTCGTCTAATACTACACATTTTTAATACAATACAATTAAATTACATATTTTTACCACATATAAAGTAATTCATTCGACGGGTACTTACTTTTCAGTGAGTTTTGATCCAACTGATGCGTTTGAAAGAAAAGATCCTACTTTTATACGAATTAGTTGCATTAGGTACGTATCATAAATCAGAAGAATCGCTGTCTAATAATTGATTGTGTTAATCCTTCCTTAATTAAATCTTAGTTAATTTACAATCGTTGGATAAGATTAGCAGTGGCATAGCGTCATGTGGATGCTAAGTTCCACTTTAGTTTCTTTTATCTATTAGATATTAGATATAACATCTTGCCGTCTCATTAATAATAATTATTATTATTATCTTCCTATCAGCCGTTAATTGTCCACTGCTGAACATAGGCCTCCCCCTTGGAGGGTTTTACCAGTACGTGCCACGCTTGGCAGGCGGATTACCAACCGTAGCTAGGATAGTTTTATGTTCCTTAAAATGCCAAACAAGTTGACGGAAGGTTCCTACCTAATGGGAGGTGGTAATCGTCGCATATAGACATAGAACAGCACCACGGACAGTATACACTGTTATGTTCACAATATACCTCATGCGTTGTCCTAAGGACTATGCTGTTATGTCTCTGTACCCTGTAATTTCACTGCCATATCTCATCCTTTAAACACAGCGATGCAAACACAGAATACTTCACAGCAGAAACATGTGTGGGACGGAGGTAGCTAAACAAGACAACTTTTGCACAAAGTTTACCTTTAGTAAAGGAATGATTGCCTTACAGGAGCGTCATAATTGAAAGTCCTTTTTATAAGTCTTATTATGTAAGTACATGATGAGAGATAACAGGAAGACATTGTCATCAATATAAAATTAGTAAATATAATAAAATTAGTTACAATCATCAGATTTTTTTTTTAATAATCTTTAACAAAAAAAAAAAAAAGAAATGAAGCATATTGCAGTTAAATAGAGAGACAAGAGTTTCAATTCAGCTTCATATAAATGTCTTAGTATACTCTGTTGCCGTTTTCTACGGACTACAAAAAGAAGAAGGTTGTCAATTTTGTTGTATTTTTTTATGTTTGCTACCTCATAACAACTCCGTAGATTGTAAAGCGTTTTGCGAAATTCTTTTTTTAATTGAAAGAATATTGAAACTTACTGATGAGACTACCATAGAAATTTTATCAAAATCAGTTCTGTAATTTAGTTTTTAAATCTAAATAACTTGTTTTACCACAACTGAAGTCGGTTTTTTTTCTGGAACGCTTGAATCTTTATTTCGTTTCATGTATTTACACCTAGTAACAATCTATCAAATTACATAGCGTTATCTGTGACGCCAAAAAAACATTTTTTAATAATTTTAGGGTCACGACTCTAAAATTACGAAAGATAAATCAATATGTGTGACAAAATAATCATGCGAAATTCATTATATACTCTAATGATATCTTATGATATTCTAAGTCAATTAAGATTTAATTTCGGGTGACACCCGTAACGACCATCAGAGGTTGAAATATAAGGTTTAAATTAACAAATCACTTTTACGAGTAGAAATAAACAAAGGAAACTAGTACAAGCAACAGCCGTGCACGAGTATGACGGTTGATCAATCCATCTTAACCATTTTAGAAAGAAACGTAACAGCTCGGACTCTCATGTTACCACACGTTTGAACATCTTACTAATGTAATAAAAATGTAACTAGACCATGGCTGTACTTGGTAGATTTCTAAAAAAAAGTATAATACGGATTTTATGTGTGTGTATATATATATATATATATATATATATATATATATATATATATATATAATAATGAGTAGGGATATATATTTATATTATTACATCTCCATATTTAGAAATAATAGAATTTGCATCGTGCCTCTGATCAAACTGTTTACTTCTATCCATCCAAAGGTTGCCTAGAAGAGATCGCTTTTAGCGATAAGATCGCCCATTGTTTTCTCACTGTGATTATTTTTTTTTTTTATACAACTTAGAATGGCAATCAAGCTGACGGCCCACCTGATTGAAAGTGGTAACCGTCGCTCATAGACATGAGCAGTACCATGGACATAACAGAGTATACTGTTTCGCCCATGATACCCCCCATGCGTTGCCATTCCTGAGGACTCAGGACCTCTGTACCCAGTAAATTCACGCCAATTCACGCCCTTCAAACCGAAACACAGCCATGCAAACACAACTGCTTCAGGGTTGAAACACGAATGGGACAGAGGTACCCAAGCAATCGGCTTTTGTACAAAGTCTCCCTCTGGTGATTTTTTTATATTAGTTATTTTATATTTTAGTTAAAAATAATAGATTGCTTTAAGTTTTTACAAAATTCACATATTTTTTAATTACATTCGTTTTCCCGGCATAGAATAAGTCACCCCTTCTTTTCCTGTAGATGTCGCAAGAGGCAACTAAAAGAGGGTGAGGGATGGGCAGCAGCATCTTTCTTAAAACGTCTCCAAAGTCTGATAGGAATATATTGTTAGTTATATATGTACCTATATCTGATAAGTGTGTTTTTGAAGATATGACTGTTATTACGGGGTACAGAGGCATAATGTCGTCTTCAAGAATGGCAACGCAAGAACAGTATCTACCGTTACCACCTTCCATCAGGTAAGTTATCAACTTTATTAGCTATTTCAAGTTAGAAAAAAGAAAATTGGATTAAAGAAAATAGTAACCATGTGGTCTCGGCATAGACCAGGCCACCACTTCCTTTCCCGTGGCAACTACTAGTAAACCCTCCCAGGGGAAGCTTTTATGTTCAACAGTGGATAGTTAAAGGCGTAGTCATAGGCCGTAGTTATAGAATAAATTCTTTAATAAATCACAAATGTCACCATGGAGCAATTTATACCAGAGTATAAATCACTTTGTATAGTGGTTCAGTCCATAGTAACGACTCATATCAACATTATATATTTCGAATGATTCATTTCATTATAAAAACACATAATTATTTTATAACAATCCGCACGCTACATGTGTATCTGGTCAGTGAACTCTCGATAAATGATTTACCACCTAAACTACTATATGAAAAGATCGATAAAACTAACATTGTTTTAAAAAAAATATTGTATATATCTATATAATAACAAAGTGACTGATCAGGCATAGTAGAAACCAATATAAGTAAGTGTGCACTAATAAGGAATTTTCAGTAATTCCTACGGGAATGAGTAACTGAATCCATGCAAGCGAAACCGAGACATATAGCTAGTCACTTATCATTAATTTGTTATTAAATTATAATGTGTTTGATTTTTATTTTTATTTATTATAATTATTTTATGCCAAAGCTATTATTTTAGTTGATACGCTAAATTTACTGTTTTGTGGATTATCATAAACTAAATTTATTAATAAATTTAATTTAGATCTATTAGGAATTTATAGTTTATATTGGTCCTTAGACTAGAGATTTCGTTGTGAATTTAAATTAAAAAATTTATTTTATAGGTTAAACGAGAGAAGCCTAAGAATCAACCCTAATGTTACAACACGCAATAATTTTAATAATGCTGGACTTTTCAAGATTGGTAAGGTACACGTATTGCAGGCATTCATAGACTACCAGTAACCGGTTTATTTTCATATAGAATGTACCTAAACTTTAGTGGTATAAAAAAGCCATCCAAAAAGATGTTGTGTGATATGCGACCAGACATTCATTGCCTGAATCCTCATAACTAAAAGTTATATAATGGCAATAAAATAAGTCAGTTTTTTAAATTTATTCCAAAGTGTTTGAATCCAAGATGTTACCCATAGAAATTAGTGTTTGCTATTATACTCAGAACATTACGACGTTTATTAAATCGCAAAACAAGAAAATTAAATTTAAGTCATTGGAGTATTTAAGATTATTTTTCAGGCCCTTTAGAAAAACTAATACGAGCATATATTTTTTTACAACACAGGGGGCAAACGAGCAATCGGCTCACCTGATGGTAAGTGATTACCGCCACCCATGATAAACCACAACACCAACAGCATAGCAGGTGTGCTGCCGACCTTTTAAAAAGGAATATGCTCTTTTGAAGGTTATGATGTCGTATCGGTTCGGAAATACTGCTGCTGGAAGTTGATTCCAAAGAGTGGTTGTGCGTGGAAGAAAGTGCCTTGAAAAACGCACGGTGGAAGAGCGCCACTTATCCAGATGGTTGGGATGAAACTTTGCCGAGAGATTTTTGCATATCCGGTATATAATGCATCTTCTGTACTGTCATCTGTATAGCAATGAATATTATTGATATGTACTATTAAACATGTCGTGTGCATAGCCTTACTTGCATCCTGGTGTGGGTACGGCCAATAGTATTACATTATCTGTGGCATAAACCACCTGGCTCTCTGTTTAAGTTCACCTAGGATTATACTACACATGTTGGGTTTAAAATTGTGCAGCGAACATAACATTAATTAAATTTTATTTACAACAGCGGATTTTTATTTACAATATCTCCTACACAATACGCTTGTAATATTGATGAATATGTACACTACTTAAAATAATACTATTCTTTGATGATGACTGTATTATTAGTAGTCATTTATTAAACATTGGGAAATATAACTACTTAATCTATCTTAAGTAGATGCTGGGAAATCTTAAAACTATAAAAATCGATGTTTATAATCTAGATAGGTAGCAGATAATCGCCATAAATCATAGTTATATTTACAGTGTTTGGTGGGTAGAGATAGTTGCTAATGAAATTAAATAGTCTGTGCATTTTGAACAAAGTTTATTTCTATTTCATATTATTATATTATTTTGTAAATGCATTAAGACCACAAATCATAAATTAGAATTGTCTCTTTAACTTATATAATTATATAAAAAGGTATAATAGTGTAGGTCTATTTCTTGAGTCTGAATTGTTACAATAATTTAGTTAAGGGTTTCGGGAAGGGTGATGACGGGGGCGGGAAGGACGGGGGGAGCGGCGACAATGGGCTCGACGGAATCGTTGTCGATGATTTCAGGGAGGATAGCAACACCAGGGGGCACAGCGACGTCTCCAGACTGAGCCTGGTTGATGTTCAAAATGATTTGAACGAGAGGAACGCTGCTGGATTCAGGCTGGGCTTCAGGCGCGAGAGGAGGGAGGGCAACGACTGGGGGTTGAGCTACGGGAGGTTCAACAACAGGAGGAAGGACGACGACTGGGGGTTGGGCTACGGGAGGTTCAACTTCGGGAGGGCTGACGACGACTGGGGGCTCAACGACGGGAGGACTGATAACGGGAGGAGTGACAACGGGAGGGCTGACAACGGGAGGATTGACGACGGGAGGGCTGATGACGGGAGGGCCAACAACGATGGGTTCAGGGTTAACAACAATGGGTGAAGGTTCTTCAACGAGAGCAGGGCCGACGTCAATAGACTCGATTCCAAACAATTGCTGCAGCTGTTGTTGCAGAAGAGCGGCGGTAGCTGGGTTGGTGGTAGGACTGTGGATGGCCTCGATGATGGCAGCCAGCTGGTCGTCATCGGACAGAGCGGGCTTGTGCGCCGGAATGGCCGCAGCCGCGGCTACCAAAGCAATAAGAGCTACGAAATATTTCATCTTGAATCTGGAAATAAATAATTATTTAAATTAATCCAAACTAGACCAAAGCAATAAACAGACAGTATTGACGTAGTTAAGATTTCTGTCCCGGGAAGAACTGGACCATTAAAAAAATAACATTATGTACTCTCATAGGTGTAGGCACATAGAGCACACATTAGGCATTAGACAATCCTGGGGTGAGCACAGTATGTAAAAATAAATTAGTACATTATTGTTAAGTTTTTAAGTTAATAATCATCTTGTTTGAATCAGTTTTAGATGAAAACAATTGTTCCGAAGATACTCTGTTTGGGTGCTTTGATACCACTGACTATTGACCATCATTTGTTTTATTCTATTGTTTAGATGACTTTACAAAAGACACAGTAATAACATATTTCTTCCACAAACTATTAATTTACAAATATAACACTTGTTCAAGAGATACTTACCTACTTTTCAGCGAGTATGATCCAACTGATGGCTTTGAAAAAGTTGATCCCACTTTTATACAAATTGTCACTATTAGGTGTATTAAGAGGATCAGTGTGTTAATCCACCCGTAATTAAATATTAGTTAATTTACAGTCGTTGGATAAGATTAGTAGTGATATTGCGCCTAACAATTTAACTGTATTAATTTTTTTGTGTACAGTTAATAAAAAGGAAACTTTGTTTTTAAAAACGATGTTAGTTATTTATTTCATTAACAATTTTTATAAAAAAAAAAAGTTGGTTCAATTCTTCTACAGAAGCTACGTATCATAGACAGACAGATAAAGACTTTTTTCACATAATTTTGAAAAAATAATTTAAATATCTTGGATTACATTGATCCTATATCCAAACCCTATTAATATCTTCATATGATATTATCTTCATTTTAATTACATCAATAAATTTTATTTACGAGAAATTTGAATGAAAAACGTTAGTAATTTGTATTTACAACTACTATAATTCTATGATAATTTATAATTATCATCGTCATTATATTAGCCGATAATTGTCCACTAATGAGCACAGACCTCCGTCATAAAGGTTTTTTTTTTTATATTATATAGACGTCTAATAATACATTGTAAGCATTTTAAATGATACCTTATTATAATCCACCAATCGAAGAAAAAGAAGGAAATTGAAGCTTAGACAATCATTGACAGTGTTTCGAAGTAAAAAAAACTGAACTAACGAAAGAAAAAGAAATATAAGAAAAAATTTAATTAAAAGGAATTTTTACTTAATTTGTAACTAGTTATTAGATATCTACTGATAATACCAAATATCAATATCTATAAGTAATTATATGATCTTTATGACAAGTATTTACAATGATCCAGATTAAAATAATAATTAGGATAAGAAGTTAATTAATCTATCACACATCGAGTTGCAGTAGTGACTACTTACAATGTGAAGCCTACGATAGTCATTTTGGCCAAATAATCTAAAATAATAATATTTACTTTATAAATAATTCTAGGTCCGCAATGCGCAATCTCTGGGCAATGCTCAATGGTGGGATATGGCGTGAATTTACAGGGTACAGAGGAATAACACCTGAGTCCTCAGGAATGGCAACGCATGGGGGGGGGGGGGAGTATCATGGGCGAAGCAGTATACTCTGTTATGTCCACGGTACTACTCGTGTCTATAGGCGACGGTTACCACTTTCTATCATGTGGGCCGTCAGCTTGTTTGCCATTCTATATTGTATAAAAAAAACTTGTTAACTAATTTTATTATTTATGATTTTAATAAATAAATAATTTTTACTCTTTATCTATTTTTACTCTTAATTTTTACTCTCAGTAGCATCCCTCTAAAAACATCACTAAAAGCCAAACTGTGGTTACCAACCCGCTCGCCAGGCGTGGCAACTACTGAAAATTCCTCTAATGGTAAACTGTTATTAGAAACGGCCCTGTTCCTTATGGCAGTCTATGGGAAAGGCCTATGTTCAGCAGTAGACAGACAACGACGGATATGATGATAATGTCTCTTTATCTAGTAAGTTACTATATATTATACATACTTAGACAGTGAGAACTTAGTAAATTTGTCGCGTCTTCAATTATTTCAATTTCATCCAGAAGTATTCAAGTTTTTACGTATGTACTTACGTACATAGATTAGGCCATTCCTTCTTTTCCCGTGGGTGTCATAAGAACCGACTAAGAGAGGGCGAAGGATGGGCGGCAGCGTCCCTCTTAAAATATTTCTAAAACCTGACTGCGTTTGCCAATCCAGGCGAATTGCGGCGGTTGTCAACCGCTGTTGGGCTTTGATGGTGTTTTAACAGGGACGCTGCTGCCCATTGCTCAACCATTAAGTTGTAAACCTTAGTTGCCTCGTACGACATCCACAGAAAAAAAATGCGGCGGCCCATTCTATGCCGAAATCACGGCCACGGCACGTGGCCACATACTGATATATCTTATGTCTTATATATCACTAGTAAACCACGATCGTTTCCAGGGTAGATCGCATGAAGATCGACCTATCCCAATTAGTTAGTTGCTGGAAGTGGTTATATCGCCAAGATATGTTGGCAATACAATCACTGTTAATAACTAACAATCCCCCTCCCATCTTATTTTACAATGTTAGCACAGTTTAAACTCGTTGTTCTTTACACTGTGAAATTAGTACCAAGTACATTACAATCTATCACTAGTTGTATTCCGCGGCTTTCCCCACGTGAACAAGTACATAAAGTATTTTATGTGCTAAATTAAAATATAACCTATTCGTGTATCAAACTTCATTCAAATCTATTAAGTAGTTTATGCGCAAAAAAAAACATCCATCCACCATATATGACATACCTTCGCATTTACCATACACCATAATATTAATAGGATAGAATTATAGATGTTTGGCATTCAATTTTATCTACTTATCTCGTACCTAAATGATTATTGATTGTGCTAATTATTATTCTTTCTGCCAAATGATCTCAAACTGCAAATTCATTTTCAAAATTTTTTTAAATAAGAGATCCCTTCATCACCTACATTTTGAAGCAAATGATAAGATTTACTTGTCGTTGGATTTACTTGTATTATATTTAATATAATTTACTGAATCGAAACATATTATGTTCTTCTATTTCTGCCTACCTCACAGAGAGATTGGGGAAAGGGATTATATATTATGGGACTAGCTACCTTATTAAAAAGCTACCTTATTATTACGTAAATTGCTTTTACGTGGTTCTCCCTGGAAATTTAGAATTCGTAAAGAATACTCCATGATAGTTCAACTGATCTGACTTCATCCTCATATACCATTTTCATTACTCTGTCTGCGTAAGTCTGATGGGTTACAATTCCATATAAAACACCAATAACAGGAAGACTTTTTTATTATTTTCTACCTATTTTTCCTTTATCAGGTTAATTCCACGAGAATCCCCAGAAACAATCATGATTAATTCCCGGGGAATTCATCACAATGTGTCAATGGACCTGACTTGGGAATGGGGGGAGTCTTATCATTCTATTTTCATCAATAAAAAAAATGCCTCTGCCTTTCCAATATAGAAATAATTGTGAGAATAATTTTTTTATTACTTTATATCTTATTTGTATCTAAGTAACAAAAAATAACTAAATAAAAACCAATATTGCATTCTGATTTTATTTTATTTTAAGCTGTAAAACAAAATTTTATCACAGTTTCACCGGATATTTGACTATAGCATAATATATTTATGTTTACAAATTATCATTCAGTTATATAAAATAACTTTATTATCAGTTCAGCAAGAGCTAGTGAAGCGACGTTTAAGCCTGGTTGATGTTCAAGATGAGTTGAACGAGAGGAGCGCTGCTAGATTCAACTTCAGGTTCGGGAGCGGGAGGGGGGAGGACAACGACTGGGGGTTGAGCCGTGGGAGGTTCGACGACGGGGGGGCTGACGACGACAGGAGGGTCGACGATGGGAGGGCTGACGACGATGGGCTCGGGGCTCGGTTCAATAACGGGGAATTCAATGACACCGGGGCCAACGACGATGGGTTCAGGTGCAGGGTTGACAATTACGGGGCCAACAGAGATAGACTCAAGACTTTCGAGGATTTGTTGCAGTTGTTGTTCGAGGAGAGCGGCGGTGGAGGGGTCTGTGAGGGGGCTCTGGATGGCCTCGATGATAGCAGCCAGCTGATTGTTGTTGATGCGGCTCCTGCTCACCGGGCTGGCGACAGCCACGGCTACCACAGCGACGAGAGCTACGAAGAATTTCATTTTGAATCTGGAATATATAAAATGTTTGAAATCAGAATTAAGTAAAAATTATTATACAATAAAAAAATAAATTACAGTTCTTTTTCCAACATGGAACAACAACATATATTAGAAATCTAATGGTCTAAATAACTGTACAAATATTTATGGTAACGCATTCTTTTATTCTATGATTGGGAATGGCAAATTACACTCATATTCAGTAGCGATAACTTTGTTTACTAATTCATGCAACAAAATCTATCAGATCTATCTATTCAGATTTACAAATTAGATAGTATTTAACCACTTTATAAAATAATTAGCTTTATAACGCCCAAGTCGCAGTATGCATTTAGTTTTTTACTAAAAGTAAAAGCTATCAGTCTATCAGTCTGATCTATCTGTTTACCATATTTTAATAAACATCTGGAAATCACAAACATTCATCTACAATATGACTAGAAACAAAACACTTACCGTTCAGCAAAGTTACGATCAAATTGATAACATTTGCAAATTACGTTTAATTTATATAGGGAATAATATTATCTTCATAATAAATAAATTCATAAATTATGTTTTAAATCTTACATGATATCTTTACAATTTATAAAAAATTGATTAATTGTAATTTATGATATCTTAATGTAAATGACGTGTAACAAAGGAACGGCGGCGTTTGATGTTGTTATAAATACCAGCGTCATCCTGATTCCAGCCATTTGCTTTCCAATACTGAATACCATGTACTACAAAGGAAAATCCTGAGCCACCTGCTTCCTTTGATTTCTTGCTACTCATTTAAGAGTATCTCTATATTTATTGGGGGTCACCCTACACTGTTTACCTGTACAAGGTCGCCACTTTGAGTTGTTTATCCCATCGCAAAAAATAAAACATCTTAAATCAAAATTAATATACTCGTAGAATGAACATGGAAGTAACTCTGTCGATTGCAAAATGTACTGTTCAAATTTAGCGTACATGTCATGCAACACAATTCCTCTATCGCAAGCATAGTGATAAAGCATATCATATACGATTGGACTATTTTAAGTTTTTGATAGCCGTTCGCGAAAGAGATCTGCAATTTATCTCGAAAGAAAAACAAAGCGGAGCCCAGTATTGGTTCCACCTCGTTCTGTGGCCCTTTATATTATTTTATAGTAAGATGTATTTGTCACTCTTTCTCGCGACTTTATCTGATTATATCAGTATACAAGCATGTCATATATTTAGTTAGGATATAATCTATCAATATAGCAATAGCATATTTCATTCAAATCTATTCAGTCGTTTAGGCGTAATGACAAATTCACAAACATCTTCACAAACTTTGGCATTTGTAATATTAGAAGGATTACACATTATACGACCCAAATATTAGGGCTCTCTTTTTTGAATTGTCTTTATGAGTTCCAATATATTGTACCAGATGTCATTTTATTTATGTTTGCTACTTAATCACTAATTATCGTAAGTTTATTTTAATTTTTTTAATAACGTCGGCTGATAGAAACCTCTGGCGACCAGAAGGCTGGCCTATACTTTGGTCAACGCATTTCCATAGCTATTCAGCGTGGAAATGCAGCAAGTCTCCTAGGTACCCTACTAGCTGGCAGTAATCTTAAGGAATTTTTTTATCTTTAATTATTTAAATTTATTCCATTAGCAATAGATGTTATACGCGATTATAGTAAACAAGTCTAAGGAAATATTTATTTATAGATACAACAAACGTGGATTGCACCTCGTAAATACATATGACGGCATACGACCAAAGGTCTTTAATTTTTATGTCTTTGATAATTCTAAACTACTGAAAAACCAGTCAGTTGGGGAAGGACACCTGATATGACGTATTACATACCGTGAATTGTATAGGAAGAATATTGTATATTTTTTAACTATAATACTTAACAATAGTCTTACACAAAGGGAAATTTAACGGGCATATTCTTACGTTGTATGAGACAGAGTACTTCTGTAGGAGAGCGACAATTGTAAAATAATGCTTCTTTTTAAATTATTTATTATTTTTATTTTATTATTTATTTAGATAATCAACAGCTTAGCACAGTACAAAAAAAATAACTTTTAAACATTTTATGTTTTATAAAACGTAGAAATTGATTACGATAATTTACCTGAGTTTATTTAGGTAAATGATAGCATTAATTCCTAACTGTTATTAAAGAGAAGAAAAATTATGTTAAGAAACAAAAAGAGATCAAAAACAAAATCATATAATAATAAAAGATCTGATAGCAGTCAAACGCAAAAATTTAATTCCTTGTTCTTAGGTCAAACGTCCACCCCAATACGGTCGTGCAACGTTGATGTATATATATATATATATATATATATATATATATATATATATATTGAAATGTAATAGCAATCAAGAAAGCGAAATATTTGGCTATATAATTCCAGGCAATCATTTAAAGAAATGTCGTGTGTGTCCCGGCATAGGATAGGTCACCCCTTTGTTTCCCGTGGGTGTCGTAAAAGGCAGTCAAGGGAGGACGAGGGATGAGAGCAGTGTCCCTGTTAAAACATTTATAAAAGCCTAACTGTCAACCTCCCTGCCAAGCATGACAACTACTGGTAAAACTCCTTATAGAGAAGGCTTATGTTCTGCAGTGGACAGTTAACGGCTGAAATGAAAAAAAAAATTAAAGATGTATCAGATTTATTTATTTATTTTACGGAGCAGCTCTAAACGACAATACAAGCCGCCATCAAGATAGAGAGACATAGCACAATTTTACTATATATATATATATATATATATATATATATTACACTTAATATTGTAAACACACATCAGGTGAGTTTCTGTGTGATCAGATGGGCAAATTGTTTGCCAAAAATATTAAAATGCCTTTTTAATGCAAAATAATACTGGCGATATTGTAATATCATTTGTGTATTTTAAAACTGAGTTAATTTTTATGATGCATAGTTTTAGTTATTATCAAAATATGAGAAAAAAAAAAACAAATTCTATTTTCCGAAATTTCTGAAGTACAAAATAAAAATAAAACGATGTTTATTACTAGCACCATTTTTGAGAAATTATTGCAAAACCTCCAAAAGGTAGGATTAGGTTTTCCGATTTTTAATCACAATTATGGCCCAAAATAAGAAATAACGAATTTAGATCATATGAGAAATGCAATAAAGCTCATATTATCATATATTTATATATTTACGTATGGAACTCGGAGTGCGTCAGTTCAACTTGCACAGACAAAAAGTATTAAAGCAAAAGCAAGGTAACCAATGCTATACTGTGATGCTCATGACATTGATCATGTTACTTGGTTATGGTTACCAGGTGGGCCGTCAGCTTGTTTGCAATTGTAAATTGCATAAAAAACTAAGGTTAGTCCACCTCATTGAAAATGCGCCTTTGATAACTCCATCTATGAATGAAGTCGTGAAACTACGCTTACGTATCAAACAAATCTTTGTTTGATCTATAAGGGTAATATTAGTTTTGGAAAAGAAAGAAAATATAATAATATTGTTTAAATTTTATTTCTGCCTGTAAATTGTTATAACAATGTTTTTAATAGTTCAATGGATATTTAACAGTTATAGAAATTTAAAAAAATAACATGTTTATATTTTAAAGGTGCCGGTATATGTATTATTTAATTAAGTTCTTCAGGGAGGGTGATGATGGGGGTAGGGAGAATGGGGGGAGCAACGATGATGGGCTCGACAGGGCCGGCGGGGCCGTCCACAACGATCACGGGGTCGACGACTGCGGGGGCTTCGACAACCTGAACGGGGTCTACGACTTCAGGGGCTTCCACGATCTGGATGGGCTCGGGGAGCAGAGCAACGCCAGGGGGGACGGCGGCTCCAGACTCGGCCTGGTTGATGTTCAAGATAATTTGAACAAGAGAAGCGCTGCTGGATTCAGGCTGGGGTGCAGGCTGGGGTGCAGGCGCGGGAGGAGGGAGGACTACAACGGGAGGTTGAACAACGGGAGGGTTGACGACGACAGGGGGGTTGACGACGGGGGGGCTGACGACGATAGGCTCGGGGCTCGGTTGAATGACGGGGAATTCAACAACACCAGGTCCAACGACGATGGGTGAAGGCTCAACAATGGCGGGGCCTACAGAGATGGGTTCGAGACCAAGGATTTGTGCCAACTGTTGTTCCAGAAGGGCAGCGGTGGCGGGGTCGGTGCTGGGGCTCTGAATGGCAGCGATGACAGCAGCTAGCTGAGCGTCATCTCCAAGGGGGAGCCTGTTTCGTGGGCTAGCGGCAGCTACGGCCACCAATGCAACAAGAGCTACGAAGAATTTCATTTTGTCTCTGGAATGAAAAAAATATCAAAAATTACTAACATATCCTTCGACATGATTATAATACGAGTATACTTTGTGTACTTGTATTTTAATATGTTGAAATATTTCAGAAATAATTTGTAAGTATTTTTGAAAATATAATATTGTCACTGATTTTCCACATGATGCACTGACAACACATTTATCCACAGTAATGACGACAAACGAGCGGTACCTCACATTCACAGTACCATTCATGCCTAAAGGCGATGGTTACGTACCACTTTCTTACAAGCGGGTCATTAGCTTTTTGTGAATATTTTAAAAAATATTAATTAATATTTTTTTACGTTTTATCTTCTTATTTTAAGGTGTAATTAGATAAGACTGGTAGACTACTACCGGATACTAATCTAGAGATAACGAAAAAAAAAATTATACTCTTTAGCTGTAATCTGCGGTTATCCCTGCGTAAATTAAAATAAAAATATATCTAGTTTATGGTCTATCTATACACCAAATTAAAATCCATTAAACGACTATTTAAGAACACATTTACATAGTAATATACAAACTTTTACATAAAAATGTATAATTGGATAATAAGAATTAATTAGATTAAAATTATATCCTAATTAAGAAATAATTGTGAAATGTACTTACCGCTAATAAAAGCTTTGCCAAAACTGATATCAATCAGGGAAATGTTCCTCTTTATATAGGACAGAAATTATCTGCCATTCATTGATGTTCATAAAGATATGAATTTATAACACTCTAATTGAAATTCTCTAGATTTGGTAAAGAAATAAAACAGCACAATTATTTAATTTGAAATGATAAATAATATAACTTGTAGTTTCAAACAAAAAATTCTCAAACACTAAGGGCTCCGTACATATAATAATTTGTAAAGGAATTAATAGGTAACTTATTTATGAGATAAATTTACATTTTACTTACATGAAATATTTCTTATGTGAAATAAACATTTAATAAGTCTTACTATTGTTGTAGCGTTTTTCGGATGGGGGGGGGGGTATCATGAGCGAAACAGTATACTCTGTTATGTCCATGGTACTGCTCATGTCTATAGGCGACGGTTACACTTTCCATCAGGTGGGCCGTTAGCTTGTTGCCATTCTAAGTTGTATAAAAAAAAAGTCTTTTGGATTAGGGTTTGGACGTTATTGCAATTAAAACCAAACTGTATCGCATATGTAAACGTTTATCTCAGACACACTATGCTAATTCAAAATTGGTTTCTATTTCCCCCGTAATATATAGACATGTCTTTATAAACTATGATTCTTTTATATTTCCACATTATAAACTTCGGAGATTTGCCGAAAAGATAGAACTTTTTTCAAATATACTATCATCAATCAAAAATTGTTTTTATATCCCATCCCCCTTGTTTTAATAAACTTATTTTGAAATTTCAGAAAACTCTTTTGTGCTCATTTAAAAGAAAATCATATTATTTTTTTATACCATAAAGGTAGGAAGCATACAGCCTGTCTGATGGTAAACAATTACTGTAGCATACGTCTGCAATACTAGGGGTGGCAAATGCGCGTGGCTAACCCTGAAGAAACCTTAACATATCATTTTTTAAGAAGCCCATATTGTAGCCTCTAGGGAAAACCTCGGCAGGGAGCACATTCCTTAGCCTGAGCATAGTATTATATTATCTGTGGCCTGAGCGTACATGAGAGAAAATTCCTTTGAAACCATTTAGGTTCAAACATATGAAGATGTCAATGTTCTGTCAATGGCAAGCGGTGCGATGATAAAAAGTGGTTGTGAGCATCATTTCAAACAATTCCTCAGAACACATTCCGTTATACAAGCAGTAGAACACAAAAAGATGCAACGTCTCGCCTTAGACTTAAGGGCTCGATGTCGCCTGTGAGCTTGGGATCGTCGACTATTCTCATAGTTCGCCTCTGAATCAAGTCAAGAGGACCAAGCTGGTATCCAGGAGCTTAAGCTCACAGGTGAGAGCAGTACTCCATAAAGGGCCTGACTTGCTTATTTTTTTTAATTATATATTTTTTTAATTATGTTCATAAATTTAATAATATTCCATATTTCAAATCCATCCATTTTAGTTCACTATATCTATTGAGAAAAAGCAGATAAAACTCCGGCCTGTGTAAAAAGTGAAGTGTATTGAAGTTTTGTTTACGGAAAATTTCCCTAGATGGTGTTAGTATCAAATAATCAGGTTATACTTTTATGAATTAACATCTACATACAGATGAAATCTTGTACTACAGTATAGTACAGGTACTACAGTTTCTTTAAAAACAGTAAGTTATTATTATTTTATTATATCAGCCATTAACTGTCCATTGCTAGAATATAGACTTTCTACATAAGGGAAGTTTTTCCAATAGTTTGTGCGGTTGGCAACCGCAGTTAGGTTTTAGTGCTTGTTTAAAGAGGGACCATATTGCCCATCTTTCGACCATTATGTTCCCGTAGTCGCTTTTACGACACCCACTGGAATGGAAGGGATGGCACATTTTATGCCATGAGTATATTGTTTTAAAATTTACATATTCGTAAATAGGTGTACTCTTTTATAAAAAATGCTGTGCTTGTTCACAAGTCATTCATTATTTGTGTATGGGCTTGAAAGATTTTTTTATTACAAGATGAAAAAAAAAAGAAACGTCATAGGTAGTGATACTTCTCCGGAAGCACAGAAGAAATATGGCAGTGAAAATATGGAATACAGAAACCTTTAAAATCCTAGTAAAAACTATTGGGATAAACTGAGATCATCGCAATTTATATGACCAGTCCAAAATTTCGGTCATTTATATTTGCGACAAGTACGACTTTTTAACAAATACACGGTCAGTTTGTTTTCAACTTCATGTTTTTAAAAAATGTAAAAACGATCTTTACATTTTTTAAATACTATAGACATGTTTTAAGTCTATGAAAGTATGTGTGTTTGTTCGTAACTTCTTGGCGCCTTAACGGCTCTAATTAATCGTCATAGGGGGGAAAAGGATTGTTAGCAATGGAGTTTGATAGCCCCATTGCTAGCAATATACCTTATTAGGTCGACCTCCACGTGGTTCCCCCTGGAAACCATCGTGAACAATTCTTGTTGAATTCGTCACGATGGGCTAACTGACCCGCTTCATCCTGACCTATCACTCTTTTCTCTGGTGCCTCGCCAGTGTATACCGACAGTGCGGGTGGAGTTACCATTCCATTATAATCCATTTAAAAAAAAAATTAATCGTCATAATATTTGGTATAAATTATTATTGTTATTTAGTTTGTATTTTTTAATAAAGAAGATCATAAACTACTTTTTTATTCCCTTCAATCAATATCTATAATTTTCTTATGTACGAAGTCACGTGTAAATACTAGTATGGTATTATAAGGTAAATATGGTAGACCATCATCATAATTTTAGCCATAAATTGTCTCTTGCAAAATATAGACTATAAATTGCCACTAGAAACTGTTCTGCCAACCCCTAGTAACACATGGTTGCTATTTTCCTTCTCATCAACAGGTTTTTAAGCTATGATCTACTATGATATTACTTTTTTGGTTCGTTTGACCTTCGGGCTGCATTATGACACTTTAGGTCTTCTGCGGATATACTCACTTCAGATTTTATTACGCAGCGTATTCGTTGGACGCGAAGATGTGGTATAGTGGACACTGTCCAATATATAGAGGTGGATAATATATAGCAATATCTATATATTTTAGTTACAAAATCTATATACTGGTCCAATAATGAATTGTTATGTTAAAAGTCTGTTATCCAAAAAATAACATTGGATGACAGACATTTAACATATTCGAAAATAGATATCTAGCCGATTTAGGCGGTATGGAAGTGGCCTTTTCCGATATCAATGTCCAGAGGAACCCAATATATAGATATCGGATCGGTATCCATATTACTCATACCTACCAATATGATACTAATTAATTATTTACTTCTCTTCATCCAAAAGTTACCTGGAAGAGATTGCTTTTAGTGATAAATAGGCCCATTATTTTAATGTCAATTTTTCTTTGTTTTCACTAAGACTACTGTAATCTTTTAGAGGGAATAACAAAGAGTATCTATTTATCTATGACTGAAGCATGCTATATTATCATAATAATGACCATGATGTAACTCAAAAACGTACTACTCATTGTAAAGTACAAACTCATGTATGGAGTTAGTATGTTTCTATAATCGACTGCAATGATAACTAACTTACCTCATTGTGAATGGATACTACATAGGACATAGTTTTAATAAACGCTCCATTCTTTGATGTGTTGTATGCTTTATTATTTCCAATAGTAGATATTATAAAAAAATGTGATAACTGGTATGATCAGGGGGGAAAGGGATTGTTAGTAATGGAGACTGAAAATCCCATTGCTAGCAATATACCTAACCAGGTCGACCTCCACGCGGTTCCCCCTGGAAACTATCATAATTAATTCCTGATAAATTCATCATGATGGGCTAACTGGCCTGTTTACATTCTCATCTATCACCCTTCACTGGTGCTCCGCCAGCGTATCCCGTTAGCGCAGGCGGAGTTACCAATCCATTTTCATCTAATAAAAAAAAAACTGGTATGATCAGGCACTGGCTAACTGTTTTCTATATATTTAGTCTTGATGTTACATAACATACATAACTTAAAACTTATTGTTATTCGTTCAAAATTCTAGAGTTCTCAATATTATCTGTTTATGGAATAAGAAAAGTCTAATCCGCTCATTATACCAGAGGTACCAGAGAAAGACTTTGTACAAAAGTCGATTGCTTGGGTACCTCTGTCCCATTCGTGTTTCAACCGTAAAGTAGTTGTGTTTGTATGGCTGTGTTTCGGTTTGAAGGGGGGGTAATGGCATGAATTTACTGGGTACAGAGGAATAACACCTGAGTGAGGAATGGCAACGCATGGGGGGTATCATGGGCGAAACAGTATACTCTGTTATGTCCACGGTACTACTCATGTCTATAGGCGACGGTTACCACTTTACATCAGGTGGGCCGTCAGCTTGTTTGCCATTGTAAGTTGTATAGAAAAAAAATACTCAGCTTATCATTAAAAAATTTTAATGATAGGCAAAATTCATAATTTAAAAATTTATATTTTTAAATTATGAATTTTGGTAGAAATTTTGAATTTTGTAGGTTATCCTACTAATTTGAATCTTAGAAGAGTAATCACAGCCAGAAGATTACGGTTAATATCTGCGTCTAATAAGATTAATACTCATACCTATATGTAAAAAGATGTTCAGGTATTTATTACTCTGTGACGCTGAGACACCTGAACTTGTTTGAATGTTTGATACTTAAACAGATTTAAATATAGGAAACTTTTAACCTAATTCACACAGGCAATGTCGCAGGATTCAGTAAGTCAATAATAAGCAATATTTGTAATTTCATTTTATTTCAGCACATAGATCTTCAGTACAATATATTTTATATCAGTTGTATTGGATATTTATAATTGTGGACATTATGATATTATTTTTTAGTTCCCCATTACTTAGTTAAGTTGGTCAGGAAGAGTGATAACGGGGGTAGAGATAATGGGGGGAGCAACTATGATGGGCTCAACAGGGCCGGCGGGGCCGTCCACCACATTTACGGGGTCGACAACTGCGGGGGCTTCGACAATCTGGACGGGGTCGACGACTTCAGGGGCTTCCACGATCTGGACGGGCTCGCCGATGATTTCGGGGACCAGAGCGACACCAGGAGGAACGGAGACGGGTCCAGACTCGGCTTGGTTGATGTTCAAGATGATTTGAACGAGAGGAGAGCTGTTGGATTCAGGCTGAGGTGCAGGCTGGGGTGCAGGCGCGGGAGGAGGGAGGACGACTACTGGAGGTTGAGCTACGGGGGGTTCAACGACGGGAGGGCTCACGACGACTGGAGGGTTAACGATGGGAGGGCTGACAACGATGGGTTCGGGATCAACAAGGGCGGGGCCAACAGAGATGGGCTCCAGGCCAAGGATTTGTGCCAGCTGTTGTTCCAGAAGAGCGGCGGTGGCGGGGTCGGTGCTGGGGCTCTGAATGGCGGCGATAACAGCAGCCAACTGAGCGTCATCAGACACGGTAGGTTTGTGCGCCGGGACGGCCACGGCCACGGCTACCAAGGCAACAAGAGCGACGAAGGATTTCATTTTGAATCTGAAATGAAAACGAAAATTATTATAATAATGTAATATATATATTTTATATGAAGAATTTAGTTAATTCTTTAAAACTAATTATATAATTATCGGCGTCATTGCTCGCGTAAAAACAACTCTAATAGGAATCCATACATTGCGACGAAGAACTTAAATGTTCCACTAAATTTTATTCTCCTCCAATCAATAGCAGAACCAAAATTCCTGTTTTACAAATAAAATATATGATAAGACCATAATACCAACCCCAGCGTGTCAGAAGGAAGGATTTTTTGTAATGGGAATGTTATGTTATATTAGGTCGATCTCCACGCAGATACCTTTATTCTCATCTGTCACCACCTACCGTGTATACCAATAAAGCAGATGAGAGTACTATTTAATGGAAATGGGAATGCAAACTTTAGCGTGTCACACAAAACTTTACCATTTTATTTAATCTTAGTACTAACTAGTTTTTACCCACCGCTTCTTATGTGTTGATTTTAGAAGCAAGAAAACTAATGAAATAAATCATTTTTAGACAATGTATCAAAATAAAATATACCAGATTTTCAGTTAGATCTTCAGAAACACAACTGCGAATACCGTATCCAATTTGGTACAGCAAATATACAGATAGGAAGACAGACAAAATTTATTAAAAAATATTTGGCCTTTATTTTTTATTAAGATACCCCCTCATATTATTTTTTCTTAAATATCTTCCATGTACAAACATCGTCTAGTTACGATTTTCTTATAGGAATAATTTATTTTTAATTAGTAATAAATGCTAGAATATTAACTGTTTCTATGAACAATGAAATGGTACTCACCGCTATACCAGCACTTTGATGCAACTGATAAAAAGTCAAGTAAATTTTTCACTATATATAGGAAATCAAATTATCTAATATCCATTCAAGTCTATAAAGATATGACCGTTTGAATTAAAACATAATTTATGACGATGACTTATCAGTTATTACAGGAAATACTTTTCCTGTAAAAATAATATTAATTATTAAAAAAAAAACAGATTATGTTCCAGAAAAAATAATTCAGTTCATTTATGATTTCAGTTGTGGTAAATAAAGAAGCAATTTTATTGAAATTTCTATGGGACCTTTCTAAAAGTAGTCTATTAGATTTACAAAAAAATTTTTTTTATACCACTAAGGTGGCAAACAAGCATACGGCCCACCTGATGGTTAGCGGTTACCGTAGCCTATGAACGCCTGCAATACCAGAGGTATTACGCGCGCGTTGCCGACCCTGAAGAAACCTCTTTACCCCCCTTTTGAAGAACCCGATGCTGTAGTCTCTTGGGAAAACCTCGGCGGGGAGCTCATTCTATAACCTGAGTGTTCGTGGGAGAAAACATCTCTGTAACCTCATTGTACGCGACCATTTAGGCTGTAGGGTATGAGAGTGAACTCCCTGTTGATGGCGAGCCGTACTATGATAGAAAGTTGCCGTAGGAATCATACATTCAGTTAATTCAGGTAATAGATGACAAAGTTCTGAGTAAACAAACATAAAAGAAATATAACCATTGGAGTATATTCCTGGTGAATTCATCTCATTGAGCCAACTGATCTGAGATTATCTTCCCCTAACTTGCATCCAATCAACATAAACAAAATATTAATATAAGAATTTTAATATGTAGACAGATGGAGGGGGGAGGTTGTTAGTAATGGAACCTAACCTAACTGGTCGACCAGTACACGGTTCTCCTTTTTTACAATTACGGTTAAGTATCGTTAAGTACTTCAAACTAGACCAACTGGCATGCTTTATCTTGATCTATCGTCCCTCACTGGAGCTCCACCAACGTATACCTATAACGCAGGTGGTGTTGTCATTTCATTTATAAAAGAAAATTCCTGTATTAAAGAAAATGTACTTTACAAATAAATTTGTAACTTAAAATATATATTTATATATTCACATTATTGTACGTATGCATATCTTCATATCTATTTAGAAAACGAACAGAGTTTCGTGCCTGCAGTAAAACTGTTTATAATTACTTTTCTCCATCCAAAGGTTGCCTGAAAGAGATCACTCTGAGCGATAAGGCCACCCACTGTTTTCTTAGTGCAATATTTTCTTGTAATTGTTTGTGTCTATAATAAGTTTACTATTGTAATTATGGACGGAACAATAAAGAGTATCTATCTATCTACCACAAACAAATAGCAATTATTAGGGGGATCGGAATTGTTAATAATAGGGTCTAACAGACCTTTTCAGGTCTGTTAGACCCTATTATTAAATATACATATAAATACTTTCAACATACCCTATCAGGTCGATCTTTACGCGGTTCCCCTGAAAACCCTTCTGATTCAAATCTTGTTAAATTCATCACAATTGACTAATTAATCTGCTTTCATCCTCACCTATGATCTCCCATTGCCGTCTCACTAGTGTATATCGATAGCGCAAGCGGTGTTACCATTTCACTTTTACTAAAAAAAAAATAGCAATTATAATTAGTACGAGGATTGTAATATCTAGATGGAAAGAAAGAGAGGAACTGCTAGTAAGCCTCTTTAATTATTTGTTGAGTCAACAAAACCAGCTCTAGTTACAGGTTACTCAACTATGTGTGTGTGTGTGTGTATATATATATGTATATATATATGTATATATATATGTATGTATATGCGTATGTATGTATGTAAAAGTAATGTTTATGTATTATATGTGCATTTCTTATGTCTATATTATATTTATATTGTGTATTGCCTTAATGTGTTACTATAATTGTCACATATTTTTCACCACATTTGCCTTTCACTTTCTGTTTTTACCCAATGGTTAGCTAGTAGAGAATACCATATGGCATTAAGCTCGCCATTTGTACAAAGTTTTATTGTACAATAAAGAATAAAATAAATAAATAACTTGGACGCTTATCTTTTCTTGTAGCAATACATCCTGTCTGATATAACTCCACACAGACCCCCTTGGTAATAGGTTTTGGTTAATTACTAAAGAATTAAAAAAAACCGTCGCCTATAGACATGAGCAGTATCATGGACATAACAAAGTATATTGTTTCGCTCACGATACCCACCATTCGTTGCTATTCCTGAGGACTCAGGTGTTATTCCTCTTCAAACCGAAACACAACCATGCAAACACAACTGATTCACGGTTGAAACACGAATGGACAGAGATACCCAAGCAATCGACTTTTGTACAAAGTTTCCCTCTCCCTACTTCCCTATTACATCTCATTACCAACAACCCCTTTCCCCCAAAGTAAAGATTATTAAATATATTAATATCCAAAACAACTCGAAGCGCCAATATTTGAATAGCCTACTAGCAACAAATATTCGCCTTACACCTAAATACCTATTCGAGTTTTATTTGTAGAGATCTAAAAGCGTGGACTTTGTTCTAAAAGAATTCGTTTGCTCATTTAATTATGCGTTTGAACGCTACGCATTTTGCGTACAAACACAGATTTCTATACAGAAGGTTGTATCTATTTCAAAGTCATAAGTAGATATCATTAGGAAGGATACAATAAAGTAACTTGAAAGAATATGTGCTACTTATAGAATTAACATAAAACAATAAATTCTTGATAAAATTTTACAGCATTTATGACTGTAGACGCCAATTTAGATAAATTATAGTAATAAATATATTATAAGATTATATTCTTCTTTTATTGATACGATTCCGAACAATTGTAAAATACCTAAGTACATACCTATTTCATTGATTAATAAGCCGTCTGTCTGGTAAGATACTTGAGTAACTCTTTGTTTATTTATAATCATACCTAACATTTGTGACGGGAGATTGTTATGTTGTTAATAATGCTGTCTATCAGTCCCATTACTAGCAATATACGCTGTCAGGTCGACCACCACGTGGTTCGCCCTGGAAACCATCATGCTGAATTCCAAATGTATTATATATTACATCACGATGAGTTACCTGATCTGCTTTTTCATTCTCACCTATAATTCTTCACTGGTGCCCCACCAGCATATACTGTTAGCGAAAGCGGGATTACCATTCCATTATCATCCATTAAAAAAAAACATATGTGACGGGGAGGGGATAGTTAGTAACTGGGAGTAACTGCCCTTTTGCTAGCTAAGTCAGGACTACCTTAACGCTGCTTTTTGAAAGTTGTCGTGTTTATTCCTAATGAAAATTCATTACTAATCATGATAGAATTCAAGTTTCAAAAATTCAAGCTAGAATTCAGGAAACATCTGTCCTTTATGAACATCGCAGGTTATGCGACTGATATCCCGTTCTGCATAACTAATTCCAATTGCCATATCTTCATTCTTACATAATTATTACAATTATGTGAGAATGAAGTTTTTTAACCTTCATCAATTTCCAGTTACCTTAAACCATTAGCGCAGGTGGGTTTTCCATACCATTTTCATCCATTAATTTTATAAATTTTAGATATTTTACTACACATAATGGCGTTAAGATTTAAATATTAATTTGGCGACCTTGGCGTATACTGGTTTAACACGTTGCCTTAACTTCCGATAATTGCGTGTTCATTCCTCGTGCTACACATATACTTGTGTTCGTAAATAGCTGTATGTTTGTACTTCCATACGTCTTATATATATTAAAGGTGTTTATAAAAAAAAGTAGGTATATCTATCAGTTATTAGTCTTTATACTCATGGTACAAACTCGACTTAGTTCGTGATTAGACGGTGTTATGTAATGAAGTCCACAGCACAGATAATATTAAGTCCATAGTTATAATTATTAATTATTTAGAATATAATAGTTCACGATCATAGTTTATATGTTCTATTAATTATCTTAAATTATATAGACTGATTTCAGAATCATAATTATTCTTTTTATATACCTATAATTAAAACTATACCTACAAGATAAAATTGGAACTTAGATTAAGTATATAGATAGCGTGCCTCAAAAACGGGTCAACTTTTTATTAGCTAATTACCAAACTAGTTGACTCGTTTTTATATTAATGTTCTATATACTTACGCATACAATGTATCTTGGCGTATCTATATTTAATTATTTAATAAATGAGTTTTCGTTCATTAAAAAGGTGCAGAATTTATAAGAAATATAGAAGAATAATAGAAGTAAATATAGAAGTTATAAAGGAAACACTCATAACTATTTATCACGCAAAATTGTATGACAAAGTTGACCCGCTTTTCTCGAAGTATTTGTATAGAGATACTCTATCTATATAATCTAAGAATTGAAATTCCTTCCTTGTATTATCATATTTAAAAAAGAAGTATGTCGAAAAATAACAAAAAACTTTGAACCCTTCATACTAACGTGATAGTTGGGCACGCTTTGTCAGCGCTTAAGGCTTAGCTTTTAATTTTTGTTGATCTATGTTTATTTGTATGAATGTTCAGGTAGTAATAGGAAAGATAGCTATATAATCAAAAGAATGCTAATTATTTCGGCTTCTTCCTGTATGTATAATAGCTATTATTTAAAAAAAATGTTTTAATTAAAATTTTTCCAGCTATCCGCTAGAGGCGCGGTTAATTTTTTAATACAAACTATTGATTTATACATGAACGTGATCGTGATGTAAATCCTTGTACAACTGACACTAGTCTACGCACTCTATTCTAGTTGAGTAAATATTAAATTTACATTGAGTCTATTACATTTTTGCTATTTATAGTGCCGTACAGTTTCATCAAGGGAAAATCAGTCGATTAATCTTTGAAAAACACTTTAGTTTGATATGATAACTTATTTTTGTGTAATTTCAACTATTTGTTATAAAAAGTAACAAATAGTTATATAATCTCGATCATGAAAAGTCAATCTCTATATTCGGTTAAAAACCTAAAACATACCTACAATACATAGGTACGTTTTCCACAGACTAAAAAAAGAAAGAGGTCAATTGTCAATTTGGTTTTATTATTTTTTTTATGGTTTTCACCTTACAACTTCGTCAGTTGCTGAAAGGATATTGATAAAGAATAAATAATAATGAAGAATACAGATTAATTCTATAGAAAATTTACTAAAATCGTATCTTTCAGTAGTTTATTTTTAAATCAAAATAATTGGTTTTGCCACAATTGAAGTTAATTTTTTCGTGGAACAAAATTATAGCTCGATTATAACAAGATGAAATTGAAATAGTAAGCATTCTTTTAAGGAAAAGTTTTAACATTGAAACTAAATATTTTTCACACAGATAAATGTCAAAAAACGATAAATAATTTTAAGCTTCTCATACAAACACACATCGTCCAACTAACAAATTAATAAGTTTTTTCTATACCACGAAGGTATAGGTAACCTATGGATGCCTGCAACACTAGGGGTATCATATGCGCTTTGCCGTCCCTGAAGAAATCTTAATAAACCTTTTTAAAAGAACTCCGTACTGTAGTCTCTAGGGGAATCATTTCACAGCCTGAGTGCTTGCGTGAGAGGACTCGATGGCTCAAAGTTTATATACTTACCTACTAATAAATATCTGTACTGTATCTAATATTTCCTTTCGAAATTCTTTTTGTACTTAATTTATGTATCAAGAACCCAAGTTCTCCACTTATGGAATCTAGCTCATTTATATAGTCTAAACTCGGTCGTATTACTATCTTTTTTAATAATAATAATTATAGAATAGATGTTAGAAATGCTTAAATTTTATTTCTAACTAAATTCAAATCGGGAAACTTTACATTTTAAATAGATATGGATATCTATTTTTATGCAACTAGTCTTATAAATAGCTGTAGATTAAAGATATAGTTGAAAATCTTCAATTGTTAAAAATCGATAAATAAAGCTAAGGTAACGTGTGTATAGGTACATATTGTTATTTTCGTCTTAACCGGGCCAAAGGTTCTTCCTTCATGAACACAATAACAGAATAGAAGATGCATATCTTAACATTTACATATCTTGACACAGATGAAAAACATGTACGCACAGACGTCAATGGTATGTACTTAGGATGTCTCAAGGCTAACAAATGTTTTTTTTTTTTGATGGGTGAAAATGGTATGGTAGCTCCGCCTACGTTAACGGAATACGCTGGCGGAGCACCAGTGAAGATGAGAATGAAAACAGGCCAGTTAGCCCATCATGATGAATTCATCACGAATTAACCATGATAGTTTCCAGGGAGAACAGCGAGGAGGTCGACCTGGTTGGGTATATTGCTAGCAATGGCATTCTCAGTCTCCATTACTAACAATCCCTTTCCCCCCATAAGTAAGTATTATTTATTAAATGTTTGGAGTTCCTGGGCAAAATTTTGACTAGAGATGCCGAGGGAACTGACAGGGAGAGTTTCTCTTAATATAACAACTAAACTGTTCAATGTAACAATGACGATTTGATGCCTTACGGATGCGTGGCGTCTTCGGTACCCATCTTGAGATCTCAGCGCTCCCGGATTGAATGTTAGCAAATATTAGAATAACAAAAAACAATGAAAACTTAGTCTTCGTATATTGAAAGCATTTGTGCTAATACAAACTTTGAACTAGTCCTTGCTCTTTAGAATTTTTATAGACGTATTGTGTTATGTTAACAAACGAAAAACCACCTTCTTTTTTTTATTTACCATAGAATGGCAAAAACAAAACAAACCTTAGTAATAAAAACGATAGGTGTATACCTATCGTTTTTTTTTAATACAGTAGAATGATAACCCTGCTTGTGCTTATGGTTTACGCTGGCATCAGTAAGATATGATAGGTGAGATGAAAATACAGATCGAATAGCCCATCGTGATGAATAATTCAAGCACGATAGTTTCCAAGTAGACCACGAGGTCGACCTGACAAGGTATATTCCTAGCAATGGGAATGGTAGTCCGCATTACTAACAATCCCTTTCCCCCACTCATATGAGTTAGATAATACCTAACTGGATCTTTTATTTATTTATTTAGGATCACCAACATAAGATACAGATTTTTTAGTAAATGTTGCTAAAACCCTGATGACATGTCAACCCTACATTGTTGTTTATAGGGAAAACGTCGGCAGGAAACTCATTCTACAGGCCGAACGTTTAAAGGAGAAAATTCTTTTTAAACTGCACTATACCTTTGATACCAAGTTTCTAGGCCAAATCCATTATAACTGATTGTCAATAACTTGTCTAATTAGGCTCGCATCATATCAGCCGTGAATTGACCATTGCTGAACTTAGGCCTCCCCTATGGGGGTTTTACCAGTAGTTGGCCCGCTTGGCAGGCCAATTGGTAACCACAGTTAGACTTTGATATTTTAAAAGAGATGCCGCTGCCCATCTCTCGACCATTTAGCTTTATATTAGACTCTGGATATTAATAATTAAGGTGGATACACTGTCAATTTATGACAGATTGAATACCTATTTTAAACATCGCTTATACTTATGAAAGCTATGTTGGCATTTAAAAATAAAAACATCCATGGAAAAATAAAAAAACCAAATTTGAGCACCAATTATACAATTTATTAAATTCATTTTTTGACAAACTGCAATGAATCCATTTTATGGACACACTGGTTTTATATCATTACACACATAAAATAAACTTCAGTCAGAGATTACATAACAAATATTAACATATGTAAGGTACAATGTGACAGTTTATAATGGATATAACTATGTAATCGTATTAAAATATGACAATCATATTTTTAGGTTAATAAATTGTAAAAACACGAAATGGTTGTGGTTTGAATCCTCATTTTCTACGCCATGAGGGCGCCAAAGCTGTTAGCAATTTAGCTAATATTTCATTATACATACATATATAAATTAATATGTTATCAAATGTAGTTTAGTTTAATTAACAATTTAATGAAAAATTTCTTAAAAAATAATATTTTGTAGCTGACTGCAATTTTCTCAAATAATTAATCTAACACAATGAACAGAGGAATATCAATAAACAATAAATATAATTTTATATACTTGTTTAAAAAATATACTTAGTATAATACTATTGGTATAAATTTGTCTAGCTGCTGATCTATTTTCTTTATTTACTGTATTTATATTAAATGCATATAAAATGTCCCATTACTTTTGCTCAAATAATAAATTATTTTTATTTAAAGACACCTTAACCAGTAACATTTAGGTTTATATGTGCATCATTAGTTTGTTTCATTGCCACTCCCTATAACTTGACTTTGCCTAAATGAAACAATAAAATGCCGTGTTTTACACCTAACCAAGATAAATAAGTTACATAAATAATATATAACAAGCAACATTAGAATACTGTATAATTAATTAAAAAAAAAACCTTTATCAAACAGATTCTACTTATAGTATCGGCTTTATATTCATTTTATATAATCCCATATCAGTCAACCTCTGATAATTCACATAAAATTATACTAAATAATATAAATATTTCAAACTCTTCTATCATATGTACGTCTTCTTTGGTCGTCAATATGGATGAGGTAGTATGTACCAGGGAATAATACATCTATAGAGCCTGAAGGGTCATATGGAGCTGTATGGTAATTAGCAGTTCTCAATTCCATGATCTCTGAAAATTTTATAGGTTCCACACTTTGTCTCTTATCTAATAAATGAATAGTATCATTCAATGAGTTTATCAATTTAGATAATTTTGAACCAGCACTCATGTCATTGCAGATATTTATAGAGTACATGGTTGACGCTAATCCAGATCCATAAGAAAACAATGCAAACTTCTTTCCAATCAATTGATCAGGAGATTTACTTACAAGGTAGGATACTAGCCCACCATATAATGATGCAGTATACATATTCCCCACATTAGAGGCTATATGAAGTGAGGGTAATGTTTTTTCATTGAACAACTTGTCACTGTAAGTCATGAAGGCTTTTTCAACATCTTTATCAAAATATGTATCTTCCAATTTATAATCTTTAAATTGTGATAAACCTGGAAATTGACTTTCACGTACATCTGGTGATGCATTCAAAAAATCATTGAAACAAATTCTAGCTAGAGACTTTTGTACCAGCCTACAATATGGTGAGTGAAACAACATACCATCTAAACTCAGGAGTCCTTTGAAACTAGGATCAACTTTTCTCATTTTCTTACAGAATAAATTATAACAATTATCTAGAGCATTGAGGTAGCATTTTATAGACAATTTTCCATCTACATAAGGAAATTCTGATGCCAGATCCGCTTTGTAGAAATCATAGGCATGAGTCATGTATGAAGCTCGGACACCACAATCAAACACCAAGGGAGCATCCGGTCCGACAAGCATGGCCACAGCCCCTGCACCTCCCGTAGGCCGTGCTGGTCCTTTGCCATAAACTGCTATATCACCAGCAATCACTATTGCTTTCCTGCCATCCCACGATGAAGACTCCACCCAATTGATAGCATTAAACAGAGCAGCGGTGCCCCCGTAGCATGCATTAGTTGTGTCAATACCTTCAATATCTGTGGCACCTTCTTTGGCAAACAGGGTCATCAGGAATGTCTTAACACTTTTACTTTTGTCTATAATAGTCTCTGTACCAACCTCCAAACGACCAATGTCATGAAGGGAAATATTGTTCTTCTCTATAAGCCTATGCAGCGCCGTCAGACATAACGAGTTTATGTCCTCCCTGTCCGAACAGAAGCCCATCTTGTTCTGCCCAAGACCAACGGTATATTTGCCTGCAGATACTCCGTCGAATTTCTCCAATTCCGTTTGGTCGACATATTGCGACGGGAAATAAAATTCCATGGCCAATATGCCGACATTCTCGGCTCGACCACTCATTATGGGACGATTTAACTTTCACGATCAAGACGAATAAGTAACTTTTTAAATGCCGCAGTTAAATGGAACGGCGTGTTGACGGAGCGGTTACCGGCACGAACTGATGCCCCCGCCACTGACTTCGCGGAAACTCGTCTGGTATCTACGTCAGCACCCACGTTACCGGTTCACCATTGACCTCCATTAGCTACTTTCTTCAAATACCATGTAGGTTACCGACTGATTACAGTGAGCGAAGATGACATGGGTGGAAGTGCCTTGGTTTATGGCGTTAACTCACGTCAATGTTAATAACAAGTTACATAACTATACTATACGATTATCACAATAAAATTTTGCTTTTTAGGTTTTTTAATAAATAATTTGATCGTTCATTGCCCCTAATAATGACATTTGTTTGAAAGGATAACCTAAAATCGACAACATTGACATTGACAACCAAATAAAAAAAAAAGCGTTCATAAACTATATTAAAATTTTATTGTTAAAAATTTCATAAGTTCACATTATTATTTACTATAATAACGAGCCGATTAGTTCACTTGTATTTTAGTTAAGAAAGTTCAACTAATTTCAGGACCATTGGTGATAGGCTCGCGTTCGCGTTACGGCTACTCCTGACTTCCCGGATGATTCCAAAGCTAATCGAGCTTTCTCGACTAAAACATAATAAGTTAATCTGATCGTTATTATATTAAAACATTATAACAATATTTTAACAAAAATAAAATTTTAAGTGCTATACATATATCATTATTACTAGTACTATACACATACCACTCTAAAACTGTCTATTTCTACTATATTTATTTTACTCACACTTAAATAAACAAGTTTTTTTTTTTCTTATTTTCATATGGCACGGCATAAAGTGTATCCGCCTAAAACAGGGGTTCTCAAACTTATTTTGTCTACTGCCCACTTTGAGAATAAATTATTTTTAGCGCCCCTATTTTTTCACCTACTTAAAAACCACGATTACTTCAAGATCAACAAATCACCCCCAAGTCTCTACCATTTTTTTCTAAGTTTCTTAACGCCCCTCCTCCCCCTGAGGCCTGCAGCGCCCACAAGAGGGCATTATTGCGCACTTTGAGAAAGGCTAGCCTAAAACAATGCTTGGGAAAATATATTTTGTAAAGGAAATTTTGCACAACAGAATAAGTTTATATTAGAATATAAGGGCAAAAGTTTAAAATAAAAAAAATCGCATTTGTACCATACATTAAACATACCTACTTGAGATTTATATTCATACAAAAATAGTAGCTTTTTACTATTAAATTTTATGATATTATTATTACAGTTACGTGTTTATTATGTATTATTTTTTATGGAATAACCTGTATTTGTTTTATTTCACGTTGAAGATAGATTGTATTACAATATTATTTATTACTCTTACTGTTCTTTACATTTGTCAGTAGGGCCAGAGTTTTAATTACCCGCAAAAACTTTTTACTTAATTCGACTGCTTTTTTTTTATTTGGTAGTTGATAAACTATTGTTTGACAATTGTAAACCGAATTTGAAGATTCTATATAATATTTTATTTTATTTTACACTTTATTGTACCATTTATAAAATAGTAAATACAGTATTAGTATTAGTATCTATTCTATATAATATACAATCAGGTTAAATTGGTCTCAATCCAAAGATTATAATGTCTAAAGAACTCGTCCCAAAAATATTTACTGTCAAAATTGAAGTAGACTTTCTTGTAGAAATATCTTAATTATTTAAAAATAAATAAAACTCACTTTTGCAAAATGTTTATTATTAACAGTAGCCTTTTATATAATAATAATTCAAAATTTTCTTCTTCATAATTACTTTATTTCTTTGGTATGAATTTGTAAAATTTTACACCTGAAAAAATTAGGACGTTATAGCTTTTACCCACTACTTTCTTCATATAAAAATATTTTACTTCTACTTTATATGGCTGCCACCAATTGAGGTAGGTGATTTTTGCCAAAGAAGTATTAAGGGGACTTTGTAACGACGGCTAGTACAGCCATAGCCGTAGTACAACGTTATTACAATATTTAGAATTTGAAATTTTTAAATTCTTAAATTTTAAATCTGTAAGTGTTTGCATCATAGATAGTATAACGTACTTTGAATGATGAGATTATTCCATGTTAACAAATTGTACTCCATTTTAGCTTCGTAGAGATTGTGCACAAGCATTACAAGTTACATACGTACCGGAAGGATTTATCTTGACTTCAAACTCGTGATTAGCTTGAAGTAACTTAACAGATTCTTCTTTATATAGATCCTGAAAAAGAATACTGAACTTCGAAACTGAACTCTCTTCTCAAGACTGACTTTCTCGTTTAACTGTTCACAGTAGAAAAAGTCCATGAATTTTTTAAATATCTATGCCTCTAGACAAGCAACAAACGAGTAATATATCCATAGAATAGTATTTAGTGTCGTATACATGAGATAGAACAAGACGCCAACATCTGATGTCCTCTTCTTTATTAGGCGCACGGTAACAAACGTGTATCTATCAATTGTTTCATTAGTCACATATTGGTAGGGAGCTGTAGCATTTACTCGTGAATTGATTACCCTTGGGAAATGAAGTTATTCAGTCACAGTGCCAAGCAAAGATATTAACTATACGGATAATTACGTACTATACGATACAGCAAATAATACATGTCAATACAATTCATTATTGGACTAGAACTAACTGTTCTTATATTTAGAGTCATTCACAGCATGCTTTGTGTTTGTATAACATTAATAGGTATATATAAAACTAAACGAATGAAGCATATAATTAACTGAGCAAGTGATGAAAATTATGATTATTAGTTGATACTTAACTACTTACATGTCTGTCGCTCAGCCAGCAGTTATATTTGCACAGTTGTATATCGATTTTAAAGGTGGGATATGGCAAAGAAATTACTGGGTACTGAGATATGTTTCAGTACCCAGTAATTTCTATTATTTCTATTATGTATAGTAGGTATTATGATACCTTAATCCCCATAAATAGCAATGAATGAGGGCCAACAAGAACGTCACAAATGAGTCATATCCATGCCCATAGGCGATAGTTAATACTTACCACGTTGCATCAGGTAGCTCGTTTTCTATTTCTAGTTGCATAAAAAAGTAAAAAGAGAACAATCACATCCATATTAATAGTAACAGTACCTGGACATAAAAAGATCGATTGGCCAATTGCATCTCTTTAAAAGTGAACTTTGCTGTATAAGGCATTCCATCAACTCGATAGCTCACAAAGGCCATAGCATACGAACCATCCGAGAGTTTACGTTTCCAGATCTCCAAACCTTGCCTCTATAACAAAAGAAAAGAAATGTTATGTAACCATATATGATCACTAATATTATCTTAAAATGAAACCATCTAACGGGTTTACGGATCCAGTTTGTTTTTTAATATAAATTCGGTTTCTCTATAAACTTCTTGATATTCCAATTATTTGCAAGTTAAATAATGCACACACGCGTTAAATAATATACTTCAATGGCAAGGTATGTTGCTTTTTTATAAATCAAGAATCGTGTTCTGTTATCAGTAGTAGTTTAGACTAACTATAAAATAAACTTTGCTAAAAATTTGTGTGGTTCGGGTGTCTCGAATGTGCTACCGACATTTGGTATTTGACTGCTCAAATACTTATGTGCGTGTAACACAAACTTCCGCTACTACATTAGCATTTACGTCAATAATTTGAGTTAAAAACGTAGCTGCATCTATAATAGATGGTTTTGGAAAATCAGGTTTTCATACAAAATTTTAGCGATATTAACGCGATCATAACATATATCTTTGTACAACTCACGCTATCTACTCAAAAGGCTTCTAAAAATTAAGCTTACTCACTGGACCAGAATCTTTCTTCTTCCAAATCCTCAAGCCCTGTTTCCCCAGTTTATCTTGATTAACAGCAATGATGTCCCGATTCAAAAGAATTTCCTTGAATTCTGGTTTGATAGTAGCCAAATCCACGCTCATAAGCAGCGGTGCTGCCAGAATCGACCATACCGCCATCTGTACCCGTGCTTGATCCACCGATAGCCCGAAGTTTCCTATCAATAACTAGAAAATAAAAATTAATTTACAACAATTAATAAAGTCTCTTTTGGAAAACTTTATTAAACCATATCATAAAAATAATCGTACCATATCTGGGTCATTCCAGTGCCCCGGTCCTGCATGTTTCGCTATTTTGTCTTGGTGGTCACCAAACCAATTCATGATCTTGGTCATAGTAGCCCAAGAGTCCCCAATGTCACCCCAGTTCCTCCATAAATTACAGTGCTTGGCAATTGCAGGGTAATTGGGCTTAAAAACAACATGAAATTTTCTTTAGTTACTTTAATGTTCAACAGAAATCAAAAATAAAAAAGATAAAAGAATAGTAGAAGGGAAAGTTGAAGTATTCCAAAAATACTTGAGGAGACCGAGGATCGAGGAGGAGGAGAGGAGAGGAGAGAAGGAGTTCTTCTCGTAAGGCGATTAAACAAAATGAATTCAATATCATTTCCATTTATAAGGAAATATTCTTATTAATGAAAAGTTTTATATAAGAACTATGGGTCGAAAATTACAAATATGCCTTCATGAAGTAATTTGGAGAATTTTGCCAGTAGCACATGCTAGGCAGGTGGGTTGGCAAACGCACTTAGGCTTTTGGTGTTTGTTTTAATGAATGTTTTTTTAATAATGAATGTGTTCATAATGAATCTTTTCTTACCCCAGTCTTAACAAATTCTTGATAGGCAGGCCAACTGCATGAGTATACAATCGGTCGACCAGTTTTATTTAACATATTTCCAAATTTAGTGTAAACTAAAAAATAAAATTTAGAGTATTAACGTACACAATGTTAAGTGTTAAGAAAATTATTTTTATTGGCATCTATGGATCATAATAACCGCTTCGTTTACTTAAAGGTATAATTGGGTGATTGTCAGCAAATGAGATTTCTGTCTATATTCAGTGAACTATATTGAGTGTTAAAAAAATTCTATTTCTCCAGAAAACACTTTATAGAATAATTCCTTCTGTATTTTAACATCTTTTCTGCGGACTCAAAGTTGAAAGCACACTTGGAAGATCCACTGCAATTGAATAAGGATAACGCTTGCTGAAAATGCCCAATCATTAGTTTATAATGTACAACCACAAAGGCATAGCGATTTACATATACCACCTTCAAATCGTTGCGGGTTAAATCCCGGACAATATATTGTTCATTTTTACATATTTGTCTGTTTGTATTCGTTTGGGTAGTTTCTTATGCATTTTCTACGTATTTCAGTTGTCTAATGTAGCGATATTGCTCGCATAGTTGGAATAAGATGGCATAATATAAACCAGTGATTTGCACATTATTTAAGTCATGTATTTATTTTTTTATCAATATTATTTATACAGAAATCATACTACAAATTTCCAGACAGAGCAAAGTGTTAATACAGATTAAGCTATATCTCACCTGTTTCCATATCTTTTGGTTCTATGTAACACCCGTCCAATTTAAGATAATCAACCTCCCATTTAACAAATGTTTCAATATCCAATTTCTCATGGCCAAGGACACCCGGATATCCGGCGCACGTGAGTTTACCGCCATCCTGGTATATACCGAACTTTAAACCACGCTCGTGGATCTGAAAATTAGACGAAGTATTTTTTAATGCTCGGAGGCACTTAGGAATAGCAACGTGCGGGTGTCACAGTTCCACGCTATTTATGTCTATTGTAGTGCGTACTTTTTTTTATGAATGATAATTGAATAGTAGCCCCACCTGCGCTATTGGTATACGCTGGCTGGCTAGCTAAAAGATATGAAAAAATTAAAAATGATCCTGAAGAACATGTAATCCAATATAAAGATTGTGTCCCAAAAAAAAACAGTCAAAACTCCATTAGTCGATATCTTCATAAATATAGTCTTTTATACAGATCGCATGAATAGAGTATGCTTATTATATTATTATTATATTATTTTTCATTAGAATATCAAAAGGACACATTTTTTTATCTCGATTTCGTTAAATTTGCACCAAGTCAGAGAAATACCCTAACCTAAATTTAAATTATCAATCAGAAACATAGAATTTTGGAAATTTCCAGTTTATTACTACATTGCGGTGTTTCTATGGGAGTATTTGTACGTACATAATCGGAGAGCGCCTTCATCCCGCTTGGAAACCGTTCTCTATCAGGCACCATCCGTCCGTCGTGTCCACGTTTCTTTTCCAACCAGCAATCATCAATCGCCACGTAATTGTACCCAGCACTGAGATAACCCTCGCGGACCATTAAATCTGCTGTTCGTTTGATTAAGTTTTCACTAAAAATAAATTCATCTTATTATTATAACAGCCGTTAACTGTCCACTGCTGAACATAGATCTACCCCCAAGGGGGGGTTTTGCCAGTAGTTGCCATGCTTGGCAGACAGTTTGGCAACCGCAATTAGGCGTAAGCTCCCTTACTCGCCTCTATAAAAATAATTCTTAAAATAAAAGGTCAGTTATCATTCATTTCTAGAACTTGGTTGTTGTTGTAGAATCTTTATTGTACATACTTACATTATTATATTAAGAAGATTTAACAAACGATAGAGCCTGTAGAGGGACCTCTTACAGTCAACCTTTGAGAAATTGAAAGAAAACTAAAGCACGTTGGTTTATGCATGCTGACCTGATTATATCCATACGTATTGGTGAAAAAATTCAGATCAGTTAGCCTATTACGAGAAATTCAATTTTAAACCTATTTCATGTTATTTAAATGACGATTTAAAAGTAAACAATTTGTAAATATTTCTATTTGAATAAAGATAATTGAATTTTAATTTGTTATGAAAAGGAAGTTGGAAAATTATTCGTAATTTTTTTTTACTTATTATGGATGGTGATCAGTAATGGATGTTACCTGATGCATTCCTGAGGATATTTTCGGCAGTCCGTTGTGCACATAAATCTTTGCCAAGTAAGCCAACCCATAGGTGGCGTAAGTGCTAGTCCATTGTTCAAAGCTAGTGCTCCAGATACGAGACTGGAGAACACCAAACACAAAAACATCTGGAATTCAAAATATCTTGCATTTTATAAAAAGAAAATGAACTTGAATAGAAACATTTTTTTACGGGTACCAAATTAACATAATAAACTCTAAAGCCTATTAAATTAAGAAATATCAAAATCGCTTTGTAATTGAGATAATAAATATCACATGTTTAAAATGTACAAAAAAATATAATTTATATTTCTAAAGTAATAAAATTGTAAAGAGATGAGTTACATGATGATGATGAGAGTTAGTTATGATATGGGAGATAATTAAGAAAAATAGTTTTTAAAGTAATACAGATCAAACAATGATTTTTAGAAATTTTGTCTGTCTTTCTGTTTGTATGTTTGTTTCAGAATCATGCAAAACTGCACCAAATTGAATACAGTTTTTAGTTATATTCCTTAAAATCTGGTGCTTGTTTTATTTTGATACGCCATCTAGCAGTGGTTTTCATTAGTTTTCTTATTTCTGAAACCACTACTGATATTAATATTTTTATGGTCTGCCCACACCATTCTTTACCATGGGATTCTTATTTAAAATTATTTGAACTACTCGTAATAAGAGTGTATCTACAAATAGTTGGCTGTGAAATTGACACAGTTACAATGGTCATGATCAGACTAATTAGAATATGCTTTATTTTCCAAGCTTCATCCTCTCTTATTTAAAGATCGTTCTGCCTCCAAATGTGATTAGAAGCAAACGAAAACAATTACCGTTTAATTCTTATTCTTTTCTCTTATTTTGACAATGACTTGTGAACCAATTTTAATGACCATAATTTTTTTAATCAGAAAGATTTAAAGAGACAATATATTCTTTTAATAAACTATTCGTTTTTTATTTTAATTAAATTTAACTCTTATAAAAAAACTATTGTGCAATTTAATGGTCTGTGGTGGGTCGGTCGGGTGGTAGTATTTTTTTATAGTAAAAGTCCAAAATAAAACTGGATAAAGTGTTCTAGCTGCTATAGAGTGGCTCATGAAGTATGTGTGCAAACATTCAGGGGAAATGTTTAGATTTTTTTTTCTACATTTGCGACAAATGCATGATGATTTAAGGATATTCGGCGCTTGGATCAAGAAAGTGAACTCTGTCGGGTACTAAGTGCCATTCGCAATAATTGAATTTTTTATTACCTGTTATTAAAGTTGTTAAGAATGATTATGCAGATTGTTGGCCTAATGATTTCCTAAACAAAATTAAATATTTCAAAATAAGTTTTCTATTATTTTCCGATTACCTTAAATGTCCGTCACTAAGGAATCTCTTTTATTTTTTTTATTATTTAAAATAATTATTTTTTTAAATTGTGACTAAATAAAAAACACTTCTCAGAATTAAATTAAACACGTCCGTTTAGTCCTGATGGAGCGAGAACATTGCATCGCGTCTACCTACATTACTCCCCTATACTCTCTCTGGCAAAGAGATAAGCTCAAATGCATAAAATCCAATCTACTCGTGTAGATAAGCTACTTAACCGTTAACTTTTCTTTACATCGTAACCTATAATCGTAACATTTTTATTACATAAGGGATTATTTAATGATTCCCACGCGATTCACCCTGAAAATCATTGCCGTTCATTCCTGGCAAACAATGTTGTCAGATATTTTTTTGGGTTATGTATATATATATATATATATGAAGTGTAGAGAAATGTAGCTATCTCTAATGAACGTGATAATACAGAACACTTTTAACGTTAAAGATTTTGTACAACTTGAAATGGTCAATAATAATGAAGTGATATCCATCACCTATAAACATAAACAGTACCATTGACTTCATAAAATACACTTTTGTTGTGTGGTCCCGGCATAGAACGTAAGAGATGTAAGAGAAGAGAGAAGAGTGCCAGCTATACAATCACAGCTGCATGGCGGCAGGAAAATGAAGTCTTCTATTACTAAAAGAGTATTATTATATATGTGGTAGCATATAACTAGCTTACTATTGTCCTTCAATATAAATAAATAATGTATTCCCAACTGTGTATTCATTATGATAGAGATAAAATGGACTGCAGACCACTGTATAAGTTTAAATAATCTGCACTTATTACGTATACAAGATTCAGAGGTAAGGGATTGTTAGTAATGGTGATAATGGAATGGTAACCCTACCCGCACTATCGGTATACCCCGACAGGGCACCAGTGAAGGATGATAGGTGAGAATGAAGCAGGTCAGTTAGCCCATGGTAACGAATTCAACAAGAATTGTTCACAATGGTTTCCAGGGGGAACCACGTGGAGGTCGACCTAATAGGGCATATTGCTAGCAATGGGGCTGTCAAACTACATTGCTAACAATTTCTTTCCCCCTTAAGGGCCCCATTATTACTCATTATTACTCAACCAAATCGATCTCCAAGTTCCCACTGGAAACTATCGTGATTATCTAAATTTGTAACGATGGGCTAACTGATCTGCTTTCTTATTCCTTTATCACCGATCACGGGTAGCCCCCATTGTACACCCATAGCGAAAGCCGGGTTAGCATTCCATTTTTGCCCATTAGAAAATATATGCAAGATTAACAATTATATTCGCATACTTTCTGCTTTAATACATATTACCATCTAATCGTTCTATTATGCTATTAATTGAAGGTTTTATTAGTTTAAACGGCTATTAAGCAACGATATTCCGTAACAGATCAACAATTGAATAGCTCTACAATGTGTCCGCCAATTATTTTTACTTCATCACGTTTTGTACCTGCCTTTTTTTATTAATATTCATCGACATCAAGTCTTTTTTTTTCTTTTCATTTAAAAGTTTCCTCTTGTCGGTGCAACTAATTCATGCATCTTCTTCCAGCCAGCTCTATCCCAGGCCATATCCTTGATCTCCCTATACGACACGACACTTAATGTTTCTTTTATCTGTCCCATGTAGTTATTCCTCGGTTTTCCTCTTCCTCTTTTGCCCTATATTTTTACTTCTAGTATGCTCTTAAAAAATCGACATGTCGTATAAGATGGCACAGCATTTTGCTTCTTCTATTCTCTATTATTTTTATTAATGTTCTTTTCTCATTCACTCTTTCATTTTCGACATCTAGTAAAAGACATTGATTACTTTATAAACATTGTTTGGATTCTTCTTTGTTTTATTAAAATGAAATATTATACATATCTGCTAATATCGTGTGGTCCCGGCATAGAATAGGCAGGAAGCAAGAAATAGCAGAAAATAGTACTTCCTTTCTTGGAGTACTTAAAAGGCGACTAAGAGAACTTAAAGGTCGAGGGATGGGCAGACAGCTTTCCTCTTGAAACATCGCCAAATCCTAATTGCGGTTGTCAATTCATCTACCGGGCCGTCAGCTTGTTTGCCATTCTAATTTGTATAAAAAAAAGTTAAATAAATGTTTTTTTTTTTTGTGGAAATATCTTAAATTTTAAAGAACAAATAAAACTCAATTTTAACTATTGTTTATTATTAACAGTACATCAGTAGTTTTTTTATCTAATAATAATTCTTAAATTACTAAGTTACTATTTACAATTTACTTCACGTTCACTTTAGTTCTTTGGTATGAACTTGTAAAATTTTACACCTGAAAAATAAAAGTCATATATTAGAGAGCATTTAGCAAATAAAATAGAATATTGTGTCTTTTATCCACAACTTCGTTCAAATAGAATTACATGGGTACTTTGTAACTATGGTCGGTATGGCCATAGACGACCAACGCACCCACATGGTATAGCAAATCTTTAGTTTACATTTGAATGATGGGATTATTCCATATTGACTCAATTCATTTCAGTTTCGTAAAGATTATAAAAATCCAATGTTCTTTTTATCAGTTTAACATACCTATCTACATGCATAAATATCTGTCACGACTATCTCCCATTAGGGTACCTATCTGTATACCAAAATTAATCAAAATCGGTTTAGTTACATAATGCTAATATTTTTTATGATAGGCTAGATTCAATCGACAAATTACAAGTGACTACAGTCGTAAGTAAATTGCTAAATTGTTTTTGAACCTTGAATGAAAATTAAACCTTAGGTTAGTTAATATAATAAGTTTAATAATATGTATAAGTATTACAAGTTACATACGTACCGGAAGGATTTATCCTAACTTCAAACTCTTGATTAGCTTGAAGTAACTTATCAGATTCGTCTTTGTATAGATCCTGAAAAAGAATATAGTAATCCTGTTGATCAAATTGGATATAGCTCGCACAATCTGGCTAAGAACAGTTCATCAATTCTTTGGACACTTATGTCCTTAGACAAGTGCTAAAACGAATGATATATCCAAAGATACATTTTTTATTCCCATAAACATGAAATAGAACGAAATATCAATATCCGGCGTCCTATTATTTCTCATATGAAGTGACGAAAACATATCTATCGATATACATCATTAAAATCTTATCTAGGGTGAGCTGTGCAAAACTCGCGCGCTGACAACCCGCGGGACATGAAAATAGTCATAATACCAAAAAAAAAAGATAACTAAACCTATAGATAAGTTTTACAGATCACACTTTACCACTAGTATCTGCACATACTCGTGTTTCTGACGTTCATGCATTAGTTATATTTACATAGCTGTGCACTGCACATATATGTATGCATGCACATACACTGTAGTCGTATTTACATCTCAGTTTCTCAGAAACAGTTCAGATATGGCAGAGAAATTACTGGGTACTGAGATATTGCCATTCCTGGGGACCAAGGAATGTCTTAGTCCCCAAGAATGGCAATACATGAGAGGCAACATAGACATCACAAATGTGCCATGTCCATCTCCATAGCCGATAGTTACCATTTACCACATACCATCAGACGGCTTGTTTTTCATCTCGAGTTGCATAAAAAAGGAAAAGACAACTGCCAAGTCTAAATTAATCACAGTACCTGAACATCAAATGCTTGATTGGCTAATTGCATCTCTTCAAAGGTGAAGTTTGCTGCATAAGGAATTCCGTCATCTCGTTGACTCACAAAAGCCATGGCTAACGAACCATCCGAGAGTTCGCGTTTCCAAATCTCCAAACCCTTCCTCTACAAAATAAAATATATTTCAGCATAAGTAATAGTATTAAAGTAGTATTATCGTAAAATGAAATCATCTAGAGCGTCTGATTTGATTTAATTCAAGTATTGCTTTTACTGGCAGTTTGTTAGCATCCAAGTTTTTAAAAACTCATAACAAACTATTAACGCTTTAGATAATGTATTTAAATGCAAATTATGTCGTTTTTTTATAAATCTAATACCATAGATTAAGACTATCAACAGCAGTCAAGTAGGTACCGTGTTCTATTGCCAGTTAGACCAACTATAAAATAAACTGTAGTAAAAATTGGCTCCGCTTTGAATGTGCCACCGATTTAGTATCTGACTTCTCAGAGTAAGCGCTCTTACAGTATGAGCTTAAATGATTTCTGTTACTATTGTATTAACGCTTACGTCCAGAATTTCAACTGTCTTAACATTTTTCTCAAATAGTTTCGAATTCCGATTTTCTTGTATGGGAAAGTAAGTTCGAAACCATCCACTAATTGGCATAAACGTGCACGCAATCTTCGTACAAATTACACTAACTACTCATAAGTGCATTTGCTTTTAACAGTTAAGCTTACTCACCGGACCAGCATCTGTCTTCTTCCAAATCCTCAAGCCCTGTTTCCCCAGTACGTCTTGATCAATAGCAATGATGTCCCGATTTAGAAGAATTTCCTTGAATTCTGGTTTGATAGTAGCCAAATCCACACTCATAAGCAACGGCGCTGCCAGGATCGACCATACCGCCATCTGTACTCGTGCTTGGTCTACCGTTAGTCCAAAGTTTCCTATCAATAACTGAGAAATTTAAATTAATTAATAATAATACAATAAATAAAATCTCTTATTGAAAACATTGTCAAATCTAATACATACCATATCTGGGTCGTTCCAGTGCCCTGGTCCTGCGTGTTCCGCTAATCTGTCTTGGTTGTCACCAAACCAATTCATGATCTTAGTCATAGAAGCCCAAGAGTCCTCTATGTCATCCCAATTCCTCCATAAGTTACAGTGCTCGGCAATTGCGGCGTAATCGGGCTAAACGACAATATAAAATAATCTTTAGTAAAAATGTTGTACTGGTATAAAAAAAAAACAGAGGATAAAAGAACAGTTAAGTACATTACGATATATTTATTTATGTAAACTTCAATGCACAATTATATAATTTAAAGAAGTGTACATATGGCGATCTTAATACAGTTAAGGGTGTTCTCTACCAGTCAACTATGGGGCAAAAAAATTAAGTAGGCGGTGCATTTACTACTAAAATATGTATAAATGTTGTTATTACATATATACTCATAAGTAAAAAAAGTAAAATAAAATCGCATCAAAGAAATTTGACCTAGAAAGGTCTCCTCGAATTTTTCAAAATAAAAATATTCCTGTTTTTAAATTTTTCTCGTAAGGCGATTATACAATTGAAGTCGAAAACACTAATTTTTTAACCCCATTTTTAACCCCTGTGTGGGTGTTGTCGCATATTTCTGTAAAATAACGTTTCTTTCTTTCTAATTTAGTGTATTTTAAGGGAGTGTTCTTAATAGAGCACAACTACATCTAAAAAATATAGGTCGTAAGGAGTAAATGGATCCTCCCAAAGTAATACGATGTATAAAACGTTGTCGTTTTTCGAATAATATTTGTAGATATTATCAATAATTCTGATTTAAACTCAAAACTCTAGTGTAAAAGAACAAAAACTCGAAATACAAATAAACCACTAAACGCATCTAGTATAGTAATTAATCTACTATGATGGGAAGAAATCTATGTCCAGTAGTGGGACACAATGGGATGTTGACGATGAATTTTTTCTTACCAGGATCTTGGCATCTTCTTGGTAAGCGGGCCAACTGCAAGAGTATAAAATCGGTCGACCAGTTTCATTTAACATCTTTCCAAATTGAGGGTAACCTGTGACAAATACACAATTTTAAGTAATCATTTTTTAAGGGAAGTCTAGCTCCTTAAAAAAGGCACATAGGAGAAATGTCTTTGCTCATAACAAAAAAATTCGCACATGATCCTAAAGTGTATAACAAATAAATGCGACGTTGCCATATTTCTTAATATATCACCTTTTTTATACCACTGAGCACTGGCAAACAAGCATACGCCCCACCTGATGGTAAGCAGTTACCGTAGCCTATGAAAGCCTGCAATAGCAGGGGGATCACGCGCGTGTTGCCGACCCTTAAGAAACCTTTTTTCCCTTTTTTGAGGGACCCCATGCTATTGTCTCTTAGAAATACCTTACCTGCATCCATATCCGTTGGTTGTATGTAACACCCGTCAAGTTTAAGGTAATCGATCTCCCATTCAACAAACGTGTCGATATCCAACTTCTCGTTGCCGAGGACACCCGGATATCCGGCGCACGTGAAGTTACCGTAATCCTGGTACATACCGAACTTCAAACCGCGCTCGTGGATCTGAAAATAATGCAAAATTCTTTTTTAGGTATTTTCAATCAGCTAAAACATAAAGGCGCCTTAGTTTTCAGGAAGGACAACACATGAGCGTCACAAAGCGTTTAGTGTATTTAAGCATATTTAAAAGGGGGTATGTGCTCATCCAGGAAATGTCTAGCGCCTATCCTAGGATTTGACTGAAGCTTTCAGCTATATGCAAAAACATGGCCAATCGTTAATTTTAAGGACTAACCCCCCCCCCATTTCCCTCCCGGATAATAATCTTAAATTGGTCAATAGGTTAATAATATCTACGGTGCTGTGTATGTCTACTGATGACGGGTTTCTTTACCACTCCTCGTAGTGTGACGGAAGAACCCAGGCAGGGGACTTCTGTACAAAGTCTGTCTCTGATACTTATTTGCTATTTTTTTATTGGTTACTATTTTTGTATAAACTTTATATAGAAAAGTAAATATTTTTTTACAACTTTGTAAAATTGTATAAATTGATGCACTACATACATAATCGGAGAGCGCTTTCATCCCGCTTGGAAACCGTTCTCTATCAGGCACCATCCGTCCGTCGGGTCCACGAGTCTTTTCCAGCCAGCAATCATCAATCCCCACATAATTGTACCCAGCATTGAGATACCCCTCGCTGATCATTATATCTGCTGTTCGTTTAATTAGATTTTCACTGAAAATAAATTAATAATTAATATTTTATTGAACAGGGAGTAAATTCTTAAAATGGAAGATCATTTTTCACCTATATTTCTGGAAGTTGGTTGTTGTTGTAAAATTTGTATTGTACCTACTACATACTTTAAACACATTAAGAAGATTTTTTTTTTACAACACAGGGGGCAAACGAGCACCTGCACGGCTCACCTGATGGTAAGTGACTACCGCCGCCCATGGTCACCCACAATACCTACGACATTGGAGGTGTGCTGCCGGCCTTTTAAATATAATGGCAGATTATCATATAATGGCAGACTTATCCCATAGAGGGATCTCTTACTGTCAATGAACCTTTGAGAAGCTAAAAGAAAACTATTTCTATAGTTTGAACTCGTGAGAAATTATTAACCCTTACGAATACTGGCCTGACTTTATTTTCATATATTGATAAAAAAGAAATCAGATTAGTCCGTAAATAGTAATAAATTGAGTAGGAAAACCTATTTAATTTTAAAACCATTTAATGCTATTTAACATTGAGTTCCACTTTTACTAGTATTACGTGTGGTCCATAAAGTTTTGAAAAAAATAAATAAACAACTGTCATTAAACTGATTAAAAACTTAAACTTACACGATTAGTACCTAAAATCTTTTTAAAACAAAACAGAAACCATAAATCTCTCACACTCTCTATTATAAAAAGAACTGGTAAAAAAATATAAGGTAAAAACGTTATTTATTATGGATGACAATCGGATGTTACCTGATGCATTCCTGAGGATATTTCTGGCAGTCTGTTATACACCGAAACCTCTCCCAGGAGAGCCAGCCCATAGGTGGCGTAAGTGCTAGTCCATTATTCAAAGCTAGTGCTTCAGACACGAGACTGGAAACCACTAACCACAGAAACATCTGGAATTAAAAAACGATTTATACATAAAAAGTTTAAGTAATAAAATTAAGATTTTTTTTATTGGTACGAAACGGTATTGGTATAATAATAAAAATTTGTAAAACAATAGTGTTCTTTTAAGTTATTGTTAATAATATAATATAATATTTATTTTAAAAAGATACAGTTGCATAAGGTACAATTTACAATTTTTACAATTTATATTCAACGAGGAAATATCTGCATTACCATCAGTCCCCAAACTAGGCCAGACCTGTATCTTGGGGACTATAATAAAAAATATCATAAAATATTAAAATTAAATAAAGAATCATCAAACAAAAACACAATTAGAGAAATTCACGGTTACAGAAGATATGGTTTAGTAGGTAATCAGACAAAAAATACAAGAAATTTGAAAATTTTCAAATTTGCGACATTTTTTGTTGTCAATTAGAAATATAAACAAATGAAACAACAAGTTTAAATGAATGTCCTATGATAAGTTTATATAAATCGAAGCATTTTTTTTAATGGATGATAATGAAATTATGACCCCGCCTGTGCTATCGGTATACACTAGCGGGGCACCAGTGAGAGATGATTGGTGAAGATGAATAGGCAGGTCAGTTAGCCCATCGTGACGAATTCAACGATAAATTAGTTACGATGGTTTCCAGGGGGAACCGCGTGGAGGTCGACCTGGTAGGGTATATTGTTAGCAATGCGGACTAACCTCCCCATTACCAACCATCCCTTCCCCCCAAATCGAAGCATTAGTATTCTATTCGTTTTACCTACCCCAACTAAGATGGCAGTGAAATATTGTCCAATGAAGAGACCCTTACACCCATAATTAATGTTAGTGTTTTACAATTTGTCCACACCATTCTTCACCATGGGAATCACATTTCCAATTGATTGAAGTGAAGAGAGCGTACGTACGAGTAGAAGGCTGTGAAGTTGACTTAATGACAACCATGGTCAACTTGACGAATGTTAGACTTATTTTTCAAGCTTCTTCCTTCCTTATTTTATTGAAATGTATATCGCTCTGCATTCGAATGTGATCGGAAGCAAACGGGGATTAACGTTTAATTTGTTGTTTTTTTAGCCTTGACAATGATTTGTAAACCTATGTTAATGACCATTTTTTAATCGGAATGTTTTAAAAACAACTACTTCTATAAAATTCATATTTAATTCATTTTAAATAAATTTAACTCTTGTAAAACATCACGGAAAACTAGGACGAGTATTCTTTTGTATTTTTTTTTCCATTTATCGATATTTCAATTGATATGTTTATAACTTTGGAAAATTTATATAGTTAGACTAAGCTCACAAAGGTCCCCTTATCAAAGCTAAGTATACCGATTGTCGAATTTCCATTGATGTGTTAAAAATGCCTAATAAGCGCTAACGGAGACTAGAAATGGCGCTATAAATGTATAGCAAAACTAACGAATGAGGAAGTCCTGAAAAGAGCCACCTGAGAAGAAATGCTGGGCCACCTTATACGACATGACGATTTTTTTAAGAGCATAGTAGAAGGAAAAATAGAGGACAAAAGAGGAAGAGGAAGACCGAGGAATAACTACATGGGACAGATAAAGGAAACACTAGGTGTCGTGTCGTAAAGGGAGGTCAAGGATATGGCCTGGGATAGAGCTGGCTGGAAGAAGATGCATGAATTAGTTGCACCGACAAGAGGAAACTCTCAAATGAAAAGAAGAAATGTATAGCGCATTCATCCAAATTACCTATACCTATTGATTCTTTATGCATAATTTCACATAATTAGTTTTTAACATTTAAGTTAATAATATATTCTATAATAACTATCTGTTAACTTCTTTTAATTTTAATACAGGACACTTTACGACTATTTCTTATAATTCAAAATACAACAAAATAAAAACGCAAGTTTGCGTCAAAGCAGAAGTTGGAATGCGGATCGGTCACAGCAGGTAGAGTCCTAAATCTCAATACATATAAGCAGCCTTTTATGTGACAGTAAATTTGTAGTTAACCGTAATACAATAAGAATTCAATAAATTCAAACCAAACCTGCTCTAACTGTCTCCCTCGTACTCACGTATTGAGATAAGGTCAAAGCTATAATAGACAATGACCGGTTTTAGTAAGCAGGTCGTGGTCGTAAATAAATAGGAGACAAGAAAATCAAATGGATGAAAGTGCAAACACTTGATCTGTTATCTTTATAAGTGTCACATCAAAAATATGATAGCCATGACCTAGCTATATGATTTCAAAACAATGATATCAAAAGATATAAAGACAATATTCTAAAATTTTATAGTGGGTTTAGCTATCTTTACACCATTTCTTTTAGTTAGCAGCTTAAGAGAATAAACCCCGTGTTCAATAAGTCTAATCATAGTTCGTCTATCCCTATAACTAGGGCTACCATCTCTAAAACCTGCCCCCAGGTTCGGAAGCATAAATTACCCGGATTTTGGAGCTTTCACCCCGGGCATTTCAATACTTTTTTCATGCACTTACATCTTAATTAAAATATATTTTACTCCGTACTTGATAGAAGAAAACTTTAATTTTAAGCCTCTTTTGTTGCATGAAATAGTGTGTTTAATCGTTCTTTTATTCATGCGCACATTTATTGCAGTCCGGGTGCAATATAATTTAACCCCTGCCCGGTCACTTCCCGGATGTCTTCTAAACTAGGACAAATCCGGGGAAACCTGGGCAGATGGCAGCCCTACGTATAACTCATCTCGCCTCTACACCGGTTCAAGGAACTCTTAACAATTATCTCTGATCTCGTCTCTTTCTTTAAATAATACATAATTATGATAGTTTATCCCTTCTGCAATACCTGCTTTCTTTCACTTATATCATCATCATCATATTAGCCGCAATAGCCACCGTTAGTAAATTGACACTTATACAATTACCTATAACTAATTTAAAAAAGTCACGACGTTAACTCAACAAAATCTCAGTAACTGATTTTACTCGTAGTAATATTTTATAAATATGTATTCTTTTGTACTAATCAAAAGGTAGAATATTTAAAGGAAAAATGAACCCAATAGGTGGCAAAACAATCTTTGCCGAGTCTGCTAATTCTTACTAATATTATAAATGTGAACGTAAGTTTGTTTGTTATCTTATAGCACCTTAATGACTAATCAATAACTATAATTTTTTATATACACGTATTATATTTGCATGGCCTTCTCTATCCCTAAATGTGCTACTATTTACCTAGTAAACATAAAATATCCCGATCTCGCGGAATCTCGATCTCGATAATTCGCATTTCTATGAAATAAAAAGTATTGAGTTAACATTTAATTTATTTATACAGTAAAAGTAAAAGATGACTTTTATCATAATTTATAAAGTCAAGAAGAATTAATGTAAACTTTTAATAATCTAAGATATTGTCTAACTGAACTAAATTAAGTAAAAAATCTCAAAAAGTTCAAACACCTCTTCAAATTCATTATGGGTCTAAGTAAAATCCAATGTATATAATAAATAAATGCACGAAGTGTGTCTACTACAAAATAACAAAATTATTCACTTAAATTAGTGTATCAACCAGTGAGCGATGATGAATGAGTGGGCGGATCATATTGTTATATACACTACATATATATACATATTATTATATTATATTCTTAGAAACACTATGTTTTGTTAAAAGATTTACAATTTCTTTAAATATTTACTGATTATAATATTTTTTGATAATCTAAATTATGTTTAAATATATTAAATATTTAAATAATGATATGCCATAATCCACAAAATTATAAAAAAAAAATTAAGTACACACCTTAGAAAAAAATATTCTTTCTTCAAATGGTAACTAACTAAATAAAAAATACTACACTGAATTAAATTGAACACGTCTGTTTAGTCCTGATCGAGCGAGAACATTGCATCGCGTCTACCTACATTACTCCTCTATATTCTCTCTGGTCAAGAGATAAGCACAAATGCATGGCAACCAGGGCTATCAATGCGATACAGCGCCTAGATAAACTTCCGAACCGTTAACTTGAAATTCCTTTTCTTTGGTATATACCCTGTCTATAGTGATTTGTATCACAGGGAAAGGGATTATTAGTAATAGGAGCTATCGATCTTGATACAGTCCTCGCTGGACATCATTATGACTCTAGTGAATGAATGCATTAATGTACTTTTTTTTATACAACTTAGAATGGCAAATAAGCTGACGGCCCACCTGATGGAAAGTGGTAACCGTCGCCTATAGACATGAGCAGTACCATGGACATAACGGAGTATACTGTTTCGCCCATGATACCCCCATACGTTGCCATTCCTGAGGACTCAGGTGTTATTCCTCTGTACCCAGTAAATTCACGCCATATCCCACCCTTCAAACCGAAACACAGCCATGCAACTCGAATGGGACGGAGGTACCCAAGCAATCGACTTTTGTACAAAGTCTCCCTGGTATTTGCGGTATATAACGCAGGGAATAAAATACATAAGACTAAAAATACAACAGATACACTTTAATTCGTTAGGACAGTCCAGCTGACATACTTAAGCATCTAGAAGGGGGAAAAGGGATTGTTAGTAATGGAGATTAGCAATCCTTTTACTAGCAATATACCCTATCAGGTCGACCTCCTCGCGGTTCCTCCTGGACACCATCGTGATTGATTCATTGGCGAATTTGTCATGATGGACTAACTGACCTATTTCATATTGACTTATCATCCCTCACTGGTGCCTCGCCAGTGTATACCGATAGCGCAGGCGGGGTTACCATTCCATTATCTTCTATTAAAGCATGTAGATCATGGTAGGTATCTACCTTTGCTTTGTCAGATAGTCGGATCCTCACCTATCAAATGTCACTAGTAGTCTATCAGCATAAATCAATAGCACATTAAGAAAAACTTTGTTAACACTCAAAAAGCATGGAGCTTATGAGTTAGTTACAATTAATATGACGTTTTTTTTATGCGTGAAAATGGCATGGTTACCCCGCTTGCGCTATCGGTATACACTAGCTGGGTACCAGTGAGAGGTGATGGTGAGGATGAAAATGCAGGTCAGTTAGCCCATTGTGACGAATTAAATGATAAATTGGTCAAGATAGTTTCCAGGGGGAACCGCGTGGACGTCGACCTGATAGGGTATATTGATAGCAATGGGGAATAAACTCCCCATTACTAACAATCCCTTCCCCCCTTAATATGACTGTTGTAATGTTAATAAGGATTTTCATTTATATTTATTACTAACTTCTTGCAAGCTTTTTTATACGAGTAAATTTCAAAAGTAGGAAAATCGATTAATAATACCATATATAGATGGCGCATTAAAGTAAGACATACATCCATATTTTAAGTTAGATATTTAGGGACACAAATATAGAGACCGCTTCTAATCTTATGCAGTAGTTTTTGCATAATACCAAAGCAAACATACAAACAGATAAAAATTGTAACAGAGCCATAATGGGCGCCTTAACTGAACACATGCCAATAAAGCATATACTATACAAGATGGGTCTGTCTTCGGACACGCTGTGCAGATTGTGCAGCGAGGAATCGGAATTCATGGAACACCTGTTGTGCAACTGTGATTCGTTGGAACGGCTTATCCAGAGCCAAGAGATTAAATATATTAAAGCGTGGGATGTCACAAATGGATAGGAATATATTATAATGATAGTATAAAGCAGAAGGAAGCATAAAGGATCCCAATGGGTTGACGTACAACAATTTAGATGACCTCATATACAAACAAAAGATAAGAGAAGGGATATAGGTATGTAAGAATAGAGATATTTGGCACTCGGTTCTCAATATTTACTCTGCAAAAGACTTGGCATAAAAATAGAAATATTGCAAAAACCAATCGATGGCTTCTATTGTTAAATTAACGAGCATGTTTCTTCATTTTTTCCGTATACTCTAATAGCAAACTAGTTTTTACCAGCGACTTTGTCCACATAGCAGAGATACTATTAATTGATTGGGATAAAAAGTAGCCTATACCTTCTATTTCTCCTTTCAATACTATGTCTAGATATACCAAATTTCATCACGATTGTTTAAACCATTAAGGTGTCAAGAAGTAACAAACAAACAAACAAACTCACTTCTACATTTATGATACTAGCTGTATCCTGCAACTTCGCTCGTTTGCATCAGTATTTCTATTGAAAACTTAAATACCTATCATGTACAAATTTTTCAAAATTGTGTTTATTTACTATGGTAGAGCCAAAATGGACTACAGAAGACCACTAAATAACCTATTTATATTCAGAGGGTCCATACTCGAATATACAAGATTTACAAGGGATTGTTAACATTTATTATTGTTATATTATTATATTTATTTATTGTTAGGGTTTTCCCAAGAGATAATAGCATGAGATTCTTCAAAAAGGGGGTAAAGAGGTTTCTTCAGGGTCGACAACGCGTGCGTAATGCCCCTGTTATTGCAGGCGTTCATAAGCAACGGTAACCGCTTACCATCAGGTGAGCCGTATGTTTGTTTGCCACCTCAATAGTATAATAGTAATGGGGACCAAGGGCCCCATTATTAGCAATACTCTACTACATCGATCTTCACGTTTTCCCCTGGAAACTATCATGGTTAATGTATGGTATATTCGTCAAGATGCGCCAACTAGCCTGTTTTCATTTTCATCAACGAGAATTATACCCCCACTGGTACATGCCAGCTTATACTGATAGCACAGGCGGGGTTACCATTTACACCTATTAAAAATAATATATATGCAAGGTTAACAATTATACTTGTATACACTTTCTACTTTAGTATTACCAACAAATCATTCTATTGTGCTATTTATTCAAACTTTAATTAGTGTAAAGAGCTATTTAGCAATACGATTTCATAATCAGATCAACAATTAAATAGCTTTACAATGTGTCTGCCAATTATGTCCACTTCATCACGTTTTGTACCTATGCATTTTTTATGTATAATGTCATGATGGAAACTTCAGTACAAAAGACGTTAATTACTTTATAAACGTCGTTCAGACTCGTTTTTGTTTTCAATAAAATAAAATATTATTATATATCAGCTAATACAGAAAGACAGCGGCATAAACGGCAAAAACACGAATACAACAGAGGTACCCAATCACACGACTTTTCTACAAAGTCTCTGTCTGATTCAAGCACAAACTCTAGCAATTTATTCTATTAATTTATTTTATCCTATTTACCAGAGGGAGACTTTATTAGTCGATTGCTTGGGTACCTCTGTCCCATTTGTGTTTCAACCGTGAAACAGTTGTGTTTGCATGGCTGTGTTTCGGTTTGAAGGGTGGGATGTGGCGTGAATTTACTGGGTACAGAGGAATAGCACCTGAGTCCTCAGGAATGGCAACACATGGGGGGTATCATGGGAGAAACAGTACTCTGTTACATCCATGGTACTGCTCATGTCTATAGGCGACGGTTACCACTTTCCATCAGGTGGGCCGTCAGCTTGTTTGCCAGATAAGTTGTATAAAAAAAAATTGTGTTATACTTGAATACGTAAATGTCAATCACCTAAATCCAAAAAATTCGTTCAGGGTGAACAAATTTGTTATATGTAGTCAATATAGACATTGACCGAAACTCAAAACAAATCACATAACAGTTTTTTTTTCATATTTCACGCGATAAAAACTGCATAGTACCAACCCTTAGCTGTAAAAATAAGACCTCTTAGAATTATATAGAATAGACTTCTTATGGTCCAACAGCAGATTATTTTGAATTTCGAAGTTTATGTGTTCCAAAAGTTATAAATTCAATTTTTTTTTTTTTTTACTGTTGACAATTCGTGTTATTTCATTCGATAGAAAATTACTTTTCTAAATAGGTTAGGTCCTGTATACATGAAGAAGTAGGAAGTGAGTGTTGTATCATGTCGGTGGAACGACGGATAGATACGTGCACCCCGCTGTAGATAGAAGGGTTGTCACCTAACACTATGTACTTTTTATAATATAAACCTTAATATATTAAAAATATAATAAAGTGAGCACACTGCGTACTGATTGTACGGTACTGACGTTGATTAAAGGAATTTGATGTTGACGAAATTTTGAAGATTATCTGAAGATGAAAGAAGGGAATTAGTTTTGTAATTACTGACCTTATTTGAAAGACAAACACAAAATTTCGAGTATCATCAATACGTAATGCGTATGTAAAGTTTAAAGTACAATTTTTGTATTTATTATTAAGTAACTAGTTTTTACCCGCGACTTCGTCCGCATGACCTAGATATGTTGACTAACTGGAATAAAAAGTGGTTGATGTTCTTCTTCGTACCATATATTATAGTTTGGTATACCAAATATTATACCAAAATTTCATAGTAATTGATTAAGCCGTTGAAGTACTAAGTGATATCAAACAAACAAACTCATTTTCACAGTTATTAGCAAGGATTTTTCTAAATCGTTTTCAAATATACCTATCTGTGTAGGGGGGAAAGGGATTGTTAGCAATGGAGTTTGACAGCCCCATTGCTAGCAATATACCTTATTAGGTCGACCTCCACGTGGAAACCATCGTGAACAATTCTTGTTGAATTAGTCACGATGGACTAACTGACCTGCTTCATACTCACCTATCATTCTTCACTGGTGCCCCGCCGGTGTATACCGATAGCGCGGGTGGGGTTACCATTCCATTATCATCCATTAAAAAAAAATATCTGTGTAATATCTAAATATAAGATGCGACAGGCACTCTAGCCAATAATCAACTTAACACTCGACTCGATAATAAGAGCGAGACTTATTGTTAGATTCAAAATTGTTTATCCGTATCTGCTATAAGAAATATATTTAAAAAATAATTGTAATTAATAATTATGTATAAATGAAAATAGTGCAACATCTGTGTAAACATTTTTTCATCGAAACAGAATATGTTAAAAGTAATTTATCGAACTATAATTCACGACTTTAATCATTTATCTGAGGATATAGGATGCCATGTATGAATTCAAGATTTTGTTAAAAAAAATTAATTTGCTTGTAATAATCGTTTATAAGCGTAGTTGAGTAATAAACATCTAAATATATTTGAAAATAACATGCAATCAGGAATCCCAAATAAAACATTAACATGTAGGCATTTTTAGAAACTCTCACGTCAATATTTGTAGTATAAAAATAATAAATAATAACCAATTAGTGACTGTGGCAACCCTAAACAAATGGAATGCTAATGTCCATGTGTTTTGAATTTAAGATACTTATTGTCTCTATGCCGTAACGGTTAAGGGGGCAATAAGTATATGTGTTCCACATAAAAGTCGCTGACCCCTAATCAAGTGATCATATATGTACTTATGTATTATGTATGTGCCAAAATAGAACATAACATTTTTTGAAAAATAAAAATATCTTATCGTTTGAGATTAGATTGATAGATTGACAGTGAGTGTACACTTACTGTAACTGACAACTATATCTGATTAGTTAGATGGGTTAAAATAAGCCACATTTTCCAATTTGGACAACTCTAGGGTTGTCGCCATAAGTCGAGATTTTCCTGCTTCGGTATAACTTGAAACTTGGATTATTATTAGTCATCTTTAAATATTAAACAATTTGACTCTTCACCTAACAAAATGTTGTAGAGAGGAAAAGGATTATTAGCAATGAGTTCTAATAGTCCCATTGCGGGGGGAAAGACATTGTTAGTAATGGAGACTGAGAATCCTATTGCTAGCAATATACCCAACCAGGTCGATCTCCTCGCGGTTCTCCCTGGAAACTGTCATGGTTAATTCCTGATGAAATCATCATGATGGACTAACTGGCCTGTTTTCATTCTCATCTATCACCCGTCACAGGTGCTCCGCCAGCATATCACGTTAGCGTAGGCGGGGTTACTATACCATTTCACTCACAAAAAAAAAATAGTCCCATTGCTAGCAAAAAATATTAAGTCGGCTGGAAAATATCGTGGTTAATTCTTGTCTCTTGTCGGGATCGTAATAATGGGTCAACTGACCTGTTTTCATCTTTACCTACCATACCTTACTGGTGCTCCGACAGCATACATTGATAACGCAAGCAGGTATATATACCATTTCATTTACACCCATTAAAAAAATAAAATGTGGTAACTAAGAACTAGCAGTTTCATTGCTAGCAATATACCTTGTGAGATCGACCTCCACGCGGTCTCCCTGGTAAGCTTCATGGTTAATTCCTAGTAAATGGGGCGATGAGCCAACGAATATAATTTCGTCCTTATCTATCATCATTCACTGGTGTCCCTTTGGCGTATCGATAGCACAAACAGGGTTACTTACCTAGATACCTAGCTACAATGATGCATAATGGGGTAGAAAGGGATTGTTAGTAATAGGGTCTAATTGATCCATTGCTAGCAATACCCCCTGTGAGGTCGAACTCCACGCGGTTCCCCATGGAAACCATCGTGGTTAATTCTAGTGGAATTCGTCACGATAGGTTAACTGACTTTTCATCGTCACCTATCATCCATCACTGGTGCCCCACCAGCGTATATCGATAGCGCAGGCGGGGTTACCATTCCATTATAACCAATTAAAAAAGATGATGAACTTACAATAATAAACAAACTAACGACCTGTCTAATGGAAAGTGGCAAACGTCGCGTATAGATTTTTTTAATTTTTTTTTATGCAGTATAGAATGGCAAGCAAGCTAACGGCCCACCTGATGGGAAGTACGAGTAGGAAACGTCGCCTATACTTAGATACGAGCAGTACCATAAACAAAACAAACTATACTATGTCAACAACAATAATATATAACACTACAATAATGTAAACAAAGTCTTGGATATCACAGAATATACTGTGACATTCATGACACCTCTACTCATACATGGAGTAGTGGTGGGCTTTTTGCATAAATGAGGTCTCAAGTTCGATTTCCGTTCGTGCTAATTTAATTTAATTTAACCACATGTTAATTGCTTGCTTTTGCTGTATTCCAGCTTTAGGAGATCGGCGTGGCACTTGTTATTATGAGTTACCATTCTTGAGAACTTTGGTACCCTGTAATTTCGCTCCTATGTCCCTACTCTTCAAACTTCCTTGTAAAAAAAAAAAACACGGCAATGAAAATACAGCACAGGCAATAAAATTATTGTATCTAACTCAATAATGATTGTAACCAAAAATATGCCAAAATGCTCTTATCTACGATAATGTCCAGACACGAAATATATTGACGGCAAATAAACAATTCCACTCATATTTTAAATACATTATCGCAATGGAAAATTGCAGGTAAATATTACGTACATACCTACTTTTTTATTGCCAACATCGAAATGTGAATAGTACATTTAAAATATGTGTCAACGATTATAAAAATTTAAACATATTCCACTCATGCCCTGTAAATACTTTGATAACTATACCTATCTTATCTAATTGAGCTAGATAGATTAACCATTAATAAAATGAACACGGTTAAAATCTTTTTATAGTTCTTCAAATTCTTAAAGCCTTTTGGAGAATAAATCTACATCTACACTAGTATTATGAAGAGGAAAGATTTCTATTTTTGTGTGTATATTTGTAATGAATAAACTCAAAAACTACTTTGCCGTTTCGAAAGATTCTTTCACCATAAGAAAGCTACATTCACCCTGAGTAACATAGGCTATATTTATTGGTAGAAAAGAATAAGGATCCTAACTAAAACTTTAGTAACGTAACTCAAGGTGTAAAAAAACGCTATAAAATATCTTTCGTCGCGTGCGCTGCGTTTCCGCTATTGGTGATATAACAAAAGTATGTTCTACAATATTGAAGAAAATATCAATAACAACAAAAAAACTTCGCGATACTATATGTCCAACTATTATCGTTATGTCACAATAACCACTGTTTATAATGTTGTAAAAATGTCCACCCGTAGAAAGGCAGGACGGGCCACTAATACCTAATAATTTAGGATTGATTTCCGTTAAACAAGGATTTATAAACATAAAATCATTCATTTCACATTCGCTTAATTAACTAAAAATATCCGCTCACTTAAATATTTCCGTTGAGTATTTTATAAACCTGACAAAGTGAGAACTGGAGCAAAGATCTAATAAATTAACTAAAGTTTGAATTAAGATCAAGTCAAATTAATAATCTAGTAGGAGCACAGAACACGGTAGAATTATTGATAGCGCATAGCGCCTTAAACGATTGCGTGACAATATACCTCTCTAATCTGAGCAATTAATTTTAGGTTCAAAATTACTCCGCAGAGGCAGCACTAACTTTTCTTGTTAACTGTTCATTCGAAAAATTAAATAGGTACAAATATATAATATTCGTTAAAAATCTTTTTTATTATATATCAATCAATAATAACAAATGTTTCCTACAAATTTTTACTTACATGTTATGATGCCCGAAAAACGGAACAATTATCAAAGGATCTTAATATGAATCACAGTCTGATTTAATTTTTATCCTTTTCCACTGTAGGTAAAATACTCTGTAAATATTGTAATTGTATTATAAAAATAATCTGTAAAATAATCTAATTACTTATTATAATATTTTAACATTCTCCTTATCACGTGACAATTTTATTTATCCAAATTAAATGTAACGAAGTGCACGCATGCGTAGTACGAAACGCACCAACACCAAACAAACGTAGGTAAACAAAGTTTGAGTGTGACGTTAATTTAAAAATTTACGAGAACATTAATAATAAAAATGTGAAAAACAGAAGTAAATTTTATATTTAACTGTAATTAGTGTTCTATTGTTAACATTTTAAGGTTAAATATAAAATATCAAGATTTAATATATAGGTGAAAGCAACCAGTAAAACTACTCCAGAAATGAATATTGTGAACGTTCAATATTTACGGAGAAACTCCTTATTTATTTAATGTGAAGTCATGGGTACAACGTACCGGGATTTGTTTAAATTATATGACTTAATCCAGTCTGGAGATATAAGGTATTTCTTAATGCAGTTTTAAATAAACTTTGCGTGTGGGTGGGAAATATTCTCTTGTCTAATTTCTTTTATATATGGCCAGTTTATTTCATTTTTTTATTTTATTTGTGCAATTAGTTAATATTGTTAACTATATAGTAGCTAATTATTCTGCTATTTATAATTTTGTAACAATTGTGCAATACAATAACATGATCACAGATGAGTCATACATACTTCCTGTTAGAGAACTCTTTTGTTTGTAGATTTCATATTAGATTTGAATAAGACAGGAATACTTATGAGTGTTTTACGAATTTAAATTTCAGACTCGTGGAATCTTTTTTGAGAGGAAACAGGATATCTATAAATGACATTGTACCATGTAAAGGTATTGGAATATTGCATCTCGCGGTGGGCATAGACCCCATAGAGAAATCAAAAAAATGCACAGAAATCATACTAAAATATGGTGGGGATCCAAATTTATGGTAAGGTTTATTTATTTGGATATTTCTTATTAATATTATGAATATGAAAGTGAACTTGTTACCTTGGCACCTTAATGGCTCAATCAATCATTATAAAATTTTGTAGTACATAGTATTTAACTATGACATTAACTTATATGTTAAATACTAAATAAATAATCAAAGAGGAAAGAGATTATTAATAATGGGGACTAGTGGCCCCATTGCTAGCATTAAGTCTTGTCGGGTAAACCAGTTTACCCTGGAAACCATGATGATTAAAACTGGTTGCATTCATCACAGTATAGGCTCACTGACCTGCTTTTTTTCTCACTTATTATCTCTCACTAGCCCCCTGTTAGCATAGTCCAATAGACCAAACTGGCTTACCATTCCATTATCATCCCATAAAAAAGTTATTTTATATATTAAAAACCTGACTTAACAAATTTTGTTCTGTCTCCTTCACCACCTACCAGATCAATTTTTCTTATTAGGATTAAAACAATCCTATATCTAAAATTTAAGCAAACCATACACATTTAGAAAATAAAATTTAAATTAATTAAATAGTTTTAAAGATTAATGTGAATGAACATCATGACATGGGATTTATATATATTAAAATTCATATTTGCAAAATAAAATATGGCTGACATTTTTATAAATCATTAAAATTTCTTCTACAATTTTAGCAATGACGATGGTATTACTCCAGTTCATATAGCAGCAATATGGGGGAGGTTGGACAACCTGAAGCTCTTGATAGGGTGTGGGGGTGACCCATCTCGCCGGGACTTTGATGGACACTCCGCATTTGACTATGCGGCAAGAGAAGAACAGTGGGATGTGTATGACTATTTGCACAATGTTATAGATCCATTGGATGATTCTTTAAGTTCAAAATGTGCATATACTTTAGAATTAGGTATGTCTATTATAATCACTCTTAGTTGTATATTAATTGAAATATTAGCTGTTATTTTCTTTACCTATCCCAATAATGAAGAACCAAGTTCATAATTTACTGTTCATCCCTAAGGTTGACTGGTAGAGAATGCTACAAGCATTACGTCCACCTTCTGTACCATATTTTCTTTTGGTCAATAAAGTTATTTAAATATATAAATTAATGTTATCATATCTGAAATAAATACATGCGATAAAAATTAATTAAATTAGTAGTAAAATCTATATACCATATAAGAAATCTAGTATTAAGATAGATTAAAAAAAAAGTTAGGTCTTAAAAAACTCATGCTATACTAAACTTAATATTTACTTTACTTTTACAAACAGTTTTAAAACTGTTCACGTCAAATGAATTTTTTTATGGTACATTAATATTAAGAAATGTAATTAAAAATTTCAGAGAAAGTTATGGTGACAACAGACCAGGTGGTTGCCGCGTATGAACCACTAGTAGAAGAAAAACTAAATAATATTAATTTGACTAGTTCACGAAAGTCACAGATGGTACGTGACTGGTGTGAAAAGACCAGTTTAGTTGTAAACAAACTATACCCTACTATTTTAGGTGACACATATATTTTAGACAATGAATCTGCTCCTTGGAAAAATATAGATTTTACCAAAAGCTTGACACTTGATCTCACTCAACATAGAAATTCAAAACACAGCGAACTCAATGAAACAAACAATAGTTTTAAGACATGTTTATCAAAGAAATTGCCATATGATGTGGACATAAGTGGTATTAAACACTTAGACATAACTGCAGATCAAAGTAACAACTGTAGTTGTTCAAATTCTAATTCCAATAATAACTGTAGAAACAATAGAATGAGTATTTATGAGAATTTCTCACTACCAGGATCTCCTCAGAATATTTCTCACAAAAATTACAATACAAAGAGTAGTATAAAGAAAACAATGTGTTGTATAGAAGCTGAGAATCATTTGCTAACTTTTGATAATTCACAGCCCTTGATATCTGATGATAAATCTATAGACTTGGATAAAGCTATGGCTGTGGCTCAGAATAAAGCAAATGAGTGGTTGTCATTTAGTAGCAACAGTGATCCCTCAGGATCTCATGTGAGAGCTACAAATACCAGGAGATCATCAGCCAGTAGTGGTGTGAGCAGTAATTATTCAGGAGGCAGCATAATGATTGCAAGCATGCAAGAGGAATACAAATATGAGGATAAAGATGAAGATGTAGTGCTGATTGAGAAAAGGCTACTTGTTTCTCCAATAGTGTAAGTTTGTGTGTAATTTTTTTAATGCAACTTGATATTGCAACAAAAAAGAAAAACAAGCTAGCCCATCTTATGAAAGTTGACAACTACAGTCAATATGAAAATAGAATTCACTGTGATTCACATGAAACCCTTACATGTGTTGCTATTACTGAGATATAAATTGAAATGCCCCCATATCCTATAATTGCGCTGCAATATTCCACCTTACAAAGTAAAACATAAATGACTCATATCAGAAAGATGAGTGACGTACAAATATTCAAATAACTTTTACACAAAGTTTAATAAAATACACAAATTATTATAATTTTTGTAAGATTTATAAAAAAATATAAGCTTAGATATATAAATATTCATATATATTCTATGAATAAATATTATAAGTAGTTTGAAAATTTAGAAATTTTCCACTTACCAATAACCATTATAATTTAATACAATTTTATTCAAATTTATTCCAGACTGCCTCTAGAGGAAGGAGCAGAGACAAGTCCAGACCAAACAATCCTTTCAGTGGCATCCTCACTTCCGCCTTCCGTTAATTACGACAACAACACCTTACGAGCCGAGTTGATTCGCCTTGGTTTTAGACCGGGGCCCATACAAGATTCCACGAGGACATTATACTTGAAAAAGTTGCAGGCACTCAAGAAAACCCCAAATGTAGTTCGCGATCACGGAAAAAGTAAGTTGCTTTTATTGAATTGTCATTTTGTTTTTGACATCCATGATTTTAATTATTATTTATATTTGTATTTCGTAATATTGTATTTAATTAAAAATTTAAAAATGACTGTAAAGAAACTAAAATTGTCTAGTAAAATTATGAAAACCTACATCAACAAAGGTAATAAATAAGATCGTGTTCCAGAAAAAAAATCGACTTCAATTGTGGTAAAATCCTTTCAGATAAAAGAGAATTTTTAAAATCGGTTTTAACTGACTGAGTTATTAGATAACAAACATAAAAAAAATACATTTGAATTGGCAGCCTCTTTTTTGCAGTTGTTTGAAAAAGGTAGAAATTCAGCTATAGAAAATTATTTTTAAAACTTTCATACAAATTGCGCCATTCATATGAGGACTTCTATAGATGAGAGGGTATTTTCTACGTAGGATAAAATACCTCAATGTGTTTACCAAAATCTTTGCATATACTCTTGGGCTATCTGATTTCTATGAATTATATTTTAACAGGCTTAAAACTAAGGATTGAACTAAGGATCATGTTTAGTTCCCACGATCCCTGAAATTTTAAATGATTAATAAAGCTCGCTTCCCGTTACATCTAGAATTAAATGAAGTCTAACCCCCTTATACATAAAAACTAAATAATTCATTAAACCTTCTACAAATCTAACTACTACACTGTTTTGTCATTGTCTTTCAAATTGGGAATTTAGTGTAAAAAGAAAGACAAAACCGTTTTATATCAAAAATAGGTATATGAGAGATTTAAAGTTTTTATGAATAAGGGGAAAAGTGTATAGATTTGAAATAGTCAAACCATTTCCAGCCTACAGCATCGAATTGGAGAAATCACTCCGTAATCACGAGTGGATGAAAAATCTAAATCCCTACATTGAATTAGAAAACAAAGTCCAAGCAGACTTCGCAAATCCGAACAAGAAATGGAGAGAGGGTACCTCAAAGACCTCCTTCACATATCTCCTTCTGGATCCCCGAGTGACTGACAATCTGCCAGCGAAGTCTAGCAAGCAGGCCGACCATATAACGTGGATTACATTTATCAACTCTATATTTTATATTGGCAAAGGTAAACCCAAATAATACAAAGTTTGTAATGATTGATTGATTTCGACTTTTTCGATCTAATTAAATTTATTTATTAATTATTACATTAAAATGTAATGTGCTTACTTAACTTTTAACAATAAAAATGATAGATGGTTATTTCTTACTCTTATGCAAAACCTATACCAAATTCTTTTCAAATAGATTTGAAGGTAATTTGATACACGGTTAGATGATATCCTAACTTAGCACATAGGATAGTTTATGCGCGCACATAGGATAATTTATTGATTTACGCGGGTGAAACGGCGGAATATATTTAGTGGCACAAAACTACCACAAATGTCTTTTTTTATTTAATTTTAAAGATCCTCAGCTTTTTAAAATTATGCATTACATAACACTCCATTAAGGCCAAACTTGATATATAGGATACTTTATTTACTAATGCATTTGCTGACATGCAATAATAAAAAAAGCCATGTAGTTCCGGCATAGAATGGGCCACACTTTCCTTTCTCATAGGTGTCATAAGAGGCGACTAAGGGAATTTAATGGTCGAAGGATGGGCAGCAGCGTCCCTCTTAATACATCACCAAAGTCTAACTGCGGTTGCGAACCCGCTTACCAAGCGTGGCAACTACTAGCAAAACCCGCCTTCTGAAGAAGGCCTATGTTCAGCACTGGACAGCTGATAATTATATTATAAAAATATTGCGCTCTGGAACGACAGCGCATGAGGAGTACCGTGGGCGTCATCGTTTATTGTAATGCTGTTCATCACCATAACGTTTACCACTTTATATCTGGTTAATTTTTAGAGTTTCTCGCATATATGCGTAAATAATATATCAATATATATGTGTAAATAATATATCAATATATATGCGTAAATAATATTATAAAATATGTATCAATAATAAAATACTTCTAACCCTTTCAGGTAAACGATCAAGACCATATTCCCATCTATACCAAGCATTGACCCTTTGGAAACGGGACTTCACCACCTCAAACGACAAGAAAGTCCAACACATACTAGACATTTGGTCGGACAAGGTTGGCGTTGTTTGCCTGCACATATTCCAAAATGTTATACCAGCTGAAGCGTACACATACGAAGCATCTATGATCGACGTGCTCGGGTTGCCTAATTTAAAAAATCAAAAATGTGGTAACTACTACGGTATTGCCGCGTCATGGCCATTAAAGGAACGAAGGATGCTCGGCTTGTATTTATTGTATAAAGCGTTACAAATATTCCTCAGTGAAGGCGAAAGACAATTAAGGCCCGATGATATTGATTGATTTATCATACTAGCAAAATTTAAGCCAGGATTTCGTTTTATTAAACAAAATTTTTGATACTCAATACGGTTGTAGATGAAAATATTTCTTTCATCAGAATAAATTGGTAGGTCGTTTTGACTATTGAGCCGGGGTTTTCCAGTAGGTAAATAAATTTACCTGTGTAGGAATAACCCGGTTGTGTTTAAAAATACATCGAAAATCTTTTTTATTAGGGTTTTATTAGTAAACTTTTGGGAAACTGTATAAATTGGATACTGTTATCCCATTCGTGTTTCTGCCGTAAATCAGTTGTATTTGCATGGCTGTGTTTCAATTTGAAGGATAGAATATGGCAATAAAATTTCAGGGTGCAGAGGCATAATCCTTAGTCCAGGCGTAGAATGGGCGACACATTCTACAGGGTGGCCCATAAGTTCTTAGTAATGAAAAAAATTAATTAAAATAAAACTAATTACACTATGAATAATATTTTTATTTGTAAATATAGCTAGAAAAACGGGATATATTTTTTGTAAATAACGTCGTCCAAATGTAATCCGTTACAGTCACGGCACTCTTGCAAACGACTTCTGAAATTGTCGATGACTGCGCGGCACGTCACTGCTGAAATGCTTGCCATTTCTCTGCAGATGTTTTCTTTTAGGTCATTAATTGACCGCGGGTTAGAGTCGTACACTTTAGCCTTAAGGTAGCCCCACAAAAAAAATCCATTGGAGTCAGATCCGGGCTACGTGGTTGCCAGGAAATGTCTCCTCTCTTAGAGATAACTTTGTTTGGAAAAAGTTGACGGATAACGGGCATAGCAGTATTGGAGGTGTGGGAAGTTGCTCCATCCTGTTGAAACCATGTTCGGGCATTAAAGCCTGGAAAGTTTTGCAATTTTTGTGTGAAAAACTCCTCGATCATGGCCACATATCGCTCCGAAATAACAGTAACAGCACGCCCTCTGCCGTCCTCAAAAAGTAAGGCCCTATGATGCCATGGGCTGACATAGCGGCCCAAACTGTAACTTTAGGGCTATGTAAGGGCTTCTGGTGCTTAAGTTTTGGATTAATCGGGCTCCAATAGCGGCAATTTTGTTTACTAACATGTCCGTTAATGTGGAAGTGTGCCTCATCAGAGAACATTATGTTATTGAACGAAGTAAACCGATTAAACATTTCATTAGCATAATTCACTCTCTGAATAGCATCAGTTTCTTTTAATTCTTGCACCAACTGAATTTTGTAAGGGTGCATAAGTAAATCTTTCTTCAAAATCCGTTGTAACGATGTCCTGGATACGTTTAATGCACTGGAACGCTTACGAGTTGACTGTGTAGGATTTTCACGAATAGATTGTGCCACTGTGTCGATGTTTTGTTCCGTACGTGATGTCCTTGGGCGACCCAACCGCGGTTTATCTAACGTCGAACCGGTCTCCTCGAACTTAGCAACCCAATTCTTAATCGTTTGGAGAGCTGGGGTGTCATCAAAGTTGTGTAAACCTTTGTGTTCTCGAAATTTACGCCTCGCAACGGTTGCCGAATTGTTGTTTTGATAAAACTCGCGCACACAAAACGCACGGTCCGCTCCGGTGAAACGCTCCATCGCGACTAAATTCCCAGAAACCGAAGTTACTGCCCCCGCTTCCCCTGCACCGCTCACGCGCGCCGTTTTCGTTTAATTCAAATTTTACTTTTCTAAGGACTTTTGGGCCACCCTGTACTATATCCATGATACTGTTCATGTTTATAGGCGACAGTTACCACTTTCCATCAAGTGGCCCATCAACTTGTATGTCATTCTAAGTTGCATTAAAAATTTCGGTACTCTCTATGCGAAACGTGACTTCGCTTATAGTATTGGTTGTGAAAAAACAATTGATCTCACTGCATCATACACGATGACGTTAATTTTATTTTATGATGTTTACTTTTACTATTTCTATAAATCTTTTCCAAATTTAATTATGTAAAATTACATTTACATTATACGAATTATAAATTCCTGTAATAAATCCCAACTAAATAAAAAGTACTTGAAATATTTTTAAAATAAATTTATATTTAGTTTAGCCATTGATGAGTACTAAGCTAGAAAACATGGTTTATTACTGGCGCATACTACTTAACAGAATTTAATTTGATTTAATCAATTTTATTCTAATTTTATATAATGTACTTATATAGTTTTTAACAATGAAAAATCCGAAGTTGGTTTTTCGAATAAATTAAGTTGTATTAGACAGCAGGGCAGGGTGAAAATCACCATTTTACATGAATCATTTTAAGATCCATTATGTACCCCCCGCCTTGTTCAAAAGTTATTTCGCTCTGAGAGCTTGATATTTAAAGACTAATACATTTAACAGGTCTTACAAAATGATTCCAAAATTAACAAGATCATATCGGATTACACTGTTTGAAGGTTGTATTTGTGATTATTAAAGTATAGGTACTTTAATAACCATAAATGCAACCTTACAAATTGATTACATTTTTCATTCTAATAAAATTTTAGAATTCGGTTGCTGGGTTTGCATTCTAAAATGCTTAACTCACATTATTTTTGTATATATCGATCAAACAGTGAAATGTGTTCCGATACTTGTGATGTATATAGTTTTTTTTTTTAGATAAACCATCGATTTAGTTTTTTTTTTTATTAATTAGATTCTATTCTTAATTTTAAATAACGTTCTATGCGAACAGTGATAGATAAGTTATAACTAAATCACAATTTATCAGTATTTTGATAATTTATTAGTACCTTGCTTGTACCGTCTAAATAATAATATTTATTTCACATTAAGAAATATACATACTAATGTAAGAATCCCAGCGCCACGTATTTTGTTTTGTGGTTTTTATTTTCCTTCTTAGATTTTTGTTTTCTACTTTTTTTATCGGCGACATGGAAATAGAAATTATGAAAATATTAAAAAAAAAAAATATTATTAAAATATCAATTATGCTGATTTAATATGGAACGAAAAAAAGGCATTCGTTCTAGTTGAAGAATTCTATGTATTAATAATAATACTAATAATCCAATATGTATTTATACAAATTATAATGCATTTAAATGCGAATAAAATACAATTCTAATATAATCAAATGTAAACTATTAATATTTTTTTTAAATAAACGAAAGAAAAACCATAAAATGGAGACGAAACCAAGGCGCTACTATGTTTAAACAAAGGGGCCCATTTAATTTTAGTATTGTTAACTGCAGTATAAAATAACCAAAGTGTTTATTGCCCATTTTCATTGCATTAATTTCATGTAAAAATTAATTTTTAACACATTTACATTTCATTTGTGATGTATTATTTATTGAAATTAAGCTTTAATTTTTGTATGATATTCATTGTACCTATTTTCTAAGTTACCGGAATATTAAGTTGCTGCATAGTGGAAAAATTTGATTAGTTACAAACTGTTTAAAAAGAAATCCCAATTTAATTCCTTATTTTAAGTGTATTTATTTATTTAAGATTACATATTGATTTCCCGTTGTATAAATTATTAATGGCAGTTTGAGGTTTCAAGTAATAAGTAAAACTATTTCATTGTGACAAAAAAAAAAATATATCGGTATTTGTTAAATTTTGTTTTAAAGATCATTATTTGTATTTACTCTCAGTAAAAGTAGACAAAATAAAATAAAAATATATAAAAAATCAATAAGATTCACATTGTAATTTTTATTCATTATAATTTTTTTTCTATTGATTTATAATCACCAAAGAGTGTTTGAAGTGGAGGCTAATAAGAATTAGCAAATATGTCCACCCACTATGCAGCGGCTTGTTTTTTATACCATTAAGCTTGCAAACAAGCAAACGAACAGCTCTATTGGTTGTAAACTGTTACCGTAGTTTATGAATGCCTGCAGACTGCCATTCTTTGCAAACATTTAATTTGATTACAATTAATATATTTATAATTAAATAATTTAAATTATTATTCATAAAGATTTACTTCGTTTTATATCTTTTACATTAATCCTAGTCAAGTCACATTTTGTAACATGCATAATACACATGACAATAATTTTAAGCTATCCAAACTGTAATTTAGGGACCTTACTGAAATAAAACACATTCTAAGAAATAATTTATCTTTATTATTCCTTTTTTTAAACGTCTCGAATTCTTTCCTAAGAAAAATCAAACTTTGCGTTTAGTTACATCAAAAAATACACAAATGTTCATATTATAACATATACAGATGCATTATAAATACAATGATCATGTATCATACCATCTTATTGGTACTAGTGGATATAAAATAATGAAAGCGTAACGTTTGCTTATTCGTGCCGAATATAGCACACCGTCCGCATAACTGTTACAGTACCATATTTAGAATTAATTACTTGCTTGTTCACATAATGACAGCACTCACGTATGTCTTCTATATATAACTGGTAAAAAAAAAAATTGCATTTCTGTACAATTTGGACAGAACCACGTCATAATTCTATATAAAATACGATTCTGATACAGTTTTGCGGGACGGCTGCAAACTTAATAACAAATCAAATCTTTAATCAGTCTGCATTTATTGACAATGCACGGAGGCGCTGTGGTGAGATCATGTAAGCTATATCCTGCCCATGCTTTTCATTCATACTTGTTACTCTGGAATCTGTGTATATAATTTAAAAAGGTAAGCCCGCATTATGAATTTTTACGCACGATTTTTTTTTATTCCATAATATTAAACCGTCCATAAAACAGTATAATGAACTTATTATCTGAGAGCCACACGCCCTCACCCACGACAACAGGAAAAACTTTCTCTAAAATTATTTCGAATGCGCGTGAAATAATCCGTGCGAAATAAATCATACATTGAAAACTCATTGTACGGACTTACCCTAACATATTTCGATTATTATCAAAATTTACATATATATTATATTGCAAATCGAAATTAACAGTTTCAACAAAAATAATAATCAATTATTGTGTCATGGTATAATGTGTAATTTAGATGAAGCTGTAGAAAACTGTAGACATTAATAAGAGGGCACACAGCTTAAGTACTATTCAAGTATGTTTTCTTCAACATATCTCAGGAAAACTAGAATAGTCGCTTGGCACTCGTGCTTGCCTAATCAAGGATAAAACTACACGAATATCTACTAACGACGGCCACGCATTGTGGCATAGTATTAAACACCATTAATACGCGTTATTATCAGAGCGTTTCCAAATATCTTTATCTTTCTAGACTAGTCTCAATGTGCCTTTCGGAAGTAAGTAGTTAATAAAATTGTATTCACAATCATTAGATAGTTATATAAAAATAACCAACTCAGTCACTGGTCAATCGAATGTTCTAGAGTATTAATTTAAAAACAGGTCTTTAGGCCCCACTTTTATACAAATATTAATTTCAGTTTTATTAATCAAGACAGGTACAATAGGTACATTGACAAAATGTCATAAGAATAATATTTCTATTTGTTTGCATAATGCGTTATTGTAATATAAAACGTTTTCTACATAAAGTTGAAATGCAATCAACGATATCTTTTCTATTTAATCAATTTGAATCATCACAAATAATCAGGTGACATTGCTACAAATATTGTTTATGAGTTAACAGTTCTGATATTTTAGAAAAAAACACATATGCAATGTTTATGACTGTGGAACTCTTTAATCAACTGATTGGAAGACTGTTGTAATGAACAATTTGACCATCGACACCGCCTCAAAAGTCTTTCTGAGTAAGAATAGAAATGACATGATCTTCTATAAAAATTTGAGTTGTTTCACTATTACTATTTCATTTAAGAAATACAAACTAAGCCTATATCCATATTACGTAGTCATGTCAAAACTGGTTTAAAGTGAAAAAAGTTTAATATGAATCTATAAATTGAAATGAATTTATCGTCATGATTGATGGCCACTAAAAAAACGGAGGTATATATTTTTTGTGGTCATCCAATATTTATCAATCAATATGGATTTCAAAGTGTAACTAATAAACGCGAAAAATTTTACAGAAAACCATGAATTTTTTATTCTTACTGGAGGACTTCTTTAATCGCGGTCGATAACGGAACCATACCGCAAGCTGAAGTTACATGAATATTTGTTAAGTATTATTTATTACGACCACCACATAATCTTTAAGCCGGCAACTTCAGCTTGAGTGGCTCCAGCGTCAGACATAAAATACAATTTGACACGAAAGTAATAAAATTAACTAGTCGTAAGCGCCGGTTGCACGCCCGACGGTGATTGCATCAAAGCTGTATCGTGAATGACACCGTATCTAATTACTACACAGTACAGATATTGAAACACTAATCCCTTGTATGAGAATATCGGACTATGAGATTTTAAAAGTTATCATTAAAAGCCAGACATACATACACATACAGCGATGTCCAAACACACCAACTCTATAGGATGCTCTCTACGTTTTATTATAAGTCATTCGTCTCTATAGTCGAGACATAGTAGGTTTTGTGCACACTACGGATTCATATTGTAATCATCACATTGACGCCTTTAAACTTACGCTATAATCACTTAAATATTAATCATTTATCTTAACTTTTAAAAACTAGGTACGCTTGCTTTTGTGGAATGCAGTATTCATAAATAAATGATCTTACTAGACTGAATTCGCGTGATATCAAATTTCGTGGGGGCTTCAAACATCAGTACAATGCCCAGATGGAGAACCAGAGAATTCGATGTTTATATTACATTACTCAGTACACTAACAATGTAAATTAATTTACACATAATACTAATATTTACATAACTAGTTTGTGCTTCCACTAGTAAACATATATAAAACAAATTAGGTATCGGTAGAGGGCTACGATGAGTCCCACGCGGCCTCTACAGTGCCGCGAACACACACTCAATGTTCACAACACCAATGGCGGAGTTCTCAAAAACACAACACTCGGTTCAATTTAAAAGAATTCAGGTAACTATTAGTTCAGACACATGCTAGGACATTCAAAGCGCACATCACATACACATTTCGTGGGTTACGCGAGATCACAGTGTTTAAATTATGGCTACTGGCATAAAGATTAAGTCCAATTGGAGAATTTGAGTTACACACTTGTTCATTTTTAGTACATCACTGTCTATATAGTCACATCACTATCACGTCTAATTTGAAGTCCAGATTCGCTTGTGCCACTTGGACAAAGTGACAAGAAAAGTACCAGGGTAGGCTTGTGGTCGAGTATTAAAGTCAGGTCCATTTGTCGTTAATCCGATCAATTCATTTTGGCGGCGTCGGGAATGAATTCACAACCGCCTGCGTACTGGCCAGTACCGCTGCCGCTGCAACACACAATCTCCATTACTCTCTGTAGTGTCTCTGTTTAGAATGACATCTCTCTACGTGATAGCTACACGGGTTGGGCGGGATTCGGCCGCTTGTCCGCCGTGTGCTATCGGGCCCCTGCAACCAATCATCACACAAGTTAGGAACGGCCAAGCGCCGCCTCTGGTTGAGGGGTAGAGACGATGTTTTTCACAGAGTCATAGTTACAATAAATAATTTTATTATATAGGAATTAAAAGAACCTAATTTATACGAATCCTAATACATGTATAATAACTAGGCCTTCTATTACATATGTTGGGTGAATGAAGTCCGTTAAAAATGAATCGTATTACGATTCCCATAAAGCGACTAATTCAAACGTTCAGACAAAGTAAGAAAAGGATCGTGTCGATTTTCTTATTCATAATTCATTGAATACATTCAATTTACGTAATTTTAGATATACGCAACGATTTTACTATGACGAATCAGTTTTATTACTGGTGTTTACCATCGCTTGAAAGTTAGTTGATTTTTAGTTATTTTTTAGTATTTGCCAGAATTGATTATATATTATTAGAAAGATTAGGAAAGCATTTGGCAATGAGAGATTTATAGACATCGATAATGAAAATTAAAAAATTATAAATATACTAAACAAGTAAATATCTACATAGTTAATTTAATATAAAGCAAGTCAGAGCAAGTTAATTCTTTTATGTTCTCTTCGTTAAAAAAGGTTCCTAATTTATTCCTTAGTAATTTATTTAGCTCTGTTAGTTGTTTGTTCAGCGTGAGATGAAAAACAAAATTAAACTTTTCAGTCTTAACAAGAGCCTAAGTCTAGATAGATTAGAAACTTAGTTAAAACGCTAAAGGTTTTTATTGTTTGCTTATAATTTTTTTAAACGATAGGAAAATAAGAATCGTCATGATACCAGGTGAAATAATGGTTAATAGCGAGACCATTCGCAAGTAAAAAAAGAAAATATGACTTCCTATTTCAATACAATATAAGGTGAAATAAAATACATGCCATTGAGATAGATTAATCAGATTCAGGTTAGTATGAGTACACAATAAGCATAAATTCTAGTACTCTACCAGCTTGCTTTGCTTTTGCTTTGACCATATTAATAATGTTAGTAAAACTGGGTAAATTTTTTTATTTAGGTATATTTTAGACCAGTTTATTAGATTAAGATATTGTTCACTTACCGGGATAAGGCGGCGGATAGAGCGGATAGCCGAGACCCACGTGCGTGTGGTGGTGCGTGTGCACGTGTCGCTGCGGGGGCGGCGACCGCGGGGGCTCCTTCGGGGGCTCGGGGCGCGGCGGTTTGCCCTGCGGCGACTTTGCATGTTCTTGTAGTTCGTGTATCTTATGCGGCGGCGCATGCGACGGCGGCGCGTAGTACTGCGCGTGCGCCGCGTGTGCCGCGTGGGCTGCGTGTGCGGGCGGAAGTAACTCGAGCTTGGCGGGAGCGCCCGGTCGGGATAAGTCTTCCGGTGCGTGGTACCTAGGTACCGTCCAGCCGCCGCCGAAGCTGCCCACCAGCATTGGACTGAGCGGCGCCCGATATACAGGGTCGAAGGGCAATGCGCCGTAGTGCGGCGCCTGCATGTACGGGGGGAGATAGTATTGGGAAGTTGGAGGCGGTGGAGGTCCCTGCGTCTCGGTTGTTGGCTTCTGGCCTTCCTGCTTCACCTGTGGGTTAATAGCAATTATTGTTTTAATAACGAGAGCTACGATGACACTTCGAAAGGCTCTAAAAATATATGTTTACTATAATTAATATGCCCGACCAATTGTCACAATTTTCTCTATTCTACCCATGTAAAAACTAATCACAAATTCATGTCAAATATGTCAAATGGCAGATAGGTTTGCCAGAGAAATAATCTATATCTCCTTAGATTTGTCCAAATATTTTGTACGCATACCTATCTATCTTTACGCCAGACGCCTTACGACGCAGGCAAATATATTTGTTCTAAGCATTAAAAAGTAACAGAACATAGTAGAGATTAAGTCAACTTTAAATGTCTTGAAATGTTATTGTTTGCAAAAATTAATACTACGTACGTAGGATAAGTTTGCTATTTTAATCTATACTTTAATCATATTTAGATAATTTAGCTGCCCCTAGATATAGTCTCAAATTTACAAAATCGAGCATTGTCACCTTTCGGATTATGTTACATAGGGCCGGACATATAAGAACTGTTCGTACCTTAATTTCTTCTTTAGGTTTATCATCCTTGTCTTTAGAGGGAGGTTTATGTGCGTGTTGAGGCTGCCGCGGCGTGGGCTGTGGCGGTGCCCCCGGAGCCCCCACGGACGGCGGGGGCCCGTTTCCCTGCGCTGGATTCGGCCCTGGCGGCTTTGATTCGCCACCGCCCTCTTTTCTTCTCTGCTCTAAGGTCATGTAATATCTGCAAATAAAAACGTTGTCATAATAATTGCATATAAAAAAAATAAATATCATAAAATCTAATTTATTAGTTTCCTTTTGAAGCTAACTTAAAAAATTATGTCATTGTTGCAAAAAAAAAATAGATTATTTCCCAAAAATTTAATTGCAGTTAATCGTCATTTATGTCATAATTTTACAGTTTTATCTACACCTATTCCCACTGGAGTCTTGATTATTCTTCTTTATAAAAATAAAAATTGTTTCATTGTCCAGATCAACCAGTTGGTTCATTGTTAGTTTCTCTTTTTCTAGACAATAATTATAACAAATTTTAAGAGAAACACTTTAATTTTAAATGACAAACAACATCGTACCTCCTTAATTCTTCTTCACGTACGTGCGGCGGCCGCTGGAAGGCGTAAGGTCCCATCTGCGCCTTCATCTCTATACTCTCCTTCAGTATCTGATGGTTGTCATTAGGCCTCGCTGGGTTCTCTTTGCCGTCTGGTGGACGTGGCTGCTTACTCTTATCCAATGGGCTCGGCGTGGTTTTGGAGCGGTCGGGCTCTTTAGACTTATCTTCTAACTGAGGCCCTGGCGGCGCCCCTGCTGACTCCACGTTGTATGGAAAATTCGGCACGTAATTATATGGATAGAAGTGCTGTGGAAGTACTTTCTGAGGACCACTCTCCGGTTTGCCGTCCTGGAAATACATGAATTACTAATTAGTAAATACAAATTAGTGGTGACTAATATATATTGTATTATATACATGTATATAGCCGTGTGATCCCGGCATAGAATGATCCATCCCTTCTTTTACCATGGGTAACGTAAAAGGCGACTAAGAGAACTTAATGGCTTATAACTTAACGGCGGATATGGTATACTAATGTGTAATACAAAGATTTTAGTTAAAATATTGTCAACACAACGTATAAAGATTGTTTATTATATTATTTTTGTATAGTCTTAAATATGTATGTTAGACTATAAAATATTTAACTTTTTTTTTTATACAACTTAGAATGGCAAACAAGCTGACGGTCAACCTGATGGAAAGTGGTAACCGTCGCCTATAGACATGAGCAGTACTATGGACATAACAGAGTATACTGTTTCGCCCATGATACCCCCCATGCGTTGCCATTCCTGAGGACTCAGGTGTTATTCCTCTGAACCCAGTACATTAACGCCATATCCCACCCTTTAAACCGAAACACAGCCATGCAAACACAACTGCTTCATGGTTGAAACACGAATGGGACAGAGGTACCCAAGCAATCGACTTTTGTACAGTCTCCCTATGACCCTATATTTACAAACTTGTTGCCTGTATTAAAGACCTAAGTAAATAAATATATAATACAGAAATGTAGAACCAGATTGTAATAAATATAGATTTTCGACAGGTAGGGGAAATGTCGAAATGGGTGATGACCTTATTTCCTTCATAAATGTCCAGAGAATACTGATATTAGCCATGCCTACTACAAACAGCATACGAGGACAGTTTATAAAAATCAGCAAAAAATAAAGAAGAAAGAAAAAAATATTTTGAAAAAAATATTTATTTATGTATGTAACTTGTACATATTTGGTCATCTTAAGCACTTTCAAAGCAACAATAAATTTCAATGATATTTTAATGTTTATTCCCGTTAATGACTCAACTTAGTTCTTCATTATTGAAGATTAAAAAATAGACTAGATAAATGATACACCTCTATTACCTTGTGTTCAGCTTTCGGGTCTCCTTTGCTGAGGTCCTCCTTTCCTTTGTCGACGGGAGGTGGCGCTGCCGTCGGAGGGTGTGTCGGGGGCAGATACGGTGGCTGTCCATAGTACTGCAAATTGAATATCATAAATCAGAATGGTATTGATATTTTATAATATAATATTTTTCCATCGAGAAAGAATTGTTTTCCATAAAAATGTCAAAATCATAAAGTAGGTAATATTATTTTTTCGCAACTAAGCCGATACAGATAGTCATTCGATAAAAAATCAGCATATACGGTTCACATAAGGAGGATTGCTATAAAAATAAAACACTTACTTTAACAAAACTAACATGGAACTAACACGGGACAAAACCCTATTAATTGCAAAAAAAAAATCATAATCTTAATATATAAAAATCGCGTCACGAATTACGAATCTTTTTTCGGAAGTCGCTTAAAAATAAAAATATAGTCTTTTAAAAAGTAATAGATTCTCACTGCGGTTGTATTTTTTTTAATTGTTTGTTACCTCATAACTCCAATTATAAACGGAAATAGTTTTTTTTTTGAAAAGGTATGTTTCAGATTGAACTCATAAAAATTTTATCAACATCAGTTAAGCAGTTTAGTTTTAAATTAAAATAATTTATTTTGCCATGACTGAAGTCGGTTTTTTTAACATAATCTTATATTATGTGGGTACATGCTATACATATTTGTACAGCGCTTCTGACCCGCACAATGGGTACCTTGAAACGCCAATCTAAATAAGCCGATAAAACCAACCCTTTTCCATTGATACTATACAAAAATGCTATTAGTGAAAGTGGCATGTTTATGGATTTATTAATCAAAGGTTAAGTTAGCATGCTTTGCAAATTTAAATTTTTAAGGTATTATGCTAAGGACTAATTTTTAGTTGGCTTTTATGCGAGTCTTATTTATTTTCTTATTTAATGGTAGCCTTTACCCGCGACTTTATCCACATGACCGGAATATGTTTATTGACCGAAATAAAAAGTAGTCTATTATCCCTCTCCGTCTCGACAACCGATGCGACCGAGGCGACCTTGTACGTGCAAACGCAGTGTAGGACGACCCCCACTAGATGATGTGACGACCTCAAATGCATTGCTGGGAGTCAGTGAACGCAGTTGACTTAAAACTGTTCTTTATGGCAGTCAATTGGAGAGGCCTACGTTCAGCAGTGGACAGATAATGGCTGAGATAATGATGATCCCTTATAGTATACCAAATTTCACAGTGAATAATAAAGTCATTAAGACGCTATAAGGCTACAAACAAACAAAGTCACTTGCACATTTGCAATATTAGTAAGAATTATTATACTCATTCCTTCACTCATTAATTGCATTGTACATACAATATTTTTAAACCTTCAACATATACTATATAAAAAAAAGTTATTGTACATCACATTATGTATTTAATATATAAAACAAATACACAGTAGATGCACAAGTGGACTTATCCAAAAAATATATATATCTTCCAGTTAACCTTACAAGTATTTTAATAAAATTAGGAAGTTTACCTCTTAAGTTTTGAAATTCATTCATATACATATAATATTTAGAAGAATGGCTAGTAAATACGTCAACCAGTACATCACTCTTGCCACCAGAGGGCGGCACCCTCACATGTCTATAGGAGACGGTTCCCACTTTTCATCAGGTGGCCGTCAGATTGTTTGTTGTTCTAATAAAAATAAACAAAAAGTAAATTTAGGTAGTACCCTCACCTGGTGATAAACAGGGAACGGCCGGTGCGCCGGGTCCGGATCGGCGGCGCCGTCCGGCGGCGCGGCGTCGTCTGAGATGTCCGAGTAGGCCGGCGAGCGCACGCCCGGTGTCGGAGACCGGCGCGCGCGCCGCTTGCCCGGCGATGCATCCGGCGGTGACTCCGTGGACTTGCGCTCCTCGGTCGGCATCAGTGCCGATCGTGGTTTCACCTACACGGTAAATTTGCATATATAAAATGTACACAAATTAATATAACAAATACACAAGTAGGTATTACTAAGCTAAGCTAACCTTAAAATTCCCTATTTTATAGGGTAGAGATTATTAGTAATGTTGACTACTAGTCCCATTACTAACAATATACACTGTCAGGTTGGCCTCCACGTGGTCCTCCTAGGAAACCATCGTACTGAATTTCAGGTGTATTTATCGTGGTGGGCCAACTGACTTGTCTTTTCATTCTACACACATTCACGCCATGTCAGCGTATACAGTTAGTGCATGGAGATACCATTCCATTATCAACTATTAAAAAAAAGTGCTAACCTTAAATTGTGTCGGTTGCAATGTGGGCAAGGCTTCTGGTGGTGGCGTAGACGGTACAGTCGGCGTCGGCGGCCGCTCGACCGGTGGCTGCGGCTCCGGCGTGCTCGCGAACTCCTCTGTAAACCTAGGCTGTTGCGGCGACTCTGCGTTCGCTTCGGTCTTTTCTGGCGATTTTTCTGGAGTCTTATCGCACTTTGATTCCGGGGACTTAGCCGGCGTCGGCGACTTTACAGGTGTCGCTGGCGTGGCTGGCTCGGAAGGCGGCCGAGCAGGGGAAGCAGGTTCTACCGCGGGTTCCTCTTGCTCTGAGCTCGAGCCGTCCTTGTCATCCTCGTCGGGAGCGCCGTGAGCGTGCGACCGGTGGTATTTAAGCCCGTTCGCATGCTTATACTTCTTGGAGCAGTTCGGCTCGGGACACTCGAGTAGGACGGGATCGGGTGGAGGCGACGAAGGCGCGGGAGGCGGTCGCTTTGCTTTCGGCGTAGGCGGTCGCTCCTCCGCTTCTGAGGTACGCTTCCTTTTGGAATCTGGTCTGGGCGGTGTGAATGGCGTGGGAGATGGGAGCGCCCTCCGCCCCTTGGCTCCGCCGTTGCGAAGCTTACTGTGGACGGAGGAACGAGTCTCTGTAAAGTTGGTCATATCGGTGGGTGCTGCGCCACGGCCACGTTTCGCTCGTCCTTTAGGCGTCCGTGCATCCAACTCTTCTGTTGGTGAATCACAAAATCTGCAAATAAATCATAAAAGATATTAGATTTCATCTTAATTTGTAAAATCAAAATTTAACTAAGGTTTATGAATAATTTATGTTAAGAATAATCCGTTACTAACCGAGGTGGCGCCCAGTCGTGCCTCGTACAATCCAGCAAAGTGCCTACATAAGTCTTCCCTCGCCAGGTAACGTTCACAACCAGTACGCCTGGAACAAAATACTAAACGGTCAGATTATGGCTTCGCGCCATCACGCTACAATAGCCAACAATTGGCGATGTGGGATTAAATGTAGTTTATACAACGGGGTTTGATTAAAATACAAAGAAGCTTACTAAGTAATCCATACGATACCAACCCACTAAAGTGTACTGAGCACGGGTCTACCATAACAGGATATTAACCTACTTTTATTACGTTAACTAGAACTTGATATACGAGTAGTTTTATTTCAATTTTTCTTCATTTGCACTAGTGTATTGTGCTCTTTTTATTCTCTTACGACATTTTATGAACGATATACTTTTGCAGACGACTCGATAGTCGTCGATATCGAACGTCACAACAACGAACATAATTATTTACATTTTAATTTTATATAGCATTATAAAAGTACATGTACTCAATCTAAAAATATATAATAAAGAATTATTGTACCTTGACACTATAAAAAAAATTAATTACCACCTATAGAGAAATCGATTGTATTGTCATAAGTCATTTTATGTTTGTTGCAGCAATATGTGTAAAGATCAAAATGTGGTTGTAGGTACTGAGTGTTTGAGTATTTACTTTTAAAATTTATTAAACGGCTGTTCAGTTTGGTAATCAATTTAACATGCATTAAAGATAAATGGAAAGATAATGAACAGCTGCAACGGTAACTGTAAAATCTATAACAATATAATTATATTAAATTGAATTCAATTTATCATTCATTATATTACATGTAACATAAGGTTATCTAACTTTCTATACCATGAAGGTGGCAAAGAAGCATACAGCCTGTCTGATGGTAAACAGTTACTGTAGCCTATGGACGCCTGCAACACTAGGGGTGTCACGTGCGCGTTGCCGACCCTGAAGAAACCTTAATGTAGCATTTTTTAATTATACCATAAAAGTAAATAACTTATAATGTATGTATACATTTGGTACCACTATTCATCGGGTGGGCCGTCAGCTTGTTTACCATTATAAGTTTCATAAAAAAACTCGAACTTATAAATATGTAATTGTCAAAAAATCGATTAATCGAGTCACCGTGAATGATCATCAGGTGAGGGAACAACAATTTGATGTATGCAGTTTGGGGAAGTTCAGGACCAATTTGTCACGATTCCCATTTGCATACTAGGGAAACAGGAGGGAGAGGACGTGTCGCGCCCGCAACACGTACGTGACTCTAACCGCATATTTAGAAGCGCCACCGCTGTACCCATGCCACCCCAGTACTTATGGTGCTAGCGTGTTAACTTATGCAAATTCAATTAATGCTGCCCACCCTCTTTACAACTTTCTTTTATAAAAAATGACTAATAATATTCTGTCACGACTTAAGACACCAAATTTTTTCATGAATTATTATAGAATACATTAGGTATTTTTTGCAGACCTATTGTAATGTAATTTACAGCGAGTTAATCTTCTCTTTGTCCGCAAAATGTTTTTCGTAAACAAGATGAACAAATTGAGATAAAAATGAGGGTCTCGGACAATCCCTTTTTAATCCCGAGCGAGCGCTTTTGGAGACTCGATTTTATATAGCGGTCTCGTTGAATTGTAAATAAGTACCTGCTTAACATTTTAAAAAGGTTTAATGAGATTTCAAAGGATACGTATCTAAATGCCTCTCAAATTTGTGCTTAATTAATGACTGTCCTTTCACAAGTTAATCCATTTTTTACGTAACAGTTGCTCACTAATTAATTCACTTCCACGAAAATATTATTTTATTAAACGTATCATTTAAAATATAAGTAGTCGGCGAGTCGATAATGCCTACATAAAATACTACATTAATATTTCATAATGCTATATTAAACATAATAATACATCTCAGGCGTGTATCGAAACATAAATAAAAAAATTAATAACGCGATTATAACTATTTGGTACGAGTATCACATTCTTGTTGATTTAACAGCGGTCTATTTTTAAATCAATCTTTGTAATTAAACAGTAACAACAGATAAAAGTACAAACATAAAAACATCACAAACATCAACACAGTGATTATTTATAATAAAAGTCGTGAAATAATAAACTTGCATTTATGCTCTGGTTGATAATAAGATCAAAGGTAAAACAATTACTTCACGATGTTCAAGCAATGTTTATCGTTTCACGGAACAATGGACACATAAAGCATTTCTCTATAAGCGATTAGCATATTATCGTGATCGAATTATTTATGCGCAACGTTTAATTGGATTTGATTTGACAAATAAGGTTTTGGTACTGACGTAATATTGATTACTGTTATTTTAACACGTTATTAACTCATGATGATGATTAGTAGGTACTTTCCCTTTAATGTACAGGACACAGTTTGGATCACGTGAATACCGTTTACTATGTCTATAAGTTGGATCAATAAAAAACAATAGTTTAGGTATTGAGAGATAGACACAAAAAAACTATTGTTTGATAGTTATTATTATCTTAAGTTTAAGAAGTTTTTTAACGTTGTACATTCTTGACAGATGGTTCGTAGCCGAAGCCAATAAATTAAAAAAAATATGGAATTCTCGATTTCAAACTGGCCACTTTGAAATGGAGGCAAATAGTCATTGTCAAACAGTCTCTTTATTATTTGTAATTCGAATCAGACACACGTCACTTTGAACACAAAAATGTTTATATGAAATGTATGCAACCAGTTCATTGAATTGGAAAATTTTATACTATAAAGCAGCTAAGTTTTTTATGAGACCTATTCATATTCATATTTTTAATAGAGGCCGTTATAAATAGTTGTACAACATATGAATATAAATTTATTTTATTATAATGATACGTCTAAGTAATTACACAGACTCATTTTCCAATTGCATCAATATTCTCCATTCTATTATTAATATAATGTAAGAAAATTAGTATGTAAATTACATAGTAATTCTAATTAATATTTATAACAATTCTAATAATAATATATTACTGCAATTTGAAAGTAACAAGCAAAAGTTTATACTAGTTATGAAAGCGACTCCTGTCATAATTTCGACTAATTAAACTACAAGTGCTCGCTATTATTATTTGTATGAGTTACCGATAAGGTAACTTTAAATACTCTTTAATAATGAATTATTATTATTATTATCAGGTAAATGAGTTGGTGCGCTATTTCAGACTGAAAGTTAAGATTGCTAGTAAATACGAGGTCTGTCCGGAAAGTTCGTATAAAAGTGTTCTGGAATGCGAGAAAGAGGAGTGGGGAGGCCAGGTAAGCGCAGGACCCCTTCCTTATGTCCCTAACAATGCTTCAGTTCTGGTCTGACCGCCGTGCGGTGCGAACTGGCTTGTCACGCCATCTGTGAAGTTACCTCTTAACGAAACCCCGTCGGCATGGAGCCCGCTTCCGTTGAAGAGCAGCGCGTCGTAATCAAGTTTCTCTCGAAACTCGGCAAGAATGGCCGTGAAATTTTTGCTGATCTCAGAACAGTAAAATCCCAAAGCAAAGAGTGGAAGACATCCGGGGAACCACGAACAAAAAAATCAAGAAAATCCCGCTCAAATGTCAAGACAATGTTGATTGTTTTTTTCGATGTTCGGGGGATTGTCCATCAAGAATTCGTCCCTCCAGGCCAGACAGTTGATGGAAAATTCTACGTCGATGTGCTCAGACGCCTCAAAGCTCGTGTGGCACGAGTTCGTCCAGAATTGGCGCGAGAGGGGCGTTGGATTCTTCACCACGACAATGCCCCTGCCCACACCTCTCTTGTTGTCCGTGAGTTTTTGAGTAAAAATTCCATTACGGTGACCGAACACCCCCCCTATTCGCCGGATTTGGCCCCGTGTGACTTCTTCTTGTTCCCAAAAACCAAATTGGTACTTCGGGGGCGGCATTTGGGGGACATAAATGAGATAAAAAAAGCTACGACGGGGCAGCTGAGAAACCTACAACCAGAGGACTTTCAAGGAGCCTTCTCACAGTGGAAACGGCGTTGGCACAAGTGCATTATGTCACAGGGGGAGTACTTTGAAGGGGATAAAATTGATTTACCTGAATAATTGTAAAATAAAATTTTTAAAAAACTTTTATACGTACTTTCCGGACAAACCTCGTACCATAAGGGGCACAAAATTTATATCTCCTATTTCTTAAGATTGGTAAATCAAGTTTTAATCCTCAAATCGTTACTATAAATAGCACATTATATTCAGTAAATTGGTGGTATTGTAAATATGAACAATACAGAAAGATAACAACTGCTACTTTTCATCTCGTAGGCCTTGCATATTTACCATTCACAGCAGCAAAAGAATCACTGGCGCGGAATAAAAATAACATCGATAAAATACTCCACAGGACATATTTGCGAGCGAACAACACAAATGGTCGTGTTATAATCACATTTGCACGGACGGACAGTAATATGTATTACTTTTATTATAATTGTACAGTATTATATACTCGTATATATTCTAACAACGACTTTTACACATTAGTGAATTTAAATATGTTCAAATTATACGGTGTATAGACGTACATAATTGATTTTGGTAGCAAATATCACTGATTATAATATTTATAGCTCTTTCTCGTGGCATTGCCTACTTAAATCAGCATATAAAGTATCTTATGTGTTAGCTAGGATATAACGTCCCTGTGTAGCAAATTTCAATTAAATCCGTTCAACCGTTCAAGCGTAATTAAGTAACAAACATACAAACATCTTTACAAACTTTCACATTTATTATATTTATTTAGTAGGATGGTATGAAATTAAAACACTTATCACAAACGTCAAGTACAAACCATAAAGTGCTACTATGCTTTTTATTTCTCAAGATGTTTTTTAAACATTTCTACAATTAAAACAACGTCTTTAGTCGTTGGGTTTGCACGGAAATGAATTCCATAGATTACAAAAAAATTATCATAATCGCGAAAAGATATCACGTACAGATAAAAAATACAGTAGACTTAAGAACCTTCTTTTTTTAAATCGCTTAAAAAGTATTCTAAATGTTGAACCTCGATAC